TACCAGCAAAATGGAGTGAAGTAGTATTATAGGTTCTTTTAATCGTCATCATAACACTGAGCACGAACGCTTTTTGGGTTTCATTTCACCCTCTCGCCTTCGGCAACCACTTCCTCCGCACTCCGAAGCATGGGATCCGTAGAGCGGGTGCCGCTTGGCTCGGAGCCGAGAAACGTGATCATGCCCGCCGCGTCGTTCACGTCCCACTCTCGAGGAGTCGATCGAAGCGCCGAGACGGTGGAGTTCCGCGTCCCAACTTCGAGAGGCGGCGGAGTTGAACGAGGTGACGCTTCGTTCACCACGGTCGTCGTTGAACAGAACAAAAAGGATTGCGCGGCTGGTATCGGTACCAACAGAGATCCAACGGCGCGTTGGGTGTGGGATACGTCGCCTCGGATGTGCGAATATCTTTGCCACGGCATGAACCCGGAGAGGTTGGTGAGAGGAAAAAGGGTACTCGAGATAGGCGCAGGGGCGGGACTGCCCGGACTGGTCTGCTCGCGCCTTGGGGCAGAGTCTGTCACGCTAACGGACCTTCCGCAAGAGTTAAAGTTGCTCGAGCGCAACGCGCAAATCAACGCGATGAAGTCCGACGCACCCGTCGATGTTCGCGCGTGCGCGTGGGGCGAGCTCGATGATTGGCGCCAAACTAACGGAGAGCACGAGACATTTGACCTCGTGCTCGTATCGGACGTGCTCTACCATCAGCCCAAAGAAGTGCTGCACGCTCTTGCAGAGACGATCAAGGCGCTGGTCTCGAACCAAGGGATCGTCCTCTTTGGGTATTATTTCCGTGAAAATCTTGTCGCTGACATGGTGCTGTTCGATTTCATTGATAGTAGCTTCAATGAGCGTTCGAGAGTGTCTTTCGAGGACGACCCGAATGTCTGGCTCTACGAGTGGACACCGAAGTCCGCTCATCTTTAGTTTCGTAGGTTCTTAGTTCCATCATAGTCTCTTGCCAATTTCCGCTCGCAGCCACTGCACGGAAACGCGAGCACGTGCACATTTCGCGGCGTTCAAGCTCTCGCATGAGCGTAGTCGCAGCGTCTATAACGTCGCGTCCTGTTCGTCTTTCATACGTCGGACGACGCGGTGGTGCGATTAAGAGAGCCTCAGGCAGTGTGCGCTCGCTCGTGCCAGGTGTCGATGATGTCGAGCCTTTGGCGCAAAGCGTTTCGAGCGAGGTCGGCGTCGCTGTAGGCGTTCTCGCGCTCGGCGCCCTGCTCGTGAAGACGGCGTTGCACTTCAAGAAGCAGTTCACCCTGGCCGACGTCCTCGGCTCGCGAGTAGCCCCGGAGAGCGTCGTCATCGATTTGGGGATCGATACAAAAAATCTGTATTACTATCCTAAAAGCACAAAGCTGGTAGTGTGCGTCGCTGAGGACGTGAATTCCGTGCTCGTGAATCAGGTTGCGATGGAGACTGCGATTCCTGTGCTTCCGCGCTCGGCACCGATCTCTGGATCGGGTGAAGGTGATTTATTTTGGGGCCAACGCGCGCAGAGCGCCGACGCAGTCGTGACGACGGGTTGCTTGCAAAAGTTGACAAACGAAGAGGTGATAATTGTTGCGAAGAAGGCAGCAAAAGTGCTCCAAGGAGGTGGACGGTTCATCTTCGTTGAACCGGCGGCAGCGGATCGCGGGCAATTATTATTCGACGCGATTGAATCGACCGGTGAGTTTCAATCTCCCATAGCGTTTGACGAGGACTGGGCGCGACTGCCTCTGTTTCCTCACGCCGTGGGTGTCGCTGTGAAGAAGGAGAAACAAAATCATAGCGCGGCGGATGAGGGCGTCCGCACAATGAAAAGCGTGCGAAGCCGTCGCCGCAAGTAGAATCAAAATCGTACATCACGTCTCATAACAATAGCAACAGTGGTCCTCTATGAATGTTTCACTCGGCGACTCGATCGGGTTGCGCGCACTGGTTCGGCTTCCACTTCGCGCGCGCGCTTGGTACTTGGAATTTTCGACTCGTTTGCCGTCGGGCACAAAGAGCACGTCCAAGGTCCTTTCGGAACTCTCGTCAACTTTGGCTTCAGGCACTTGAGATGGAACGAGATGCAGCAGTGAGCGCACGACACCGTTTTACACTTGTCAACAACCTCACATACGGAGCAGTACGGAGCCGAAGAATTCTTCGAAGCTGCGACAGGCGTTCGTTGACGCTCTGCGATCGGTTCTTCGTCTCTGTCGAGGATGAGAGACGGCGTCGTTTCTTTCATAGAAACGTTGAGAACGACCTTGGGCGTCTTCGGCGTTGCTTCTTTGACATTGATCTGCATTGCGACTTTGGGAGTCTTCGGCGGCGGTGGCGTGGCGGTGCGCACGTTGACTTGTAATGCAACTTTCGGAGTCTTCACTTCCGGAGAGACAGCGCTGTTTTCTTTCGTGTTCAAGAGCTCAAAGTACATTTCCTTCAACGCTCCATTTCGCTTGCGCTCCTTTGAAAGTGCCCGTCGTGTGAGCCTCAACGCGCGATGCAACTGCTCGATCCTCATACTCAATCCATTCTTCAATTTATTGCTTCGTCGTCGCTTGTACGCGACGACGATAGATTTTGCTGGCGAAGGCTCAACTCCAGGCGTCAAAGAATATCGTTCATCCACTTCGTCAGGAATTTCAGCCAGCGCGCCTTCGGCACGTAACCAATCATTGACACGCTTCTTCGTGCTCGAAGGCGTCGATAAACGTTCGAGCGCTTTGTCTAGGTCACACACTGCACTGATGTCTTCCTCCGCTTCCGCCTCCATCGTCTCAACGGCACGCATGATGGCATCACACACCGTGTCCTCTTCGAAAATCCCTCGAATTTTGTTTGGTGTCGCCCTGAACAAGTCGAAACCCTCCAAGTTGAACTCGTTGGCGACAGGAGTATTGTGCGGCGCCGCCGGTCGCTTGAATTCCGAGCTTGGCGTGGCGACGATATTCAGGCGAGACATCAGGTTGTTTTGTTGATCCGGAGGAGTGACGGTGGCCACGCTTTCTGTCATATCAACTTCTTCCAGTTCACAAGTGGTTCTGACAGGCGTGGACTCAGTTGATGGCGACCGCGACTTTCTCCTCGATGAAACATGTGGTGTATCTCTGCGATGGATGCGACTTTCACTTCTCGTGAAAGCACCATCGGGAGTTTCATTCTCATCGCCGTCTTCAACCGCTTTGAAAGAAATACTTGAGCGTCGCTTCTGCTCCGGCGCCGGAAGAGCGAGCACGACTTCGGGAGCAGGCAAAGCCTTAATCGTACTATTCGGAGATCTCGATAGCGATCGACGATTGCGAGGTGATCGTGGCGCATCGAGAGCCAGAGGAGCGATTCGTCCGCAGAGCTCAACCTTGCCGTCGTGCGGGGCAATCCACTTGATGGCTTCTAACTCTTCGTCTCCAGCGAACGAAATGGAACGCCGACGGATTGAGCTCGGACGAACCGCGAGCCTGTTCTCGGGAGCTTTCAGCACACTCTTCGCTGGCGACTTCGGTGTGATCGCCGCTCGTCCCTCCGGCGATCCGCATTCCTGCTTGTCAAAGTCGCCTCCCATGCGCCTGACATTGGAGTTGGGAGCCGCAGGAGAACATTTCGTGGCGGAGTCCCGACTTTTCTTTTCGCGCGACTTCTTAAGGGTCGAAACTTGCTTGAGAATATGTTTCGATGGCATCGGCGTTCCCGTGAGCTTACTCAACGTCTCAAATCGTCGAGGTGTACTTTTCTGACTTTGCGCGGGAGCGACGTTCTCGTCACCGGAGAGCTGCTTACTAGGTGAGACGCTCGGTGGAGTGTTTCCACCGCCCTCTTTTAATGGAGATCGAGCGAGAGAGTCGACGACTTGTTCGAAGACAAACCTCGCCTCTTCGTCGTCGGTGAGCTGAATCCCCACGACGTCACCGTTCCTCATGCGCACCGCCGTATTCACGTCGAGCATGGCGTCGTTGAGTGATACCGGATTCAGCGTGCTCATGTTCTTCAGCACCATGGTTCCGTCGATGACTTGAAATACCGCGTGCTTCCTCGACACTGTCGGTTCGCACAGTCGCACGTTCGCGTCCTGCTGACGACCGATGAAAAACGGGGAGTCTCGTGAGATGTCGAAGGCTTTCGCCGGCGATTTTTTCGACGGCGACCGCGTCGACGCGCCGATGCGCCTGAGTCTAGCGACGACGGCGGAAGACATGCTCAACGTCGATGTGATACTTTTCGCTCGGTTTTACGCGCACGTTCGCGCGCACGTCGTTGAGTGAGGAGAAGATTCACGTACGGGGGGAACGAACGAAAAACGTCCGGCATGCGAATCGGCACTTTTTTTACAGGCACCCGTCACTCAGGTTGACAGGGACACACGCAAACCCACCTACTTGCGGCGTCGGCTTTGCACGCTATCATCATCGTAGCTCATTTTCTCCGAGACAATCTCGAGCGCACTTTTGTACCCGTTCTCCACGTCGAACCACACTTTACCGATCTGTGCGGAGATTTCACGCGGATAGATACGTTCTTCTGAAGAACCGTCGGGGTTGCTTTCTTTTTGTATCAAGGCGTCGGACGCCATCGTTAACATCTTACTTAAGCGTTTCCTCGCCAAACCCTTGCGGCTCTTCTTCGCTAACGCCGGTTCCTTTTGCGAACTGTCGAGCACCGCGGTATCCACGTCATCTTTAACAGATGTCGTTTGTTGCACACCGGCCTGTGAGGTCGATTCTTCAGTGATCGCGCTCGAAGCAATCTCTGTTGTTCGTTGCACAGCATTAGTCTGAGTCGCCCGCTTGTTGTCAGGAAGAGAAGTAATCTCCGTGCTTTCCTCGTTCGTCTCCATATCTGTACTCGTCGCCACTGTCATTACAGGCACCGCTTCGTTCGTCTCTTGCGTTGTGGCGGTGTTGGTCGTCTCTTGCGCTGTGGCGGTGTTGGTCGTCTCTTGCGTTGTGGCGGTGTTGGTCGTCTCTTGCGCTGTGGCGGTGTTGGTCGTCTCCTGCGCTGTGGGGCTGGTCGTCTGCTCCGTCATCTTTGCCGCTTCCACTGCGGGTGCCATCGCCGGTGAACTCTTCAACGATACAACTCGCTTTGCAACACGCTTCCGTACAGACAGAAACGTGAAAGTCGTAATCACCGCACCGATCCCTGCGGCGAGTGCGGGTGCTGTCACGATCTCAGTGCTATGCTGCGCGTGGTAGGACCGCAGATTCCGCTTGGACAGAGGCGCGAGTAAGCTTCGACTCGACGCCGGCGTCGTGCCGAGCGACGCGGCATTCGTCGCGTGAAACTTCGCTTTCACCGCGTACGACGCTTTATCGATATCGACTGGCACACGAAGCACTTGACCTATCTCTATCGACCGTCTCACACCGAGCTCGTTCGCGTGGACGAGTCGCTCGGACGTCGTCCCGTGCGCGCGCGCGATGCCGTAGATTGAATCCCCCGTCTTCACCTCGTAGCGAACGACGCTGGGAACCTTTCGCGCTCTCGTCGGCGCTTCACCACCGCGTTCGGACGTGCTCGGCGCGTTCGAATCCACCGCCACCGCCGTCGTCGTGGACGTCATCGCGCGCGCGAAGACGCCTCCACGCGCGTCGTTTTCGTGCCAACGCCTCGATCCTCCCCCGCGCGCGCGCGCGAGGCGAGGGAACGACGGCACCGCGCGCGCGCGCGTCATGCGCGTTCGTTTTCACGCCCCGCTCGCGCTTTCCCGACCGCGCCGAACGTGAGACGTGACGACGAGTGCGCGCGTGGACGATCGATACCCCAGACGTCGACGCGGCGGCCGAGCCTCGGGCGTCGATCGGGGCACGGCGCGGCGCCGAGGAGAGATGTCCGCTCGAGGCGGAACGACGCGCGCGATCGAGGCGGGCGAACGGGAGTACGGACGGATCGTCGCGCTGAAGGAATCTTTTGGGTTCATCAGATGTGGGGCGCGACTGGAGACCCAGGGCGGGGCGCGCGGGCGAGGAGGACCGCCGAGGGAGGCGCAGGTGTTTTTTCACGCGTCAGAGTTCCACAAGGAGCTCGCGAATCGAGATAAGCCCGCTTTGGATCCGGGAGACGTGGTGAAATTCATCGTCGGTCCGAGTCCGAAGGGAGACGGACAGATGAACGCGTTCGACGTGCAGAAGTGTGAAGACGACGAAGTCAAGCCTCGAGTTGAACGCGAAGACACGTTTGGTTGCGTTTCGCGCACGTTACGAGGGAAAATGAAGCGTGACGCGTACGGTGGAAGGTTAGTTTACAACGCGGACAACGGAGATGAAGTGGGTGAAGGTTCAACGGCTGCGCCGGAGGGCGAGTCTCAGGTTGACGTAGAAGCGATGAAGACAGAGATCGAGTTTTCAGGCGCCGATCTCGACGACGCGTGCCGCCTTTCGAAACTGCATCAAGGCGTCTTGGTGAGATTCACCCTTTCATACGATCCGTACTCTCGCGCGATGCGTGCGACGAACGTTCGAGAGGCGTTCCCGCAGGCTAAAGACAAGAAGACAGAAGGCGGTGTCGGCGCTGAAAGCGACGATTGGAAACGAGACAAACCCGTCGTTGAGGAAGAGTTCGGGGTGATTAGCGTCATTAAATCTGGTTACGGCTTCATCAAATGTTGTTCTAGATCGAAAGATTTGTTCTTCCACTTTAGTGAGCTCGCCGAGGATGCGGATTCGGCAAAACCAGGACAGGAGGTGCGCTTTGTCGCCACTGAGGAGCCCCGCCGCGGGCAGCTTGTGGCGACGAGCGTGCGTTACGCTCCCAAGGGAAGTGCGGTGTTCGCAACTGTGGATGAACGACCGGTTCGAGGTATTTGCAAGACGAAACTTATGTTTTCAAAGGGGTTTTCGTCATCGAGAGACGGCGGAGATCGTTCGTCCAAGCCACACGGTGTCCTCGAGCTCACCAGAAGCGGCGAAGCGAAAGAATATAAGTTCACTCGGGACGGGTTACTCGACGCAAGAAATAATCCCCGCGAGGGCGAAGTAGTGCAATTTTGCGTGCGCACGGACAAGCGCACGCAGCATGAATCTGCGTGCAAGATTGAGATAATGAGGTTCACCGGTAAGGTGACGTCGACGAAATCTGATGGCTTATACGGCTTTGTTGAGCACGTCGATCAGGGCACCGGTGAGGTTGGGAAAGCGTTCGTGCACGGCGCCGAAATCGAAGGTCAAGCTAGGCTCAACGTTGGCGACGAACTGGAGTACGCTCTCCAGGCTGGGAGGAAGTCTGATGAGTACACCGCGAAGCGCGTGAAAATCGTCGTCGCCGCTCCAGTGGATGCGAACGCGATTCCGAGTCGATCAGAGTCGCCACGCATGAACCGGGAGAGTCAATTCTCAGGGTCGCAGTTCAAGATCACAAAGGGACCTGACGGAACGCGCGGTTTCGAAATGGGGCGAGGTAAAGGTCTGGCGGAGAAGGCCGCCGCGCTCATGTCTCAGCTGAAGATTGACGCGTGTGTTTTCGTGCCCGTCGCCGGCGTCTCCAGCTCCGCGTCTCTCGTTGACGCGGACGCAGTGCATATTGATGAAAGTGCCGTCGCGGATGCGGCGTAGATGCGCATTTAATGCGTTTGCGTAGATGAGTTGTGAATAGTACTCGAAACTTGAAGCCACGCAAGCGTACCGGTACCGGTACAAACCTGACGTTCTGCGCGCCCCACTGGGCGTCGACCGAGTCGATTCCGCGCGCACGCGCGCCTTCGAAACTTCGTCGCGAGCGCGGTGAACCGACGCTCGATCGAATCGCCTCGAGCGCGTCGTCGTCGACACTTGTACACGGAGCGTGTCGAGGTGTGATCGATTACTACGACGCGTCAACAAACGTGACAGACGAACGATGCGCGCGCGCGCGATGGATACGCGGGCGATCGCTTCGTACGGGTGTTCGATGACGACGACGACGCGTCACGCGCGATTCGTGAGTTCCACGGTGACGGTGATGCGGCGAACGGGACGAGACGGACGCCGGCGATGGATGCTGACGCGCGCGGCTGACGCGGCGGATGGCGCGGCGGATGACGCATTAGAGCGTTTGCGCGAGAAGATTTCGAAAATGCCCTCGCCGTTAGAGCTGAGAAAGGCATTGGAGGAGGCGGGTAGGATCGTTGAAGATGACGACCTGGGCACGGATGACTCTGCCAAGGTGTCCCTGCACGCGGTCGGGCCCATGATAGTGGGCGTCGCCGCGGCGGCGGCGTCGTTATACCTGGCAAATTTTCGTGCGAATGAACATCAAGAGTGGCTTGGGGATGGGGAAAATTCTGGTGTCGGTCGTGTTCAACGATTTCTGTGCCAGCCTCGCGGTGTCGGTGTTGCTCCTGTACACGGGTGCGGCGGGACGACTGGCAGAAGTCGTGCTCAATTCGACAGCTGACTTCGTACGACCGACGCATGTGAACAGCCTGTGGTGGATCTCTCTTTTTCTGAAGCGTTCAGTCGTATACGTTCAGCGCCTAATTAGAATCACGCTGCTCTGGAACCTAGGGAATCAGATATGGTCCTTAATACCGCTCGGAGTTGACCTGGTGGCGTTCGACCCCATCGAATCCGAGGGAGCGAACCACCTTCACTCGCTTTGTTGTACGGTTTTCGACGCGAACAAGGATGGGATCGTCACCACGACGGAAGTTCAAATGTGGTTCGTCTCCAAAACGCTCCGCTTACTGCGATTCTTCAGCTTCTTGGAAATCTTCAAATGGTTCATGCACCTTAAATCGCCTCCAAACATCGAGGAGCAGCGGAGTAGAGGCCACGTGTATGATCGCGAAGACTTCGTCTCGCAAGCGCTCAGGCATCACTACGCGGGTCTGCGCGGAACTCGAGGGGTGTCTTGGGAACAACAAGCTCGCAGTGCGCTCATCGACAAGACATTGTCTGTGGCTGCGTATCTGGCGGTGATTTACTGGTGTCTGACCGCTTTGGGCGTAAACTTGACTGGTATTCTAGCCGTCGGTGGGGTGTCCGGTATCGCTGTTGGCTTCGCTGCGCAGAAGCTTGTTAGTAACTGCATCGGAGGAATCCTCATTTTCGTCACTCAGCCGTTTGTGGAGGGCGATCACGTCGCTTTTGGCTCAATTGAAGGACGAGTCGAAATGGTCGGTTGGCACTCCACGAGAATTTCTTCCCTAGAGGATGGCTTCTCTTTCATCGTTCCTAATACGGACGTTCTCGGCTCTGCGCTACGAAACTTATCTCGCAGAGAGTACATTCCGATCAAAATCAAGGTACCCTTCCCTGAGGCGATCAAGAGTAGAAAAGGCATGGCGACGTTCGTTGAAGAAATCAGGAGCCTCGTCATGGACACCGTCGATGCTTACAGTGTTCGCACACCGACGGTCGATATGAAATTTGATGATCTCAAACCGCACATCAGCATTAAAGCGTTCATCAACAGTTCAAAAGACAAGAATCGGGCCGCGGATTTGCGGACGAAGCTGATGCTAGAGATCCAGGAGAAATGCGACGACTCGACGAGAACGACGTCCTTCTCTAGCAGTGATGAATAAACTTTCGCGTGTTATCACGCGTCTCTGTGCTCTACTACAAATAATAACCATGAATATTTTAGAATGAATTGTCACTGTTGAAGCTACGTATTTCTCTTCACCGTGTCTGTCCCTCACTAAAGTTTGCTATGACCTCCAATGCCGAGGATTGACGCACGCACTTGGGCGGCTGCACGCTCGCCAGTCTCCATGGCTCCTTGCAAGCATGGATTGACGCCGGTGTGCGTCGCTTCTCCAGCGAAGAATAACGTGTTCGCCACGGGAGCGGCTAGCATCATCCGAGCGTCACCCGCGTTCACGGTCGGATGCGTGTACGCTCCTTGAACTAACCTCTCTTGCGACCAGCTGACAATTTTCTTCGTCGTAACGTGTTCGGCGCAAGACGTGTCGAAGATCATGTCGAGCTGCTCGATTGCCCTCTTGAAAACAATATGTTCGGGCATCCTGTCTAGCTCACCAGCCAAGTCGCCCGCGACAAAAAACGTCACCAACCCGACCGTCTCGGCGATGAGCGCCGCTTCCTTGGTGGACTTGGCTTCGCGAGCGACGGAAGACTTTGGATACTCCGTGATCCAAAACTCTGGCAAGAAGCAGTTCGTGCACACTACGTCAAATAAATCACTCGGCCAAAGACGTTTCCGGAATCCGAGGAAAACCTTGGAGGCGTTGCCCATCTGTATGGTCTCCGCGGCGCGTACTTTTGCCGCGGGCAATCGTGGAATAAACTTGACGCGATTTCCCGGACACTCCGATCGCAACGTCGTCACGGGCAAGGTCACGATGCACTTTCTCGCGGTGATAACCTCGTTTGATCCTCGCCGCTTGATCTTGACCGCGCCCGGACGAGAGTAATCGACGCTCTCGATCTCCCAACCCAAGCGCACGTCCAAGCCGTCGGCGAGGGCCAATGCCACCTCTCGAAGCGGACGATCCAAAATCAAATACTTCTCCCCGTATATCCAACCCTTCTTCTCCTCGATGAGCTCTCGCATCCCAAGCTTCCCGAGCGATGCGCAAAAATCGTTCGCGTATATGTTTTCCGCCAGTTTAATCACTCTCTCCGGCGCCTTGACGCGCGTCGTCAACCACTCCAGCGCCGTGAGATCACCCTCGCCCTCTTTCGGCGCGTTCGGGAGCTCATCGAAGAGCTCGTGCACGAGCTTCACGTCCACATTCTTCGTCTCCGCCTCATCGGCGCCCATTAACACTCCTTCGTCTCCTAGAAAGTACCTATCCGGCCACTCGCGCTCGAACGTCGCGAACCCGCACGCGTCGGCGAACCGCTTCAGCGCGCTGTTTTCATCCCCGTGCACGAACTCCGGTCCGAGATTCACGTCCCACGGCGCGAGATCTCGCGTGACTTTCACCCGTCCTCCCGGTTCGTCCCCTCCCTCGAGGACGACGACGTCGAGGCGTCGAAAGCGTCCGTCGTCCCCACCGCCACCGCCGCCGACGCGTTCGGGATGCACCATCGTCGCGCATCGCGCCGCGTGGAGACCCGCGAACCCACCGCCGAGGACGACGACGTCGCGCACGCGCACGTCCCGCCCCTCGCTCGCGTCCGCCATCGCTCGCGCGCGCGACGGCGGCGTCCGCGCGTCCGCGAGTGCCGACCTCGCGCGCGCGATGGCGAGTCGTCGCGCGCGCACTCGCCCGCGCGCGCGTCGCACGCGTCGACGTTCGCGGCGCGAGCGATGGGACGATGTCGAACGACGCGCAGACGGTGCGGCGAGGCGATCGAGCGCGCGGTGGACGCGTCGATGCGATGGGCGGGACCGCCGATGTTCATCTTTGGCGTCGTTCTCGTGCTCGGGATCGCTCGAGAGACGACGTCGGCGACGTGCGCGGAGCTGACGCGGCGGGAGCGGGTGACGGCGGCGGGTGTGTGTGAAACGTTGGTGTTGATGTGCGCGGCGAACGCGATGTTTAATCACGCGATGTGCGCGTGGACGAAACCGGGGACGCCGAGGGACGCGCGAGCGAGAATCGCGACGGAACGCGGATTGCGAGAGCTCGGCGTCGATGACGCGGAGGGGGGGGGGATGCTGCGACGATCGATCGAGGAAGGGCGGTATTGTGACACGTGCGAGGTCGCGAAACCGGACATGTGTCATCACTGCTCGATATGCAAGACGTGCGTGCTGAAGATGGATCATCACTGTCCGTGGGTGATGAACTGCGTCGGGGCGAGGAATTACAGGTACTTTTACAACTTCCTCTTCTACGCCGTGTTTGGGTGCGTCGTAGCGTCGTTCGGAGGGGCGTTGATATTGTTCGGGGACCCAGGCGTGCTTCCGACGTCGGAAGACACGTTTAGGCGCGTCATTTTCGTCACCATCATGTCGACGGCCGTCGCGCTGTCGGTTGGATTTCTCTTCGCCTTTCACACGTACCTCGCCTTGACGGGGAATACGACAATAGATTATTACAACTGGAATGATTTCAAGGCGGCGATGAAGGCTCGCGGAATGCAGCCGCCGGGCAGGCATCCGTTCGATCAAGGTGTGGTGAAAAATTGGCAAGAGACGTTTGACGAACGCGGGAGATTTTGGTACGTCGCGTGGGCGTTACCACGACTTCGCGCGCACTCGGGATCGGGAGTGTACTACGAGGCGTACGGATCGCGCATGTTGTAGCGCTCGCGAATACATTCGCGACATAGGGATTTGTATTATACGCATTGCAGCTTTAGAAAAGGAAATGAAATCCACTCACTTTCTCGTGAGTACGATGCCGATGTTCTCACGCAGCTCAGACTCGCTCACTTCGTCGTGATCAGTGGCTTGAATCTCGACCGCGATCCCAGAAAGGCGCGATTTGAAGAAATCCTTCGTCGATGCGTAGAGCATTTTGTTCTTCAACCGAGCCGTGTCCGGATTCCACACGATGAACACGAGCTTGCTGTACTCGCAGCCGTCGGCGTTCGTATACTTGTAGTCGTACACGGCGTAGCGACACTCGCCGTCGGGAAGAGCCTTGAGAAAATCATCGTGAGCGCCCGAGATCTCTCCCGTCGCGTCGGTGAGGACCGAACCCTCATTCTCTTCCACGCGGAACGTCGCCCACTGCAAGTCGCTCGTGCGCATCTTCACCTTGTTGAACACCGAGAGACAATCACCCGCCACGGCGACGCCGCTCATACTCTTCCCCACTGATTTTGTCGCCACCGGCGGCGCCATCGGCGCCACTGGCGGCGGCGCAACCGGCGGTGGCGCCACTGGAGGCGCTGGCGGTTTCGGCGGCGCCGGCTGTTCCGGCGCGTCCGCCCGATCTGCGTCCCTGTTTTCACCCCTGTTTCGCGCCGCCGCCGCCAACGCCGCCGCGGTATCCGCGCCCTCCACCTTCACCATGAACGTCGGTGCCGCCGCCGCGCTCTTCTTCACGTTAAATTTCGTCTCGCGCAACGCCTCGTCTCCGCTCCCGCCGCTCCCGTTCCCCAGCAGCGCCTTCACGTCCAGCGACAGCGTCGTGGACCCGCTCGAGATCGAGCTCAGCATCTCTCGTCGCACGCTCTCCACGTCCTCACGAGTCAACACCCCGGACTCTCGACACTGAGAGATTCTCTGGGCGAATAAGAACCAATCCTTGGCCTTTTCGTAATCATCGCTCGAGATCAGTCCCTCGTCGAGCGCGGTTTTACACGAGCGTAAGGAGTCCATGGTCGCTCCAAGGTCTCGAGCGATGTTCGAGTCCGCCCCTCGCGGTCGACGTGAGACGCACGGCGTCGCTCAGTGCGGGGGGACGCGGAAGATCTTCTCGCCCTCAGTCAACCGTCACGCGTCGGCGCGTCGCGGGGAGCGGAGGAGACGGGCGGATGCGCGATCGTGCGCCACTGGATTACCGAGCGTCGTCGCGTAAGAAATCGTCCACTACTTCGTCGAGCTCGCGATCGAGATCGTGGTCGTCGACGATCCTACTCGCGAAGAATCCTTTGAGTTGCGACGCGAGCTCTTTGGCGGTGCGCTCGCGCTCAGCCCTTCGGATCGAGTCGCTGGCGACGCGTCCTGGAGCCTTCTGAGGAGACGGTACCGCGGCGACTGGTGGCGGCGACGCGGATGTTGGCGACATGTTCGCGTTTCGCATGGGATTCGCACCGACTTTCTCGTGCGGTGACGCGCTCTTGGGCAGAACTGAAATGCGTCGAGCCATGGCCATGACGCACTCCGTCTCAAACGTCTCCAATATTTTCGCACGTTCTTCCTGGGATATCATCCCTCCACTGCTCCCGAGCACCTCCTCTACGAGAGCACATAACGCTAAGGGCACCACGTCCACGCGAGTCGCCTCCTGGGCGACGTACCGATCGAAATCGACCATCCTTGTAAACGTTTCTCGACACGCCTCGTCGAGCGCCGTCCATTCGGTTAAAAACTTTCTCGACACCTGCGCTTCCTCAGCCGACGCACGCGCGGCGAGCTCTTTGATTCGCGGAATCGCATTCATCCGGAGCGCATCGCATCGCTCCAAACACGCTCGAACCGCGCGCTTCGCCTTATCCGCGCCTCCGCTCGCGCTCGCGCGCGCGCCGCTCAGTTCTCGTTCCAACGCCCCTCTCGCCTCCTCCACCTCTCTCGCCAACCCCTCTTGCGCGCTCGCGAGCATGGCGGTCAACTCAGCGACGTTCTCCGCGCCCCGCGTCGCCCCCTCGAGCGCGTGTCGTCCCGCTCGCGCGCACGCCTCGACGAAAACATCCGCTGTCTCCCGTCCCAGGCCTCGAGCTCGCTCGTCGCACGTCCTCGCGCGCGCGCGCGCGTCTCCGTCCTCGATCGCGGCGTCGTACGTTCGCGGAAGCGTGGACGACGTCCCGCGCGGCGCCTCGGACGCCGTCGACGCCGTCTCCGCCCTCGCGCGGCGCGCGAGACGCGTGAGAAAAGACATCGCTCGAGACCTCGGACGATCCCTCGACCGCACTCGCGCGCGCGACGGGCGCGATGTCGACCGCGTCGTCGTCGAGCGCGCGGGCGAGCACGGGGGCGCGCGCGCGGGATCGACCTCGACGGCGTCGACCGCGTCGTCGTGTGCGTGGAGAGATGGGTGATGGATGCGAGACGCACCGACGGGCGTCGACCGCGTCGTCGTCTCCGCCGACGCCGACGCCGAGCGAACGGTGGAGGGGGTGGATGACGGAGGCGATCGAACGCGATGGCGCCGAAACGATCGAGATTTTGGCGAAGATGCCGAACGCGTCGTGTCGAGGGGTCGTCGCGTGCATGCGACGGGTGACGCCGGAGCGGGACGCGCGCACGCTCGAGGCGCTCGTCGAGGCGTTGATATCCATCGAAGAGCGAACGCACGGAGAAGATAGGGTATCGGAGGCAATCGATGGACACACCGGGTGCGATGCGATCTGTTGGTGCGCGAAACTTGGATCGGGGAGCGGCGTTCGAGCGCTCGCGAGTCGGACGTCGAAGGCGACGGTCGACGCTTTGGAGACGACGCGGACGTCGGCGGTCATGTGCGCGTGCATCGGCGCCTCGAGAGCGCTGACGCCGACGCAGTTGAGTAAAGCTAGTGGATCGAGCGTCGGTCGCGCGTGGGCGGATGACGCGGAGGTCGTTCGTCGGACGCGAGAGCGGTACGCAGACGCGCTCGTCGCAGCTTTGGAGTGTCGCTCCGAAGAGGTGAACGAGCGAGCGCCCAACGGATGGACACCGCTCACGTTCGCGTGTAGACACGCCGAAGTATTGGGAACGGAGATGATTGAGTTTTTATTGAACGCCGGCGCCGAGGTTAACCTCCCAGACGCTCGCGGGACGACGGCGCTCGCGCACGCGGCTTCGGCGGATTCGTTCGAGGTGTGCCGCCTCCTCAGAGACGCCGGCGCCGACGCCTCTGTTCGAGACGCTCGCGGGTTCACGCCCGCGATGACCGCGGCGTTTCGTAATCCCGGTAACGTAAAATTATTAGCCGCACTAGCGATTGATTCGCATTAAAATAAAGAGATGCTCTGACGAGCGTCGATTGACTGATTCGTTCAACCCGGGCAACTTTTGTACAGAAATGTAACAACAACAACAACAAGAATTGTAACTGCGGTGAAAATATGAGCTTTTAGACGTCTAACGCGTCAACGCACAAAATCTTAGCGATCGTGCGGGACGCCGGTGTACTGCGGTTGCGCGTCCGTCTTATTCGTGCACTTGATGGCGGCGAGCGGTCCCGTCGTGCACTGTCTACGCACCGCCGTCTGCTTGGCGCCCACTTCTTCGTTGTACAGGTATTCAACCGCGTCTTCGTAAGTCGGGAATCCGATGAGCACGACGAAACTGTAGTCTTCACAGTTTTCGTGCAGAACGAGGTCGGCGATGGAAGCTTTCGCGATCATCGTCGCGTTGCACTTCTCGTTGTTGGCCTTCATCAGCGGCGGGTACTCGGCGTTGAACGTCTCGAGATCATTCATCTTCTTGATGGTGGACAAATACGCGCCAAACTTGGAAGTATCCGCGCCCTCCGGAAGCAAGTTCGCTTCGAGCACCGCGAGACGAAATCGCAAGTTATCCGTGCGCAAATGTTTAATCTCGACGTACTCTGGGCTCGTCAGGAACTCCACCGCGCTCTCCTTGGACGCGAACTCAATCACGGGAGAAATATCGACATCATCGCACTCTTCCGTTCCCTTCGAGTCTTCCTTGACGTTCGTCTTCACGCCCACGTACCCCGCGCCTCGAGCGCGCATCATCTCCTTCACGTGTCCCACGTACGGCGCGAACGTCTCGAAATCGCCCGTGAGCTTCCCGAATCCAACCTACGATCGACGATCGTTTCGTCAGTCCCCCATCCTCGTCACCGTCGCGTCGTCGTCGCGCGTCGTCGTCGCGCACCAAGAACGCGGGCGGCATGATGTCTTCACCCGTTCGCCTCGCGCGCGTCGTCTTCCGTCGTCGCCCCCTCGCGCGCCGCGCGCGTGCCGAGTGCGCGCCGACCGATCGACACATCCAAGACGCGTGCGACGCGGACCCACTATCCATCGGCCATCGGCCATCGGCCATCCATCCGTCGTCCCGCGCGTCCGTCGCGGGCTCACGCGGACGCCGCACCCGTCGACGCGCCGTCGTCGCGCCTCCGGACGTGTCGTCGACGCCCCGTCGTCGGCGTCCTCGCGAGCATGTCCGCGCGTGCGCCCGTCGTGAGCTCGGGGCGACGGCTGAGCAACCCTACGACGACGGCGTCGAGACGGATGACGACGCGGTCGAGCGCGACGAAGTCGGTGTCGGAGCAGTTCGGTGCGGTGCTGCGAGAGAATAAACGCGCGTTCATTCCGTTCATCTGCGCCGGGGATCCAGACTTGGAATCGACGAAGAAGGCGCTGAAGATTCTGGACGACGCGGGGGCTGACATCATCGAGCTCGGCGTGCCGTACAGCGATCCGCTGGCGGACGGACCGGTGATTCAGGCGGCGGCGACGCGAGCGCTCGAGGCTGGGGCGACTTTGGACAAGGTTATCGCGCTCGTGAAAGAAATGTCTCCGCAGATCAAGGCGCCGATCGTGATGTTCACGTACTTTAATCCTATTTATCAGCGCGGGGTGGAGAAATTTTGCGCCGACATCGCGGCGGCTGGCGCGAAGGGATTGCTCGTGCCGGACATCCCGCTCGAGGAAACGTACTCTATGAGTGAAATCGCGAGTACGCACGGGATCGAACTCGTGCTGCTCTCGACGCCGACGACGCCGGTGGAACGAGCGAAGAAGATCGCTCAGGCGACAAAGGGGTTCGTCTACCTCGTCTCCGTCACCGGCGTCACGGGCGTGCAAACGCAAGTCGCCTCGCGCGTCGAGAGTCTGGTTGAGGAGTTAAGAGCCGTGACGGATAAGCCCATCGCGGTCGGTTTCGGGGTGAGCCAAGCCGCGCAAGCGAAGCAGATCGTGGATTGGGGTGCCGACGGCGTCATCGTCGGCTCGGCGCTCGTTCGCGCGCTCGGCGAGGCAAAGACGCCCGAGGAAGGTCTCGCCGCTCTCAAGGCAAAGGCGGACGAGATTCGCTCTGGGGCGAAGCTCTAAGAAGAGCGCGGTACGGTGTAATAGTTCTACCTCTCTTCTACAGTAAACTCTATCCATCGCTCCTCTCGGAACGCGCACTCGTCTACTTGATTGATTCCAAATACTTTGCTATCGCTCGATCGTTATCAGAAAGTTTCGACGGATCCATCAGAGCCTTGTCGCCCTGCTGCCACGCCAAGTAGTCGCCGAAGTTCTTCTTGTTGTAAGCGTCCAAGCGTTCCTTGGCGCGCTCGTCCCGCTTGGCCTCGCTCTTCGCCAACAACCCGCTCACGAATGCAGATTCGCGTTCATTCGCCTCGAGCGCGTTCGCGACGTCCGGCGCGGCCGTCATGGAGACCACCATCGCAATCGTCATCGCGCACGCCATCGGGGCCGCGGCGAAAGCGCGCGCGCGCGCGGTCGAGCCGTTGGATGAGACGTCGTTGACGTCGTCATCGCTCGCCTTGACGACGGTCGCGGCGCGCCTGGGCGTCAACGGCGCGCGTCGAGACGTCGACGCGACGGCGGTGAACGCGGTACACGCGCTCGAAATCATGCGCACGGTCGAGCGATCGAGGACGTCCGCGTGGGGCGAAGTGCGACGTCGCGGGCGCGTTCGGGCGAAGACGACGTCGCGCGCGGAACGCTTTAGAGCGTGAAATGCAACAACTATTTTTCATGAACACGCCCGTGGGATGGCGACGAATCGAAATTTTATACCGGAACGCGCTCACGCGCCCATGTTGATGGACATGAGCTCGGCGAGAGTTTTCGTCTCGCGAAGTCGCTTGAGTTCCGCCTTGTGGTTGTTCTCCGTCTTGAGCACGGATGCGCACGACCACAGGAACGCCGCGATCTGACGACGAGTACACGCGCGAATCATCCGTCAGTCATCGATACTCTCGCCGCACACCTCCCTCGCGCTCTCGCGCGCGTCCACCATCGCCCGTTCGCGCGCGATCGCGTCCTAAACCTCGCGCGCGTCGCCGTCGATCGATCGTCCCGCGTCCCTCGCTTCGATCACCATCCCCCCCCCGCGCGTCCCGCGTCCACCCACGCGCGCATCGACCTTTCATCGCGCGTCTACATCGCGCACGACGCACCAAGCACAGCAAGAACACCGAGGGCCCGTACCCCCACTTCGACTCTCCCGGCGGAGGGTCCACCGCGTACACGACGCCGTCGACGATGAACATCGTGAGCGCCCAGACCATGATGAACACCACGTTGGCGTTCCGTCCGAGCGCGGTCGATCGCTCGAGCTCTTCCTTGGTGTGTCCACCCATGGCGTTCGTCCGGGGGCGACGCGCGCGTGTCTCGCGCGCCGCGGTCGACGCCGCGTCCCTCGGGGTCGGTCTCTTCCTCTCCATCGCGGACCCCACGGTTCGCCGTCTTTTGGTGACCGCATGGCGTCCATCGGGGTCGGTCTCTTCGTCTCCGTCGCGGACCCCATGTGGTTCGCCGTCTTTTGGTCTCTTCGTCTCCGTCGCGGACCGCATGTGACTCGCGCGTTTTCGTCTCGACGCCTCCATCGCGGACCCCATGGTTCGCCGTCTTTTGGTCTCTTCCTCCCCGTCGCGGACCCTCATGGCGTCCATCGTTCGAGTTTTCCTCTCCGTCGCGACCCCCGTGGGCACGCCCTCGCGCGCGGTCGATCGCGCGATCGTCCACCGATCGATCGATCGGTCGACCGGTCGATCGCGCGATCGTCCACCGGTCGAACGCGCGATCGATCGCTCGGCGTCGTGCACCGCGCGCGTTCGCCGTCTCGATCGCGCGCGACGACGGACGACGACGACGACGACGACGACGGGTGGGCGCGCGACGACGACGACGACGACGACGACGACGGGTGCGAACGGCGCGCGAAAGGGCGAACAGGACGAAGAGGGGTGATGCCGACGACGCGCGGGGATGATGATTCCACGCGCGCGCGCGATTCCACGTCGGCGTCGCGGGCGAAGGGCGGGCGCGCGGGACGTGCGCGCGGGACGGGCGCGAAGACGGATCGGGAGATGATCGCGTCGGGGACGGGGGGGGAGACGACGACGCGGGCGACGCGGGTGGTGACACCGAAAAAGGCGCGCGGGGGCGACGACGCGGCGGAATCCGAGGCGGGCGCGGACGCGACGGGGGGGGCGAAGACGGCGCGGGCGGCGAAATCGAAGAAGAGGACGACGACGATCAAGGAGACGGCGGTGAAGGCGCCGAAGGAGCCGACGGAGACGGCGGTGAAGGCGCCGAAGGCGACGAAGCCGACGGCGGTGAAGAAGACGAAGGCGCCGAAGGAGCCGAAGGAGACGGCGCCGAAGGAGACGAAGCCGACGGCGGTGAAGGAGACGAAGGAGCCGAAGGAGACGGCGGCGCCGGCGAAGCGACGAACGGCGCCGGCAAACGCGAAGACGAACGGAGCCAAGGACGCGGTACCGCGCTCGCGAGGAGAAGCGAGCGCGAAAGAGCCGAGAGGGAAAGAGCCGCGAGCGAAGGCGCCGGCGTCGTCGGCACCGGCGTCGTCGGCACCCGCAACGGCGCCGCGGTCGAAGACGAAGCCGATGGAGTTTGAAAAAACGCGCGACGCCTGGAACGACTGGGCGAGCGACCGACACGACCTCACTCGCTCGGTTTTGCCGCTGGAACAGTCCCTGGCGGCGTGGGCGCGCTCCGACGGCGGACGAGCTCTCGCCATGGAGTTGTCCGAACCGTTGTCGTGCGGTAATGATCGCGTGCAAATGAAGTTAGTGGAGGAAGAACATACGGGCGATCTTTACGTGGGATTGATGGTCGACGGGCAGGCGGCGTGTGACGACTTGGCCATGGTGCGCGATCTCATGGAGGCGACGCTCGGCGATTTGGCTCGCATTCGTCGTCGCACAGCGGCGGCGAGCATGCTGGAAAACGAGAGATTGAAGATCCAGGCTGAAATCGATGCCGGTTTGCGCTGCGAGTTCACCATTGGATACAACGCGATGCAAGCGTTACTGCTGGACGGCGGTGAGAAGTTGAAAACGGTTCGCGAACAGTGCGACGTCGATCGCGTCGTCGTCGATCCTCGCAAGCGTACGATTCGCATCGTCGGTAGAAGCGCCTCGGAGGTCGCACGCGCGAGGGATATGCTCGAAATCTCTAACGAGACCATCGACGACGTCCCCGAACTCGCGCTGCGCATGATTATTGGTAAAGGAGGCGCCAAGGTGAACGACATTCAGCAACGAACCGGAGCGAACATCTCCATCGGCTGGGAGAAAAACGCCGTGTACATTCGTGGAGCGCCCTCCGCGGTGAAGGCGGCTAAGATTCTCGTCAAATCGTGCATCAAAACGTACGAAGTCGAGCACGTCGAGGTCACGTACGAAGATTTGGATGAAGTTCGCGAAGAGCTCTCGCGTTTAGACATGGAATGGGGAGGGTCTCCGAACGTGCAGTACGTGCGTGGTGGTCGCGGCCGCCCGCACGGTCCTCGCTCCGTCGCGTAAGCGAGTTGGACGAACCCTTCTTTGTGATACACGCAGCGAACACTTATATTACACCCGACGCGGAGACGTCGCGTCACGCCAGTATCGTCGCCCCCGTGCCCTTGCGCAGGCGCAGCGCGGCGCGACGTTTCCGCTTATAATCGTCCCGCCAACCCTCGACATCTTCTCGCCACTTCTCAAGCATCTCTTTCTCCTCGGTCGCAACCCAAGAGCGCGCCAACTCGTCGATCCCAGACGCCGCGTCCACGCCCATGACGCTCGCCGCGCTCGTCCGCGCCGCCGCAGGTCGACCCTTCCATCGTCCACTCACCCGCTCTCGTCTCTTCTCCCGCGTCGACGCGTCTTCGACTCGCCTTCGCTTCCTCTCCTTTCCTCCATCCATCGTCCCGTCCTCCCCCGACCGCTTCTCCCGCGCGTCGCTCTCGTTCGCGTCGCGTCTCGTCTCGCCGCCCGCCGCCGCCCCATCCGCCCGTCCACGCAGGAACGAAAACGTTGCCGACGCCGGATCGAACCCGGCGTTAAAATCAAACCCCTCCATCGTCTGCGCCCGCGCCTTCGATCGCTCGTGCGCCCGTCGCAGCGCGTCCGCGTCCACGTCCGTCGTCCCGTCCGCGTCCGCCGCCGCCGCCGCGATCGCGCGCACGTCGTCACCGCGCACGAACGCGCGCGCGATCGCGTCCGCGGTCAGGCGCGTCGATCGATCGTTTGCGTCGTCATCCATCGTCTTCGCCGTCGGCGCGCGAAACGCGTCGCGTCGCGGCGTCGGGGCGTCGGAATGACGCGCGGGAATGACGCGATGCGACGATGGAGGACGACGGGCGACGGATTCGACGACGCGCGACGACCGCGGGGGCGGACGTCGATGTCGAAGGCGATGGATAAAAAATTCCGCGTCGGCGCGCGCGCGATCGAGCGCGCGACGCGCGCGGGGTCGAGCGCGGGTGACGGCGATGGGAAGTCGAAGCGACGACGGGATGAAAATAGCGATGGCGCGAGGCGCGGCGTCGGGGCGATGGCGCGGGACGAGGACGTGGACGCGTACCTCTGGCTGACGCGAGCGCGGTGGACGCTGTCGGAGACGGTGGACGCGATGACGCACGCGCAGCGATGGGAGGACGCGCGAGCGGTGGTGGAGTGGGTGGAGGTGGAGCTGGCGATGCGACGTGAATCGGCTTTTTGGGCGCTTCGACAGAGCGAACGCGATCTCGAGGACGCGCTCGTGGACGCGAAGATGACGCCGGATACGTTCGTTGGGTTCACGTCGCGCGGTGCGGTGGAGCGCGAGGGGGGGAAGCGACGGACGTGGGACGAGCGGGTGCGCGCGGCGGCGGCGCGCTGCGATCGGGACGGAAATAGCGTCGACGTCGAATCGATCGTGATCGACGGACTGATGTCGACGAACGATGACCCGGTCGCAGAGCACGGCGGTGAACACGTTATCATTCCGTCGGTCGAGCGCTTTGCGCCTTCGTGCACGGACGATGACGCTGCGCGACGCATTCAAGCCGCGTATCGCGGGCACGCGTCGCGGATGAAGACCAACGCTGAAGCGCGACGAGAGCTCGAGCATCTCCGAATGATACCGAGCGCGCGTTTCTCGAATAAAAAGGCCGAAGAAATGGCTGAGATGAAACGTCGAGAGCAACAGCGCGAGCGAAGCGAGCGAGAACTGGCGTCGCTGCAGGAGAGCGTGCGCCGTGACTTGATTGCAAATCGAGGCGAGCAAATCAGAGAGGAACTCATAGCGTCTGTGGAGCGCGAAGCGACAGTCATCGAGAGCGACGAGGTCCAAAACGACCGTGTGAGCACGTTCAAACACGTCGACGCGGATGTCGAAGAATCGGTGGATACGAGCGTCGATGATGAGAACTTCATGATTCGATTCACTCGAGCGTTTGAAAAGTACACGCGCCGCTGGGCAGATGACGAGAATGCAGATTTAAACGCATTCGATGTCGAACATGTGCGAGCGACGGTGCTGAACGACGTGTCGAACGCGATGAGAGAAGAGATAGAGGAGCATCAGCGAATTCTCGCGGCTGAGAACAAGAAAAAGTCAAAGCCATCCACGAAGAAGAAGGCGTCGGCGGCGTCAACTTTGAAAGCCAACGACAAGCCGTCTACCAAGGCGAAGGCGAAGAAACCGAAAACGTCCAAGACGAAGACCGTGGCGAAAGAAGTAGACGCAGAGCTCATCGACACGCTCGTCCAGCTCGGGATGCTCGAATCGGTTGCACTCGATGGGAGATTGATGGATTACGTCGGCACGGGTGGCGAGCGACGCGAGGGGCGAGACGAGTCAACCATGCTGGAGATTTTTCAGCTCCTTCACATTCTCGCCGTCTCGGTCACCACACCGCTCGCGTCGCAGCGCGTGCACGAACACGCGCCACACATGAAATGCGTTCTCCTGGAGGGACCGGATTCGAATGGAAAGTCGTATCTCGCTCGATTATGCGCCGCGGAGTCTGGGTGCGCACTTTACAATCTCTCGGCGGACCGCTTGGCGTACGCCGAGTCGCGCGGCGCCAACGTCAAGGGTCTCATCAAGAGCGTATTCCAGGCTGCGAAACTGTCATCACCGAGCGTGATTCTCATTCGACACGTCGACGCGTTCTTCCCCGAAAAGGGCAAAAAAGCGAAAGCATCCGAGGCGGCCGAAACCGCGCGAAAGCTCCGCAAGGACGTCGCGAAGGAGATCAAGGCACTGAAACCGGGCGCACGAGTCGTCGTCATGTGTACGAGAACGCTCGTCTCAGGCGCTTCATCGAGCGAACCTAAGGGGTTCGATAAATTTTTCAGCCTTCGCCTCGAGGTTCCGGCTCCCGATTACGGCGGTCGCCGTCGAGTCTTGAGCGAGGCGCTCCGCGCGGCGTCGCTCGCGCCGAGCGATCATCTCCGTCGACGAACAGGCGACGACGCGTTCGCCACGCTGGTGTGTCACGCATCGAAAGGAATGACCACGGGCGCGCTCTACGCCCTCGCTCGAGCGGTCGCCACGCACCGATTGTCGGCCACGGACGATCCCTGGCGAGCGCTCCTCCGTCGAATCGAAAGCAACTAAAAGCGTCTAAAATTAACATCTCACCCTAATAACCTAAACGTAAAGCCGGGCGATACCACTAACGTCGCACCGTCGCACGATTAAATCCACGGATTCTCCGAATCCTCCAACACATCCTCCACGACGACCGCCATGACGGTCGCCGCGCAAAAGATGGACGCCGCCGCGCCCACGTTTTCGCCGCGACTCACGAAGAATCCCGCGCACAGCGCCGCCCCCGTCCCCGCCGAGAGCCAATCCTTGGACATCACGCGCTCAATCGCCATCCGCACGCGCTCGTTCTCCCGTGCGCGCGTCGTTCGCGTCGTCCGTCGTCCCGCGTCGGACGCGCGCGAGGTCGACGACGATGATGACTCGGACGACCCATCGGTGGTTTCCCCCGAACCGTCTCCCGTCGCTCGCGCGTCGCCCGTCCGTCGTCCGCGTCCGCGCACCGCGGTCCGACGTCCCAGACCCACGCGCGCGCGCGCGCGCACGGGCGTCACCACCCACGGCGCGCACGTCGTCGCCATCGCGCCCGTCGCGTCGTCCCGTCGCGGCATTCACGCGCGTCGCGCGGCGAATCTTCCCGTCGCGCGCGCGGGCGCGATCGTCCGTGTGGGCGAACAGTCCGCGCGTCCGTCGCCCCACGACGTCCGTCGCACCATCGGTGATCGATTCACCGCGTCACGATCGATCGAAACTTTGGTCGGTCGGTCGAAACGTCGGTCGGTCGGTCGGTCGAAACGTCGGTCGGTCGGTCGGTCGGTCGAAACGTCGGTCGGTCGAAACGTCGGTCGGTCGGTCGGTCGATCGGTCGGTCGGTCGATCGGTCGATCGGTCGATCGGTCGGTCGGTCGATCGGTCGATCGATCGACGCGCGCGAGAGATCGGCGACGACGACGACGACCGCGACGATGGGCGCGGGAGACGACGGCGCGCGCGAGACGCGAGCGATGCCGAGGTCGCGTTCGCGGCGATGGGGCGCGCGCGCGGTGGTGACGATGGTGACGCTCGCGGTGACGGTGACGATGCGCGCGGTGTCGGGGGCGCGCGCGGCGAGCGCGGTGGGGGAGGGATCGGTGGCGATGCGCGCGCGTGATTTGGAGGGGTATCTCGCGCAGGCGCCGATGGGGGCGACGATCGGGGTGAAGTTTTACGCCCCGTGGTGCGGGCATTGCAAACTCATGGCGCCGGCGTGGGAGGAGTTCGCGCGAGAGGGAACCGAGGGCGGGTACGTCGCGCTCTCGGTGGACGCGAGCGGGGACGAGGCGAAGGAGGTGAACGCGAAGTTCAATATCAAGGGATTTCCCACGCTGTTTTTCTTCTCCGGTGGGGAGGTTTTCGAGTACTCGGGCGCGCGCACGGCGGAGGCGTTTCGAGCCTTCGCGCGAGGCGCGCGCGACGGCGCGCACTCGCGCAAGTATGCCGTGGACTCGAATACGAATAAGATTGTGTTCCATGCACCATCGGTGACGTATCGTTTGAGGGAGTTGGTTCGCGACGTCGCGCGAGACTTCACGCGCGTGTTCTCCGCGAAGCCCGCGGTGTGCGTCTCCATCTTTTTGTTTGGTCTCTGGCTGGGCATGTTCAGCGTCGTCGCCACCTTCTTCCTGGCGGGTGACTACGCCGCGGCAAAGAATTGGCGAGAGTTCATGCACAGGAACGCGGAGAAGATCAAGGCGAGCTCGAAGCTCGAGAACGACCCAAAGGCGGCGTAGGACCCCGGTCGAGGTCGACCCCGCGAACACCACCCACCGCGGGATCGACCGATGATTCGCTCGCGAAAAGTTGTTTCCAGGGGGGACTCTTCACGAGTGATGGACTCGTCAAAAAAGATATTTTTTCCATGCGCCCATTCGCACGCGTGCAATTTATTTCATTTCTCCACGACGCTCGATTCGTACTGTACGACGTGATCACCCAAGCGTAAACGACCAATCCCTCGAGCACGCCCCTCGACCGTCGGCCGCGGCGCGTCGGCGGTGGATTATCGGTGTCCGCGCGACGTCTCCCCGGCGTCGTCGCGCGCGCGCGTGACATCGCCGCGCGCTTCCGTGACGAAGAATTCGTCGCCGTCGCGTCGCGGTGCGGTTTTCACCGCGGTCGCGCGTCGCTTCGGAGACGCCGGTGATCGCATTCGCGAGCGCACCAACGCGCGTTTCGCGATACGGCGCGACGATTACGCGCGCTCGTCGATCGTCGGTTCTGAGGTGCGTGTCGCGACGAAACGTAGATGCGCTCGACTCGAGTGCGCGAACGCATTATTACCCGTCGTTTCATCGAACGCGTGCGCGTCGAGCGGGAGCGCGTGACGTGGGAACGGTGATCATATCGCTTCGCGTGCCGCTGAAGCGCCAGCGAGGATGAATGCGATTAGTGGACGGGACGTCGCACGTTCGAGGTCTCGTCCGGTCGTATCGACGGGATAACCGAGAGAATTGATCGTTGATGGATGTACGCGCGTGAGCGGTCGAGGGGCGGTCACGGCGGGCTAGGCGTGGGTCGAACGTCGCGCAAAGAGGATAGTGCGCGGGTGTTCGGCGCGTCGACTGGGGTCCCACCCGATCGTTCAGTCTCAGCGGCTGAGATGTAGGCGGCGCAAGAGGGGCGAATACATCGTATGGATGTACTCGACGCGATACTAGAGACTAACGGCGATGCGTCGCGCGCAGGTTGCCAAGACAAGGGTACCGAGGAGACATTTATTCCTTTACAGCGTCGTCTAGATGTCGCTGAGCACGTCTCCCGTGCTCGCGGCGGCGGCGTCCAACGATTTGTCACAGATTCGATGGCTTATTGAACGTGAGAACGTACCGGTTGATTTTGTGGGAGATTGGTACGCCGAGCCCAGAAGTGGTGGGAAAGGCTTGGAGCGGCAGCGTCGCACGCCATGCATGGTCGCGGCGTCGCACGGGGCCCTGGAGGTGCTCTTGTACGTTCTACAAATGGGCGCAGATCCGAATAAGCGAAGCGAGGACGACGAGCGATGTACGGCGATGCACTGTGCCGCGGCGGGTGGCGCCGCTCTCAGTACAGAGGCGATCAGGACATTACTTATGTTTGGAGCGGATAGGAACGCTAGGGACATGTACGGACGCGTGCCCGCAGATTGCCTTCCGAGTACGACCAGTGACCCGATGTACGGTTCGTCAGATGCGGGCGGTTCTAGCTCGGGGGGTAGCGCGAGCACCGGAGGAAATAGAGGCCACGGTCCTTCTTCTCAGGCTGTGAACTCTCAGGCGGCGTTGCAAGATCCAGACGAAGAGACGCTAATGAGCGATGAGTTCCGAATGTACGAGTTTAAGATTCGAAGGTGCTCGCGGACAAGAGCGCACGATTGGACGGAGTGTCCGTACACGCATCCGGGCGAGAAGGCGCGTAGAAGAGACCCAAGGAGGTTCAACTACTGCGGAACGGCGTGTCCAGAATTCCGCAAGGGGTCGTGTCCGCAGGGTGATGTGTGCGAATACGCTCATGGAGTCTTCGAATGCTGGCTGCATCCATCGCGATATCGCACGCAATTGTGCAAGGATGGCCCTGCGTGCGATCGTCGTGCCTGCTTTTTCGCACACCACACGTCGCAGCTGCGCGTGCCGACGGACGCCCATGGAAATCCAATTGGCAACGTGTCGCCGAACACGCCGTCGCCAACGGGAAGCGGTTCACCGCAGAGCTCGCCTCGACAATCGAGTGCATCTGTTGATTGGGGACAGCGAAGTAGTGAGAGCGACAGCATACCGAATAGCATGGCTGCAGCTATTCTGAAGGGAAACATGATGGCCAATGCGTCGGCTCAGTTTGGCAATGGGTTGCAGTTCCCTCAGATGTCGCGTGCGATGGATCAGATGCTGGGCCAGCCTCAGTACAGTCAGTCCTCATCGCAGCAGTTCCTGTCGATCCAACGTGATCAGCAGCCGATGCGACAGCAGCAGGAATTCGCTCAACATAACGTGCAAGCGCAGCAGCAGCAGTTCCTGGTGAACTACGCGTCGCTGATGAATGGAATGGATTTCCAAGGCTCTGCGCAGAGCACTTTTCCGTTGGGCTTTGGCAACATGATCCAAGGGTCGAGCGGTACAATGGGTCATGGAGAAAACACCTACCAGTCTCAACAACGACATATGCTGTCGCAAAAGTCTGCGGTCACGACAAACAGTCATGCTTCTGTCCAGTCAGGCACGCGCATGGAGAGTGCGGCAAGCTACGCAGACAAGTATGGGTTGAACGCCGGGGCCAAGGTGTTCACCCTTCCCGGGGGCGATCAATTTTCGCACATTCGCCGCAACTCCGACTCCTTCCAGCACCTCGGCATGATCGAAGGCGTGCTCGATGGAGAGGAAGTCGCAGGCGCAAGGGAATATCAATAAAACAATAATCAAACTCGTGGCCAATTATAACACGAGTGTTACTGTATTCTAGCTGATTTGGTGGGGAACATATTTTTCCGTCACTACATTCGTGCGGCTTTCACAGAGAAGCGTCATTAGCATTCTCTCCACACTGGCGTTTGTGTCCACCCAAGTGGTGCAAAACAGTTACATTAACCATACATTATATTCGCAGCAGCAGTCGCTTCACGTCTCATCACATTCATACGCACATCCATCATTGTAATGTACACCTTGAATTTGGTCTATTTATGAACGCTCGCAAGCGCAGTTTATATTACAAATTAAGCGTGCACATGAAGAGAAAGATCAACTTATGATTTCGAGAAGGTCGGTTGCCCGATCGCGAAACGCAACCGCTCAAACATGCGACCCTCTGGATCGACGGTTCGCGGCGCAGAGATGACGGGTGGTATGGGCAGGTAGACGTAGTGACCAGAGCACATCCCGACGGTCACGGCGCTGAGACCTGCGAAGGCGGCGTGCACGGCGTTTTGACCTAAAATCGAGCAGTACACAGCGTCAGAGGCGTTTGTCCTGCACGCGCGAACCATGTATGTGGGATCGATGTACTTGATGTCGACGTTCGGCTTAGCCTCCTTGAGCTTTTGTTGCAGGTATTTCGCAAAATTCTGCAACACCGGGTTTCCGCTCGCGTCTGTCTCACCGATCATACCGAGCTGCTCCTGCCCGGCACCTTCTGCGACGACGATCACGGCGTGGTTTTGTCGCTCAATGACCCTGACAATGTGCGCCAAAACGCCACCACTCCCCTCCAAAGGACAGTCAATCTCCGGAATCAGACAAACATCCGTGTTCCCACTCGCCAAGGCGGCGTGCATGGCAATAAAACCAGATTGTCGACCCATCAAACGCACCAATCCCACGCCGTTGTCCGCGCTCCTCGCCTCGATGTTCGCCGAGCGGATGGCCTTGACGGCTTCATCGACGGCGGTTTGGAAACCGAAAGTCCTATCGAGCAACAATATGTCGTTATCAATCGTCTTCGGGACTCCGATCACCGACGTCGTGAGATTTTTCTCTCGACACAGCTTGTCGATGGCCAGCGCGCCCGCGTGCGAACCGTTACCGCCGATGACGAAGAGGAAATCCAGCTCCATCTCTTCAATTTTTTGTACAATTGCCGGCATATCCGCCCCGCCTCGACTCGATCCGAGCATGCTTCCTCCAGTGATCTGAATGTCATCCACAATAGCCGACGTGAGCTTCATCGGCGCCTCGAGCGCATTCTCTGGATCGGCAAAGAATCCCCTAAAGCCGTATTTGATCCCGACAATGTCCTCCACTCCGTAGTCCTCCAACGTCAGCGTGATCGACCGAACGACGTCGTTCAGACCCGGACACAGCCCTCCACACGTCACGATCGCCGCCCGCACTTTTTTCGGATCATAGTATATCACTTCCCTCGCCCCCGCGCGCACCGCGCGCTCGTCCGAGAACGCGACGTCTTCCTCGCTCGCCGCCTCGCCGCTCGACCCCGTCGTCCGCAGCGGGTTCAGGCTCACGCTATCGCCGTTATCGATGAACCGCTGTCCGAGACCAAACTGCCACAGCGCGCCACCGCGGGCGAACGGGCTCGGTCGCTTGGGCAGATTGTACATCTCACCGATGTGCTCGGGGAGGAAAATCTCGCGCACGCTCGGGGAGAAGAGCGTCGTCGCGTCGTAATCGGGACGCGGCGTCGCGTTCGACGCCGTCTTCGAGCGCGCGCGCGATGCGTACGCGCGCGCACCGAACGCGGGCGGCCGCGTCACGGGCGCGCGCGCGACGCGCATGGCGCACCGATCGAGCGCGCGCGAGTGCGGGTCGACGCGCGAGGTGTTGTGCAGGTGAGCCGCGCGGACGCGCGCGTCTTTGATATCTTTGATATTACCTCCGCGACGCTACACGAGCTCAGCCTTGGGTGGATCGAAAGCTAAGAGATCCCGAAATCGTGAGTACTGCGCGAGCATGACCTGACCGCGTTCGAGTTCGATCGTCTCGCCGTTGGGCTGCACAAAGTTTGGAACGTCTTCGCGCATGCGGAAAATCACGAACGCGTCGAGGTTCGGTTTCGGAATCATCTTCTGCGCGGTCGCCTCCTCGTCCGCCTCACCACTATACTCGACCATCATGTCTCGATATCCCTCCGGGAGATCCTTCAAGACGTCTTCGAAGTGCCCTTGCAAGGCTTCGATGTATCCTTCGGCGAATTTTTGCTCCGCCTCGCTCAACTTTGCAAACGTATCCGCGTCGGTGAGCACGTGCAGGGCGTGCGTCTCGATCTTATGTAACCGCGTCCGTAAATACTCCCGCATGATGTACCTCACCCTGTTCACCTCGATCCACATCAGATGATCCATCAACTTCTCGCTCTCCTCCTCCGCGCCGCCGCCTCCGCTCTCGGCGCGTTCGCGCGCGCGCCGCTCCAACTGCTCCACCCGCGCATCCGTCCTCGTTCGCACGTCCTCAAACGTCGACGCCGCGTACGCTCGCATCTCCGGGCACAATCTCTCGAGCACCCACGCGCGTTTCAGCATCATCACCGCGCTCGTCGTCGGTTCGAATCCCTCATCCAGATTCATCGTTCGCTCATCCAACCCATCCGCATCATCCTCCCCCTCCGGTGCGTACGCGCTCGGTTCGACCGCATCGTCGTCGTCGTGACCGAGATGAAACCCGTACCCATCGTCATCCGCCATCGTCGGTCCCCGTCGTCGTCGTCGACGCCCGTCGCGGTCGCGCGATCGCCGATCCACTCGCGCCGCGCCGGTGACTGTCCGACCGGACCGCGAACGGGCGGCCCCGGCGGTGCCTCGATGTGTACGAAAACCCGTACGTTGACGCACACGCACACACCATGGACGACGCGTCGGTCCGGGCGACGCCGACGGGGGATGACGTCGACGGCGCGCGCGTCGGCGCCGCCCGCATCGCCGCGCGCATGCTCCGCGGCGCGCTCGCGATGACGACGCGCGCGAGGGCGGGGCCGGGGATGTCGTCCACGCGCGCGCGCGCGCGCGCGGTGATCGCACGACGGGCGCGAGGCGGGACGACGCTCGGTCGAACGGCGAGCGCGAGCGCGACGCGACGCGGGCGAGGGACGATCGCGCGCGCGAGCGGGGGGGAGAAGAAGGAGAAGAATGCGTACGGTGAGACGGTGCGGTTGCCGAAGACGAGTTTTGAGATGCGGGCGAACAGCGTGGTGAAGGAGCCGAAGATGCAGGAGTGGTGGCGGGAGCGCGGGGTGTACGAAACGCTGAGAGATCGAGACGGTGAGGCGTTCGTGCTGCACGATGGACCGCCGTACGCGAACGGGGATCTACACATTGGACACGCGCTGAATAAGATTTTGAAGGATTTCGTGAACCGGTGGGAGATGATGAATGGGAAAAAGGTGCGCTTCGTCCCTGGGTGGGACTGTCACGGACTCCCGATCGAGCTCAAGGTGTTGCAGAGCATGGACGCGGAGGCGCGAAAGAATTTGACGCCGATCAAGCTTCGTTACAAGGCGAAGGCGTTCGCGGAGAAGACGGTGAAGGCGCAGCGCGAGCAGTTCAAGCGATACGGCGTGTGGGCCGACTGGGAGGATCCCTACATGACGCTCCTGCCAGAGTACGAGGCGGCGCAGATGGAAGTTTTCGGTAGCATGTTCCTGAACGGACATATTTACCGCGGGAAGAAGCCCGTGCACTGGTCTCCGTCGAGCATGACGGCGCTCGCCGAGGCTGAGCTCGAATACCCCGAGGGACACTTCTCGCAGAGCATCTACGTCGCGTTTCCGGTCTCCGAAGTTCCAGATTCGACGCCGAGCGCGCTGAGGGATCTGCTCAAGGACGCATCTCTGGCTATTTGGACAACGACGCCGTGGACGATGCCGGCGAACGCGGCGGTGGCGGTAAATGCAAAGTTGGACTACTCCGTGTGCAGAGTGGAATCGACGGGCAAAACGCTCGTCGTCGCCGAAGGTTTGCGCGAAGCCGTCGCGGCGAAGTTAGAGTCCGAGCTCACTACTCTTGGAACATTCAAGGGTCAAGATTTCGAGAACGTGCAGTACTCACATCCGTTCTACGAACGCAAGTCGCCCGTCATCATCGGCGGCGAGTACATCACCACCGAAACTGGTACCGGTTTGGTTCACACCGCTCCCGGTCACGGTCAGGATGATTACATCTCGGGCATGAAGTACGGGTTGCCGTTGTATTCGCCGGTTGATAACGCCGGTTTGTTCACCGCCGAGGCTGGTGGAGATTTGGAGGGAAAGGATGTGTTGGGCGACGGCAACGTGCTGTGCATTGAAAAGTTAGAAACAGCTGGGGCGCTTCTCAAGCGCGAGAAGTACGGACACAAATACCCGTACGACTGGCGCACGAAGAAGCCTACGATCTTCCGCGCGACCGAGCAATGGTTTGCGTCTGTCGAGGGCTTCCGTGAGGACGCTCTCAAGGAGTTGGACAAGTTGCAGTTTATTCCTGAGTCCGGCTCGAAGAGAATGCGACCGATGGTTAGTGGGCGCGCTGACTGGTGCATCTCTCGTCAGCGAGCGTGGGGCGTACCGATTCCGGCGTTTTACCACAAAGACACGAACGAGGTGCTCATGGACGAAGCCATCATCAAACACGTCACAGAGATCGTTCGCGCGAAGGGTACGAACGCGTGGTGGGAGTTGGAGGTCGAGGATCTCTTGCCCGAGGAGCACAAGGCCAAGGCGGGTGAGTACGTTCGCGGTACCGATACTATGGATGTGTGGTTTGACTCCGGAAGCTCTTGGGCTGGTGTGGTGAAGACCCGCGGTATGTCGTTTCCCGCCGACGTGTACCTGGAGGGCAGCGATCAGCACAGAGGTTGGTTCCAATCGAGTCTTCTCACCGGCGTCGGTGCGATGGGTCAGGCGCCATACAAGACGATTTTGACGCACGGCTTCGTTCTGGATGAGAAAGGATACAAGATGTCCAAGTCTTTGGGTAACGTTATCGACCCTCGCACGGTGATCGAGGGCGGAAAGAACCAAAAGCAGGAGCCAGGCTACGGCGCCGATACGCTTCGCCTGTGGGTTGCGAGCACGGACTATTCCGGAGACGTGAGTATTGGTATGAACATCATCAAACAAACGAGCGAGGCGTATCGCAAGCTCAGAGGGACGATTCGATTCGCGATGGGCGTTCTGGATGATTTCAATCCGGCGCAGCAAGTGCCGTACGATGATTTGCCAGTGTTCGACAAGTACGTCCTTCATCGCTTGAACGCGACGGTGAAAGAGATTGAGAGCTCCTACAAGGCGTTCGACTACAGCCGAGTGGTCTCGGCGGTGACCTCTTTCACGACATTCCTTTCCAACGTCTACTTGGACGTCAGCAAGGATAAGTTGTACATTGGCGCACAAGATGACTTCAAGCGACGAGCATGTCAGACCGTAGTGTCTGCCTTGGTCGAGCGTATTATCGCTGCAATCGCACCGCTTACGCCGCATATGGCAGAGGAGGCGTTCCAAGCGCTGCCGTACGATAAGCCCAACGGAGCAATTTCCGTTTTCATCGCCGGTTGGCCGTCCACCCCGGCGGCCTGGTCCGAGCTCGACGCCAAGGACGTGGAGTTCTGGGACTCATTCTTAGAGATCCGCGACGGCGTGAACAAGGTGCTCGAAGAAGCTCGTACTGCCAAGCTTCTCGGAGCGTCTCTCGAGTCGAAGGTTACTATGCACTGCTCTGACGCCAAATTCCTGGCTAAGCTCACTGGCGAAGGCATTGCCGAGGAGTTGAGATACCTCTTCATCGTTAGCGAAGTCCAGCTCGCTGATTCTAGCGATGTCGCAATCGCCGGGTGTGACTTCAAGTCCGTCGTTGACGTTCCCGGCGCCGGTACCGTGTCCATCGGTGTCGCTCGTGCCGCTGGCTCCAAGTGCGCTCGATGCTGGAACTTCTCCCCTCTCGTCGGCTCCGACGCCAAGCACTCGCAGCTGTGCGAGCGGTGCGTCCCGATCGTGAACGCCACGCACCCGGATCTCGTCGTCCCTGAGCCCGCCGCCGCGTAATCGACGCATGTAATCGCATTCCCCAACGATTCTATTCACCAGCTCTCTGAAAAGTACCTGAAAAAATCCAAGTTAACGATGACATTTAAAGTCATTCTTCGCATTTCCTTAGTGTACGGCGATATCAGCAGAGATTTCTCGCCATGTCCGACGCCATGACATCGTTCACCGACGAATTCGTCTCCTCCTTCGTCGTCTCCGGATGTCTCGCGTCGCTCGGCGTCCAAGCGCGCGTGCTTCAGACGAGCGTTGTTCCGATCGCTACCCGGCTGCTCAACGCGCCTGATTTCATCCTCGACGACGTCTCCGCCATGGTCACCATGCTCTTCGTGAACCTGGTGATCATATTCGGTCCCACGTACGTCACACTCAGTCGTGGGGCGGCGAATAACCCGGTGGTGTACGTTCTCAAGGCGATGCTGGGACGATGCGGGAAACGCAGAGCGGGCGCGAACGCGTTGGCGTCCATTGCGGCGCACATCGCGTCTCTCTACGCGCTCGATCGAGCGGCGACAGCGTTTCCGGAGTACTTTCCAGGTAAAGCCCCGGTTCGAGCGCTGATCCCGAGCGGAGGGTTCACGCGCGGCGCGCTCGCGGAGGCGGCTGTGACGTCGGCGAATTTCATCTTCGCGGGCCTAGCCGAGAAGACGTTTTCCAGCCCCCTGTTGCCAGCGATCGGTAGTGGATTTTATGTCTTGACGATGATGATGGAAGGGTGCAAGAACTCGTGCGGATACATGAATCCCTCTCCGGTGATTGCCAGTCACGTCGTTGCGGGAAATATCTTTTCGCGAGAGGCGCTCGACGCTATTGGGACGTACGTCGTCGGCGCGCTCTTAGGTTGCGTCATCACGTGGTTGGTGGCGAAAGCAACCACGCCCGAGCCGAAGTCCGTACGACGACAGCGCTCTACCTCCAAGGCGGCGCAGCGTTCGCTCTCTAAGAGACAGCCGAGCGCTCGTAGCAAGGCGAAATCAAGTTAGGAGTTGACAAGATTTTCTTCCACTGCGGAGCGATTAATCTTCGGTCGTCCGTGTGATGAGTGTGTAGTCCGTGTGATAAATGTGTAGTCCGTGTCATAACGCTCGTAGTATCGCGCGATTCGTTCCGGAGTTTTGGTCATCAATAGCATCACAAACGCATCTACGGGACGAGTTCTGGTAAATCGTCATCCTCCTCTTCCTCTTCGACGGGCGTCAAAAACGGCGAGTTTTTCTTCTTTGCGTCCGTCGGCGCATCCTCGTTGGATTTCATGTTCGCGATGAGATCTTGTAATTGTTTCATCGACGCCGGGTCGCCCATGCCCGGAGGCATCCCCTCGCCGCCCATGCCGCCGCCCATGCCGCCCATGCCGCCCATGCCGCCCATGCCGCCCATGCCGCCCATCATCGACTGCATATCAAATCCACTGACGTCGACGTCGTCAGCCGCATCGTCCTCGTCCGCCCATCGATCGAAGTCAACTTTCAGATTCGCCGGCTTTGGCTCGGTTTTCGCCACCAGCCGTTCCCACCACTCCGCGTCCTCCTTCATCAACACGACGAACACCGATCGTCCCGTCGTCGCGTACGTCGACTTCTCTTTACTCACCGCCTTGTGCAGCTTGAGCGTCTCCGCGTAGGACGTCCCATCGGGTCCGATCGCGGAGAAGACGAAACCGTCGCCCGCGATGTCGATCGTCACCTCTCGCGCATCCTGGAGCTCGATCGTGAGGTACACCTTATCCTCGCGCTCGGCCCACTTCATCGGGGGGTGCATCGTCGCCATCGTCCTCGCCCGCGCGCCCGTTCGCCCGCGTCGCCGTGCGCGGGCGTCCGCGCCGTCGCGTCACCGCTGCCTTCCTCCGCGCGTCCGATCGCGCCGTCCTCCGCGCCCCCATCGGGTCCGTCGACACGCGACCTGGAGGCTAAAATACACATCCCGAGGCGATAAATACACACCCGCGCGGCGGTGCGCGACGCCGTCGGGGCCGTCGACAGGGTACACGTGCGTCTGAATACGTATCGTGTGTGTATACATACACACCTGAGAGACCTATGTCGAATGCCGGGCACGCCGTCGGGGCCGTTGATGGGGTTCCGATGGCCCGAATACGCATCCGCACCCGTCGGGCGTCGACGCGACGGGCGACGCCGCGCCCGCGCGCGCGCGCGCGGTCTCCCGCGCCCGTGGGCGACGCGCGCGTGAGAACGCGACGCGCGCGCGCGCGGTCGGTCGACGCGTCCGTCGGCGCGCGCTCGGTGAGCGCGCGGGCGCGGGGGGGGGCGCGCGAGGGACCGCGGTGGGCGCGCGCGCGCGCCGGGCGCGGGTGGTCGACATGACGACGACGACGGGCGCGGACGCGGGGTCGATCGCGGCGCTCACGACGAGAGATGTGGTGCGTGTGCGGTCGATGATGCGGTCGATGGCGAATCGCGCGCGATCGGGAAGGGGGGGGGAGCAAGGCGAGAATGCGATGCATTCGAGTCGTTTGTTCGAATTCATTCCGTTGAAAAGGAGAATGTCGGCGACGACGACGACGACTGACGGGGGCGATCTCGCGCGCGTTCGGTGTGAAATAGGTGTACGAGACGGTGAAAATTGATGGCGATCCGAATGAGGTCGGACACGTCGTGCACACGGGCGCGCCGGGGGCGAGCGGGGAGATCAGCTACGAGACGGTGCGCGTGGTGGGACACGGGTCGTTCGGCGTGGTGTATCAGGCTCGGTGCAGGGAGAACGGCCAGGAGGTGGCGATTAAAAAGGTGCTTCAGGATAAGAGGTTTAAGAATCGTGAGCTGCAGATCATGAAGGCGGTGGAGCATCCGAACGTGGTGAAGCTGATACACAGTTACTATCACACGACTGCGGAGGAAGAGGTGTACCTGAACTTGGTTTTAGAGTTTGTCCCGGACACGGTGTACAGGATCGGTAAGCACTACTCCAAGAACAACCAGCGAGTGCCGGGGTTACTGGTGAAGTTGTACACCTATCAGATGGCGCGAGCGCTAGCGAGCGTGCACAAGTTGGGAATTTGTCACCGGGACATCAAACCGCAAAACTTGCTCGTCGACAGCAAGACTCACGTTTTGAAAATCTGCGATTTCGGTAGCGCGAAGATCCTCGCACCGACAGAACCAAACATTTCGTACATCTGCTCGAGGTACTACAGAGCGCCCGAGTTGATTTTCGGCGCTGTGCACTACACGACGGCGATCGACATCTGGAGCATCGGATGCGTCACGGCGGAGCTGCTTCTCGGCTCACCGTTGTTCCCGGGAGATAGTGGAGTCGATCAGCTCGTGGAGATCATCAAAATTTTAGGCACACCGACCAAGGAACAGATATTGCACATGAATCCGGGCTACACTGACTTCACGTTCCCACAGCTCAAACCGCACGCGTGGTCAAAGGTATTCTCGAAGAATGCCGATCCGCTGGCGATAGACTTGATCTCAAAAATCCTAGTTTACGTCCCACAGGAGCGCTTCAACTGCATGGAGCTCTGCGCACACGAGTATTTCGATGAGTTACGCGATGAATCGACGAGGTTACCCGACGGCAGCGCGCTGCCGCCACTGTTCAACTTTTCAGACGACGAGTTGAGTTCGCTCGACGATAATCTCAAGGCAAAGCTCATCCCAGCGCACGCTAGATGAGCGTCGCGTCGTCGATCGTTCGAGTGCGTTTGTCCAAGTCGTGTAAATTATCAAACGAAGGTCATGCTCGCATGAATTTAGCATCCGCGGTCTTCCCCTTTGTAATAACAAATCAAACAGGACTTTTTCGCGATTTTAGCTACTCAAACTTCAAACGGCACGAATTCCGGTTGGTCGAAGAGTTGCGCCTTGTCAACGGCCGACAGCACCTTACCGTTCGCCTTTGCCTTCAACACGCACTTAATCACGAGGTCCGCGACGTCTTCGCGGTGGATGGCGCCGCAGATGTTCGTGTCCTCGGTCAGCACCGCCGTGCTCGTCAGCGGTTCGCTCTTGAGCCCACCCGGTCGCACGATCACGTATGCCATCCCCGTCGCCGCGCTCACCTTCTTCAAATGTTCCTCAGCCTTCGCTTTCTCGATCAGAACCGGCTTGAGCGCTTCGTACACGTTCGGCGGCGGCGCCCCCGCGCTGTCGCCCGCGCCGATGCTCGTCACGAGCACAAACTTCCCGACTCCCTTCTTCGCCGCGGCGTCAATCAGCGCGATGTTCGCCTCGCTATCCGCTCTCGGATCCGCCGGCGTCCCCCCGATCGTGCTCACGACCGCGTCGTACTCATCGCTCTGGTTCATCGCCTTATCCACCGCCTTTGGGTCCAACGCGTCGCCCTTCACCAGAAACCCTCCCACGGATTCAATCTCCTTTCGGTTCGTCTCGTGTCGCTGCAACACCGTGGCCCACGTGCCCTTCTCGGTGAGCTGTCGGAACACATCCATGGCGACGCCGTTACCGCCGCAGACGAGGACGGAGATGTTATCCGGTTCCAGGTCGCCCGCCGCGCGCGCGATGACGGACCTGACGTTTCGGATAACTCGCGGTTTGGCGCACGATCGCGCGTCGCGCGACGGCGTCGAGGACCGCGTCGGGCGGGGAGTGGGCGAGAGGGCGCGCGCGGACATGTCTGTATCGGTGTTCGCGCGCGTGCGGGCGACGATGGAGGCGTCGACGTGTGGGGGGCGACGATCGGTGCGGTGGTGATTATGATTAATCTCTCAGATCACGCGCGCGCGGGAGATTTGGAGAAAGAGACGGGCGCTGTTCGAGCGGGCGACGCGGGACGGACGCGGGGCGATTCGGGTGAGCGATGACGGGGAACGTCGAGAGAGTGGGAAAATGTGACGTCGATTGTAAGAGGCTAGTGCATGCGAGTGACGCGACGACCCTCGGCGCGCTCCTGGATGTCGCCGCGTTGGGTCATGACGAGGAGCGCGCGCGTGACGGCCCACTCGTTGACGCCGATGCGCGCGAGATCGTCGATGACGTGACGCTTGGACATCGTGGCCCCGATAGCGAGCTTTTGCTTGATCTGCGTCTCGACCACTTGGAGCTCTTCGCGCTGCTCGGCGCTGAGGACAACCATGTCGGCGACGCCCGAGCGCGCGGCGTCAATGGTGGAAACCTCAAACAGTCGCAGCGCCTCTTGTACGTGCTCCTCCGTGACGACGGTCTGAAGACACATCTTTGCGAGAGATTCGGAGATACGAATGATCGCCTCGAGCTGACGAACGGTAATTGGCACAGCGGCGTGACCGCCTGTGCGCTTGCGCTCTCTCATCTCTTCGCGATACCTCACGTACGAGTCCTCCAACATTTTCATGGCCCGTTCGCTTAAACGCGGTCTGCACACGGCGCGCGCGTACTCTATGTAACGCTTCAAGAACTGGCGTTCCTTCTCTTGCACCGGGTCCGACACGAGCGCGAGCTCATCGCCGCCGCCGGCGTGAATATTCAACACGTGATCTGCGATTTGCATGTCGCGCTCGTACTCTCTCGCGTCTCTGACGATGAAAATCATGTCGAAACGAGACAAAATGGTCGTTTGTAGATCAATATTTTCTTGTGCCGTCTTCAAATCATCGTATCGACCGCTCGGTGGGTTCGCCGCCGCGAGAACAGCGGTTCGACTGTTCAACATGGTGGTGATGCCAGCTTTGGCGATTGAAATCGTCTGCTGCTCCATGGCTTCGTGAATGGCGACGCGATCTTCGTCCCGCATCTTGTCGAACTCATCGATGCAAACGCATCCACCGTCAGCGAGTACCATGGCACCGCCCTCGAGATAGAACTCGTTGTCTGCACCCCGGATCACGGACGCGGTGAGACCCGCAGCGGATGAGCCTTTGCCTGACGTGTATACGCACACCGGCGCCGTGCGCTCAACGAACTTCAAAAACTGCGATTTAGCAGTGGACGGGTCGCCCAGTAAGAGCACGTTCACGTCACCCCTTCTCGTCGTTCCATCCGGGTGGTGCTTGCGAGTGCCCGAAAAGAGCAAACACGCGACGGCCGCCTTGATATCATCGCTCCCAAAAATCGCGGGCGCGATGCGCGCGCGAAGGTCCTTGAGCATCTCCTTGAATGGACGATTCGCGAACGTTTTAAACTCGGTGTGCTCAGCATCGCTGAAGTGAGCATCACCACGCGCACCTTCGCTCTCTTCGTCGATGCCAATCACGCGCAGGTAACCGTGCCGCACAGCGACTTTACCGCCGCCGCGCTCGCGCTTGCTCCCGCCACCGCTTGTCGTCTCGTACACCCCCATAATCTTAACCCGAGTTCCCGGAACGACCGAGAGAACCATCGTGCGCTCGATCAAGGCGGACATGTTCCGCGGCATTTCACCAGCCTGGACGCACTCCGGGTTCTCCTGCAATTTGATGTTCTGTTGGTCTATGAACACGCTCTTTTCCGGTACGATGCGAAACGGATCAGTCCCGCACGGGTTCGCCTCCTGACCGACCTGGGTGCCCCGCGATGCGCTCGCGTTGCAGTGCCTTGGTACGTTCACGCCACTATAACCTGCAGCGACATCGACCGTGATCCGGTTGCTGCACGTCTTGCACTCGAGCGTCATGTGCTTCGCCTTTGTCCTCGCCTTCGACGTCGCAATGACGATCCCTGGGACGTACACCAGCGTCCCGACGTCGCTCGAACTCAAGCTTCGTAACGGTCTAGGAATCTCCTTGGACGTTAATTTCACCTGCACCGTCGCCCTGGGCGCCGTGGACCTGGCGTTACGATCTTCCTCCTCCTCGTTCAGCGCGCCTCCGATATCCAATGTACGCTCCGTCGGCCGCAAACTCTCCAGCACGTCCTCGACCGCCTCCTCTAGGATCGGCAGATATTCGTTCGGCCGTATCCTCAACTCCCTCGCTAACTCCCCGTCGTGCGCGATCAAATCATCGAAGCACACCTTCAAATCCTTCGGCGCCGTCGTCTGATCCAACGCGTCTCTGTACGTGAACCGCCCGTCCGGCGCCGCGGCGTCTGGCGCGCTTCGAAAGTTTCGCAAAAAGTCCACAAACTTCATCCGCGCCTGCGCCGGCGTCACTCCACGCTCTCGTCGCCGTTCGAGCTCGTGGTCCACCACGGGCTCTTCGTCGTAGACGTACTGCTCTCCGTCATCTGTGTTTTGGAAGATTTCAAACGCGCCCTCGGGTCAGTCTCGATCTCGTTCTCGTCGCGTTCGACGTCGCTCGAGTCCTCGTCCGGGGCGACAATTTCGGTCGACGCGGAGCGTGCTCGCGTACCGTCCATCGTGTGCGTTCGCTGACGGACGCGCGCGCGAGGTGCGTCGCGGAGTGTCGCTGGTTCTTTCGTCGCTTTTTTGAAAATCCTCAGCTGTCGTTCTCTGCACTGTTCAGAATGGTTATTTCGCCGAGCGAGGAAAGGGAGACGTGAGCGCTCGATGTCGCGTGTGTGCGGGTTATTGTTGAGAGTTTCAAAGAACTAGTTCAAGCGCGAGCCGCCGATCGGTGAGAGGGGCGGACGCGAGCGCTTGGCGTCGACGTTCGTCCGGCGCGAGAGGGCTTCATCGCGGTTAAAGGTGAACGCACTCGGAGTGACGGGCTCTGCGAGCATCACTCGCGCGTGCTCTCGCGCCGGAGTCGTGCCGGTGCGCAAATCGGGTTTGATTGCGGTGGTTAGTTGGTTTGTGAACTCCTTTCTGATCGCGCCCAGATCATCGACGTGCTTGGACACAAACTCGGCGTGACCGCGCTCTGACGTGTCAGCGACGGTTTCTGCAAGATCTGAGAATGCCTCGCGATCGCTCGTGAGTGACCGCAACAGCGACTCCACGGTTTCGTCGCGACCACGCCTCGCGACCACGACGTTCTGCACCATCACCTGTTGGATCACGTCGGAGTCCGCGCGAAGCGCCTTAGCTTCTTGCTCCAACCTTTCAGCTCTCTGAAGCATGCTCGAGCTCGCTTGCTCACTCGCCTGCCGAGTCGCCTGCTCCACCGCGTGCGCCATCGTCATGACGGCTTCCTTAAGTGTCTCCACCTCTTTCTCTTTCCGAGACATATAGTCATCCATGACTCGTTTCATGTGAGCCCGAGTGTCGCGCTCCACCTTTTGCCAACCCGCCAAATCGCTCACCATCTTCTCCAGACGTTCGCCCATAGACTTTTTGATCGAGAGCACGGATTCCGTGTTTGACGTGGCTACACTTTCTTGACGAGCTATCTTGTCGAATAATGCGGCCGCCTCGTGCTGCGCAGCGCCCAGATCTTCCGCCATGGTACTTATCACCAAAGCTGCCGCGTCGTGCTTCTTCTCGAGCGTGTCGAGCAAATACTCCTTCTCCTCAGCAACCTTTTTCGTATCGCTGAGCTCGCTCTCCGTCTCGCGCAAGTACTCCTTCGTTTCAACGAGCGCAATTTCAACACCCGCGTGCTGTTCTTTCAACTGCAAGAAATTCTTCTTCGTTTTATCGAACATACGAGTGACCTTGTCGTGTTCGGCTTGCATGGATGCGAGCGCATTCTCGAGCTCCTCCGCGCGCCTTCTGGCCGTGGCGTGTTCGCTCTGCTCGGCGTCGTAGTTGCTCTTGGATAAGAAAACCCCGTTCTTCTCCCGAGTCGCCAGCAAGTCGTCTTGTAATCGTTCGATGCAATCCTGCAAATCCTTCAGGAAGACGCTCTTTGGAACTTTCCCGTTTGTGGGCGGCTTGTTTTTAATATTCTTGGCTCTGTGCGCGTACTCGAGCGTACTGAGCGTCTCTTCGATCGAGTGCGACGCCGGCGAAACGGTGGCGATGATACACGTCCGGCACCTACCACCAAGGGCATCGCGGAGTAATCTTGTGAGCTTACTATCGCGATACGGCACGTGCGCAGATTTATCAACCAAAGCCGTGATGACGCGCCCGAGCGCCACGAGAGACTTGTTTATCTCTCCAGCCTCTTTCGCTCGCATGTGCGTCGCCCCAGATCGCGAAATATTCTCACTCCCAGCTAAGTCCACCAAATTCAGCTTCCCACAGCGCACGAATTCCTCCCCGTCCGGCGACACGTCCTTGATGTGCACCGTGACGCTGAAGACGCTGTGCGAGCGGCTCGAGTGTTTGTTCAGGAGCGTCTCCTCCGTCCTTCGTCTCGCGTTTCCTCGATTGAGCACCGCGAACACGTCCTCGGTGGAGCTAACGTAGACCTCTTCTAAACCCTTCACCGCGACCCCGCCCTTACCGTCCTCCATCAGAGCGTGCACGTGCTTGTGCCCGGGTGAACTCGCCGGCGCGCCGAGCAAGTCGGTTATTTCCTCATTGTACAGCTCCAAGTACGTCACCTTCACCGTGTGCTCCAATTCCTTGCTCTCGAGGTGTTCGAACACCTGCATCATCGCTCGAGGTATCACCCCCGCGTCGGTGCTCAAAACATCGCACTCCGCGTCGTGCGCACCGCTCATCGTGTGCGTCTTACCCGTTCCCGTCTGCCCGTACGCGAAGACGGTGCAATTCGTCCCGTCCAGGACGTCCCGAACCATCGGCCGCACCGCCGAATCATACACCCGCTCCTGCGTCGACGTCGGCCCGAACACATCATCGAACACAAAATCTCTCGTCTCCCCGCTCGCCGTCCTCGCGTTCGCCCGCTCGCTCGTCGACGCGCGTTCGCTCGCCGTCGGCGCCGCCCGCCGCGCGCTCGCCGTGCGCCCGTGTTCATCCACCTCGATCACCTCCGGCACCTTCTCCGCCCGCTCACGCGCGTTTAACGGTCTACGCCGCGCACGACCGCATCGCATCGTCAGTCCATCGCTCGCGTCGTCGCTCGCGGCGTCCGTCGTCGCCGCGCGTCGCGCGCGTCGCCGACACATTTTCAAACGTTTCAAATGCATTCGCATCCATCTACACACGCGCGCGCGTCATCGTTCGCGCTCGCACCTGCATCGCAGGACGACGCTCACGCGTCCCGCGCGTTCGCGCATCGCCGCCGTCGTCGTCGCGCTCTCGCGCGCGCGCTCGCGCGGTCGGGCGTCGCGTCGATTCGTCCCCCTCGGACATCTAGGGTTTAGCGTGTCCACGCACCGCCCGACGACGTACGCCATCGCTCGACGCGCGCGTCGTCCCTCGCCGCGCCTCGCTCACGCCGCGCGCGCGATGTCGTCGAGCCGGCGCGGTGATCACTCGCGCTCGGCGACGGGCGAACCGTCGACGCGATCGAACGACGGGCGACGAAGCGCGCACGGTGCGCCCGGGACCGCGCGCGGGCTGACGATAAAACCATTCAAGCGCGCGCCGACGGTGCCGACGGAGTTCGCGACGCGGGCGCGGGAGACGCTGCGAGAGGCGATACGACGGGTGCAGGCGAAGGAGGTGACGGGGGTGAGTCACGAGGCTTTGTATCGACACGTGGAGAATCTGTGCGTGCACAGACGGGCGGCGGAGGCGTTCGAGGATTTTCAGTCGGGGGCGGATCGACGGGCGAGAGAGGTCTTGCGGGGATTGGAGGGACGGAAAATTGAGGATTCAGGGGTTTTCTTGACGAAATTCGATGAGACGTGGGGGGATTATTGCGCCCAGGCGTTGACGCTGCGGTCAATCTTTTTGTATCTCGACCGCGCGCAGGCGAACGGAGGCGGGAAATCGTCGACGCTCTGGGACGTGTCGCTGCGCGTTTTCCACGAGCATCTCGAGGGAACGGCGAAGAGCGTGAAGGGTAAGGTTGTCAGGGGCTTACTCGATCTCGTCGAGCGAGAGCGGATGGGGGAGAAGATTGATAGGGCGCTCGCGAAGCGCGTTTTGCGAGCGCTGAGCGCGCTCGGGGTGTATCAAGAGGCGTTTGAAAACGTCTTCATAGAGGCGAGTCAGGAGTTCTATCGCAAGGAAGGGAACGAGTACTCGGTACAGACGGACGTGTCGGATTACCTGAAGCACTGCGAACGGAGGCTCGAGGAGGAGGCGGAGAGGTGCGCGAATTACTTGGACGCCGGCACGGCCAAGGCGCTCATGCGGACGTGCGAGCAAGGTTTGATAGAGGCACACATCGGAGACATCTTAGACAAGGGGTTCGTCGATCTCATGCGTCAGCATCGACTGGAGGATTTGCGGCGCCTGCACTCGCTTCTCGCTCGAATGGATGGTTTGGGCCGTCTGTGCAGCGCGTTCGTGACGTACCTCAAGCAGCAGGGCACGGCTATTGTGAAAGACGAGGCGCGCGATAAGGACATGGTGGATCGATTACTGACGATGAAGACCGCCGTGGACGAGGTCGTGAGCAAATCTTTCGGTCGAACCATCGCGGACGGATCCAATGACATTTTCATCAACGGTGTCAAGGAGTCGTTCGAGTCATTCATCAACTGTCGACAAAATGTCCCTGCGGAGCTGATCGCAAAATACATTGATTCAAAGCTGAAAAGCGGGAGTAAAGGACTGAGTGAAGAGGAGTTGGAGAGAACTTTAGATAAGGCGCTAACATTGTTCAGATACATCGTCGGAAAGGATGTTTTCGAAGTGTTTTACAAGAAGGAGCTCTCGAAGCGTCTTTTGCACGGCAAGAGCGCGAGCATCGACGCGGAGAGGAGCATGATCCAAAAGTTGAAGGCGGAGTGTGGCAGTCAGTTCACGCAACATCTGGAAGGAATGTTCAAGGATATCGATCTGAGTCGCGAAATCATGCAATCGTTTCGACAGACGTTCGAGAACGACCCAATCATAGAGATGAATGTCAATGTCATAACTGCGGGGTGCTGGCCGTCGTACCCATCAGTCGACGTCAAGCTCCCAGAGGAGCTGGCGAATTTGCAAGAGAAGTTCATGAGTTTCTACCTCGGTAAACATTCAGGGCGAAAGTTAACGTGGCAAAACTCGGAGGGTCACTGCGTCCTCAAGGCGCGCTTCGACGGAGGAATGAAGGAACTCAGTGTCTCCCTCTTTCAGTGCGTCATCCTGATGCTGTTCAACGACTCCAAGAAGCTCTCGTACACGGAGATTGCGCAGAAGACTGGGATGGAAGAGAAGGAACTTAAACGTGCTCTTCAGTCACTGGCTTGCGCCAAGGTTCGAATCCTGAACAAGGAGCCAAAATCGCGCGAGATCAACGACGATGATTCTTTCGAGGTGAACACTGCGCTGAACGAGCGTCTGTTCCGCATCAAGGTCAACTCCATCCAAGTCAAGGAAACGGCCGAGGAGAACAAGCAGACCATGGAGCGGGTGTTCCAAGATCGCCAACAACAGATAGACGCCGCTATCGTTCGCGTGATGAAGACGAGGAAGTCGCTCACGCATGCGCTCCTCATCTCTGAACTCATGGCGCAGCTCAAGTTTCCCACCAAGGCGAGCGATTTGAAGAAGCGTATCGAGAGTCTCATCGAGCGAGAGTACCTCGAGCGCGACCGCGAAGATGCGCAGACGTATAACTACCTCGCTTAAAAATCGTTCGAGCACGAGCGTTTGTGACACACACATTTTTCATTTCCTTCGCGCCCGCGCGCGTTTGAATCCCGCGCGACAGATTCAAGAACGTCACTCCGCGCCTCAACGCTCCACGCGATGTCGAACGATCTGTTCGGATCCGACGACGACCTGGACCTCCTAAACGCGGTGGAGAACGTCGAGCGAAGAGTATCGCACTCGAGCGCGAGTAAACGCGCGCGCGACGGAGACGACGCGGTTAAAAAACAAAAGATTGTCAAACGCGATGCGTCGAACGACGTCCTCGGAACGCTGAGCGCGCGATTGGGTCTACACGCGTTCCGAGACGGCCAACGTGAGGTCATTGACGCCGCGTTGAGTGGACGGGACGCGTGCGTGTACTGGAGCACGGGAAGCGGGAAATCTCTGCCGTACCAGATGGTTGCGTTTCACTCTGGGAAGACGGTTGTGGTGATATCGCCGTTGATCTCGTTGATGCAGGATCAGGTGACGGCGTTGAATAATACGGCTGGACGGGCGGATGGTAGAGACGTCGCGGTGTTTCTCGGGAGCGCGCAGATGGATCCGGGAGCGGACATGCGCGCGTTGAATGGCGAATATGAAATCGTGTACGCGACGCCGGAGAAGTTGACGGCGAGCGACGCTTTCTTGAACGGTTTGAAACGAATGGTGGCTGAGGATCGCTTGGCACTCATCGCCATCGACGAAGCGCACTGCATATCTTCCTGGGGGCACGATTTCAGACCAAGTTACGCACAGTTGAACATCTTACGGGATGCGCTGCCTAGCGTGCCAATCATGGCTTTGACTGCGACGGCCGTCAAGTTCGTGCGACAAGATATTGCGAAGATTTTGCGCTTGCGTGATCCCTTCGTCAGTGAGAACTCTGTCGATCGTCCGAACTTGCGCATTAGTGTTGTGCGTCGAACGGATTTCGGACGTGATTTGGACCACGTCGTGGCACGCATAGGAAAGGGACAGCCAAGGCCGTCCATCGTGTACTGTGCCACCATCAAGGAAGTCGTCCAAGTCACTGGTGCGCTGCAAAATCGACTCGGATCTTCTTTTGTGCAGATGTACCATGGATCACTGAGCCCAGAAGATAGGAAGAACGCGCACATGGACTTTCTGACGAGTCGCTCGCCCGTCATCGTCGCAACGACAGCTTTCGGCATGGGTATTGACAAGCCAGACGTACGCTACATTTGTCACTGGGGCGCACCAAAGACCATGGAGGAGTACTATCAGCAAATCGGGAGAGCTGGTCGCGATGGTCTTCTCAGTCAAGTTGACCTGCTCTTCGCGGATAATGATTTTACAAAGTATGGGAGTGACTTTTACGTGCGCGACCTCACAGCTGCGGCGAAGGAGACGCAACTGGCGAGCACGAATGCGCTGAAACGATACTCGCTCGATAGAGAACATTGCCGACGAGTTATGATTCTGGAGCATTTCGGTGAAGAAGCGACGTTCAGTCGATGTAGCGGTGGCAAGTGTGACAACTGCGAGCGCATAGAAGCCGGTGGAGATGAGAATCTCCATCGAAACTTTGCAAAGGAGTGCCGACCGCTTTTGCTCGCGTTGCGTTTTGGCGGAAGTCAACCGATATCACGTTTAATTGGTACCATCATGGGCGGGTCAGGTGGCGCTGAATTGCACCCTTCGCAACGAGATGCGATCGACAAAGCGAGAGCTGCCGACGGTTTACAACCGGGATGCACGTCCAAGGATTTCTACAAGGAGCTCGTATCCTTGCTTTCACAAATGGGCGTCGTGCACGAGCGAATCGTGAACGGGGCGCACGCGAGATATCCGGTCTATGCGTTCAAAGCTGAAAGTCAGAAGTTTCTTGATGGAGGTCTGAAACCGCCTCCACTGATGTTTCTCGCACCGGAATCTGTCATTGCCGCCGAACGCGCGCTGACGTCCAAGATTGCGAAGGTGAAGACGACGTTAATCGAGGGTGGCGTCGACGTGTCGAATATCCCTTCGCACGAACTCGCGGCCGGTCACGGCGAAATGATCGACGCCGAGCTCGAGTGGTTGCGGCGCTTGGAGGTTTATCGCGGTACGCCAAGGGCGGATGCTCTCGCGGACTTACTGGCAAAGATCGAGACGTGGAGAGACGACAGAGCGCAAGCGCTCGGAATGGCGCCCGCCTCCGTGCTCAGCGCGCACATGTGCAAAAAGATTGCGTACTCACAACCACGTTCTGTCGAGGCCTTGCGAGCGGTCGGTGTTCGCGTCACAGGCGTCGAGACACTCAGCGAACTCATCAATGCTGCGTTGCCGCAACTCGAAGAACCCGCCGGTGCCGTCGGTGGCGAAGACGCGCTCTTGCTTGGAGTTATCACTCCGCAAAAGTGGGAGCTGGCGGAGTACAAACCCAAAAAAGGTCCAGGGGGTACTATGGCGAAGCCAAATTGGGAAGTCTCGTATGAGCGGTTCGCCAACGGAGAGCACGTGGAGACCATCGCGATGACGACGCAACCAAAGGCGATTCAGAACGCGACCGTCTTCAATCACCTCCTTGAGGCGCTGGCGCACGGTAAAACGCTGGATTTTGATCGTGCTGTCTCGAACATGCCTTCCGCTCATCGCTTGACGCGCACCGACTGTGAGACGTTCTCACAGACCGCCCGCGCGTTGCGCCTAGATCCTCGAACGGACCGCGCGCCGCCCGCGCGCGCCCTGCTCGACGGCCTCATTCGCGACGCCGCCGACAAATCAGACGCTGAGAAATCACGAGACGCGTGTTGGTTCGCCAAGGTTCGCACCTGGATCGCACTCCGTCGCGTCAACGCCGTGTGATCGTAGCCTTCCATGAAACGCGCCATGAAAAAACGCCCATTTCCCGCCCAAATTTTTTGCGCGGGAAAACTGAATTGTCATCAATTCGCCACGACGCGACGCGACGCCCCGCACGCGCCGACGCGACGCCGACGACGATGACGTGCGCGTTCGAACTCGAGCGCCAAGCTCGGATCGATTCCAACCGTAAGCGCATGCTCGAGATGGGCATCGTGGGCATGGCGCGCGACCTGGCGAAGACGGCGACACCGGTGAAGCGAAACATCGGAACGGTGCGTGGGCGATGACAAACGATGGACCGAACGACGGAGCGATCGACGAACGCGCGATGAAGAACGAGGAGCGACTGACGATGAAACGCACGCGTGTGTCGATGCAGACGCAGAGGAGGATCGAAAGACGACCGGTGACGCCGGAGAGCGAGCGTAGACGGTCGACGCGCGAGCGCAAGACGGTGAGCTACGTCGGGATGGATGACGGATCGAAGGATCGGGAAGACGTCACGTTCTCGCGAGCGCGGGTCGCTCGGGCGCCGAAGGAGCGATCGCCGCGGGCGACGTACTCGGTGGGCGGTCGGGTGTACGACAGTGAGCTCGGGGTGACGTGCCACTGGTGCCGGCAGAAGACGGTGGAGACGCACGTCCAGTGCGTCGGTGAGGCGTGCCAAGGCGCGCGATTGCCGCTGTCGTTCTGCGGCATGTGCCTGCGGAACAGACACGGTGAAGACATCGACGACGCGGTGGCGTCTGGGTGCTGGGAGTGCCCGCGATGCCGAGGATCCTGCGGCGAAGGGTGCGTGACGTGTTGCAACTGCGGGCCGTGCCGCAAAAAGGCGGGCTTGTCTCCAACGCACCAAATCATCGGTCTCGCTCGCGCGAACGGGTTCGACAACGTGCACGATTATTTGGTCCATCAGGCGACGGGCGAAAACGCCGAGGAGATCGCCGCGCGCAAGCTGTCGTTTTCTTGGGGTAAGTGGTTGCGAGACGACTTCTGTCGACCGGTGGAGCAAACGGCAATTGCGGACCAGCGACGCGTCGTGGATGTCACCGCGGGTTCATCCGCGGACGAAGAATATAGCGTTCGAGATGTCGATACGCCCTCTGATTCCAACGCCAGCGAGTCCGACGATGATCAGTTCATGGTGGTGCAGCGCACGCCGCAGAAGAAACGTTCCACCGCCGAGCCGGAATCCGCGTTCGCGTCGCCGGCGAAGAAGTCTCGCGCGAGAACGCCTTCGCCGAAGAAGTCCTCGCCTTCGCCAAAAAAGCGCACAGTATCTTCCCCGAAGAAGCACTCAGCGCCATCCACGCCCGAGCCCCTTCGCGAGTACGGCGAAGACGTCTATGAGTTTGAGCGCGTGCTCGCCACTCGCAAACGCGGCCGCGGGGAGCAGTTGCTCGTCAAGTGGAAGGGCTTCGGCGAGGACGAAGCCACTTGGGAGCCGAAGACGAACATCATCTTCCAGTAAAAACCGAAGACGCCGGCGCGTCAGCGCGCGATAATTTTATACGATCATGTAACGAAACGATGAGGTCTCGCCTCTGGCGGTGAACACCAGTGTCACCCAACTATTCTTCGTCACATCGCGCATCGTCGCGCTCTGCGTCGATCGCGATGTCGCAAACGACGACGACGCAAACGACGACGACGCAAACGACCGCGAAGACGAAGACCAAATCGGCCCTGTCGACGCTCGCGTTCGGCGCGTCGAGCGACGATGCCGCGCCCAAGGAGAAATCGTTTGGAACGTTCGATTGCGTCCACGTCCCCGAGGACGGTTCGACGCCCGTCCCGGGACGGTTACACGTGTACGAGACCGCGCTGTCGTTCGTTCCAGTGGGCCTGGGGTTGATCGGGAGCGCGAGCGCGGTGAAGATGAAGCTGCGGGACGTGAGCGAGGCGGATGCCACGGCGCGGTTGCGGTTGACGGTCACAGGAAAGCATGATAAAGTTCTGTCGCTGACGTTCACGAACAGCGCGCCGGCGTTCGAGTGCTTGGTGACGAGTTGGAAGCTTGAACGCGATCTGGACGGCGGGCGCAGGGCGACGGGACCGGGCAAGCGACGAGGGGCGGCGAAGAAGGCGAAGGGTAGCGAGACATTTGGAGAGCAGTTGGAAGAGTATAAACAGGAGCTGAAGACGCGAGCGAAATCGTTCATGGATGAGGTGCTCAAGTTGGGGGCGAAACCGCGACCGGCACCAAGGTTGCCAACGATCGACGTCGAGGATGAGGTCTCCAGGGCACTCTTCGTGCGCCTCATCAAGGCGACAGATGTCATCGCTATGGACTCTGGCGGGACATCCGATCCGTTCGCGTCGGTGCGATATCGTGGGCTAGAGTCCACGTCGAAGACGGAATGGAAAACACTAAATCCCGTGTGGGACGAGGTGTTCACGTTCAGGGTGCCTCCGAACAAAATTACCCTGGATGAGACGGATGCGGTTGAACTGCACCTCTTCGATCGCGATGTTGCATTGAACGATTTCATCGGCTACGCCAAGATTGACATGACCGGTACCAAGGTCTACAGCACTAAACGCACGAAGGTGACGCTCAAGCTCAAGGGATTGCCTCTTGATCAACGACCGGACATGTTTGACGTCAACCACTTGAAGGAAAAGCTCATGTTTTGGGAGGGCGAGCGTCAAATCACGGGCGAGGTCGAGATTGAGTACTGGCTCGGAAATCGTCACGATGAGGATTACCGTGTCGCGGGCGTACCGTTGCTCCGGCACCCGGATCCATTGGCGTCTAAGACGTTGAACCACTTTTGCGACCCTGTATCCGCGCTGGTTCGTGTGGAGGTGCATCGCGGACGTAACATAATAAACCTCGATGACGACGATGGGAGCGATCCGTACGTGCAAGTGTCCCTCATCCAACCAGACGGCTCGGCAGAGTCGTTTCGAACTCATTACATCGACGACGCGACGGATCCGGAGTGGAACTGCACGTACAACTTTATTGCGGCGAAACCATATTCGACAGAATTGGTGCTGCGCGTGTACGATTACGACGGCGTTACGAGCTCCGACGATCTGATCGGTCTCGTTCGAGTGCCCATCGCAGACCTCGAAATGCACAAAGGCGTGAGTAAGCTCCCTAACTCGAAATGGTATACTCTCCTCGACGAAGAGGGCAAAGACTGCAATAAGGAGGGAACAAAATACGGAGACATTGAGATAAGGGCATACCTCGATGAAGAGTATTTCGAACACCTACACGGTGGCGACACGAAGAAAGCCGTCGGCAAGCTCAGTGTCGACGTGTTGGAAGCAACGTTCATGGAGGGCGCACCGAACACGTTCGTTATGGTGAAGACAGGGCCCTACTGGTCTCGACTTCCCGATATGAACGCACAGGCGAATCCGCAGTGGAATACACGACTGAGATATCCGATCATGGAGCCGAGTGAGCCCGTGACCGTGGGAGTGTTCGATACGTACTCTGGAGCACTACTAGGTAAAGTGAGATGTGTACTGTCCGGTCTTGACGACGGTATGCGCTATGAGGACGAGTTTCCGTTGAAGACGCTAAATTCAAGCGGCGTCGTCGTGACCAACGGCACACTTCGATGCGCGTTCACGTTCAAACACAAGTCTCCGACGGCGCTCGCCGCTCGGTACATGCAGCCGGTCCTTCCCGAAAAGTGGTTTATACAGCCGTTGTCCGAGAGCGAGCAGAGGCGCATGCTTCGTGGGCACTCAGCGATAATGACGCGCCGCTTGTACAACTCAAATCCGTCCATCCCCGAGTCGGTGACGAAAGCAATGATTGACTTTTCCAAGCAAGACGTGAGCATCAAGTCCATCAAGGCGTCGATCGCTCGTATGGAACGCGTGGTGACAAACTTATCTTCTATGGGCGATGGCTTATCTTATCTGCTGAGCTGGGAGTCCATACCAGTGACGGCGTTCACGCAGCTGATCATAGTGGTGGTGATCCATCATCCGAACCTGTTTATGCCGATGATTCTCCTGAGCATCGCGTGCGCTTCGCTCGCGCGATTTCCGTCAAGATATAGACGCGCGCTCGATCGTTGCGTACCTGACGACTGGCTCTCCGTCGGCTTGGCGTTTCCGCCCGACTCAGAGGAGGAGAAGGAAAAGAAGAAACAGGCGGAGGCAGAGGCGAAGAGAAAACTTGAGGAAGCAAAAAGAATCGCTGCGGAGGAGAAGAAGCGCCTCGCTGCGGAGAAGAAAGCGGCCGCTAAAGAAGCAAAGGCAGAAGCCGCGACCGAGGCCGCCGCGAACAAGAAAGCGGAGATTTTCACGTTTGAAAGTCTCAATCCGCTCGCGTCGCTGCAAAAGCAAATGGAAGAGATTACGGCTATGATCACGGACGCTCAGATAGTTCTCGATCAAGCCGCGGGGATCCTCGAACGTGTCGCTGGGATATTGGATTGGGAAGAACCGCGCGTCACGGCGCTCGTGGTCGTCACTCTCATCGGTCTCGCCGTTGTCTTCATCTTCATCGAAGCCGTCGCGCGGTTTGTGACCAGGATCATCTTGGGCGTCATCATGAAGACTTTCTTCGCCATCGTCTCCCCCAAGACGATCAAGTGGGGTTTGACATTCGCCACGCTCTTCGCCCTGCGTCACCCGGCGATCCTTCCCGACGCCGCGACGGCGGCGATCGAGGAAGAGAAGGCTCTTCGCCGCGCCGCCGCCGAAGCCGCCGCCGAGCGCGCACCCGTCGGATCCTCCAAAGCCGCCACCCCCCCCGACGCGGTCGACGTCAAGTCCTCCGCGCTCGATCCCAGGCCCATCGCTCCCGTGAACGTCTTCTACAGGATTCCCACCCAGGCGACGCGCATTTTGTAACTCCCGTCGCGTCGCGCGCCGCTTCGCGCCGCGCCGCGTCCCTCTCCAGTCATGACTCGTCATCACCCCCACACCAGCGCCGCCGCCCACGCCGCCGCCCCATCGCTCGGCGCCCACCGCCCCCGAGCGCCCTCGCGCGGCGCCGCGCCCGGGCGTCCGCGCGCGTCGTCGCGTGCGCGAACACCCCACGCGTCGCGCCGCGCGCCCGCGCGTCTCACGGCGTGGACGACCGCGACGCGACGACGCGCACGGGCGAGTCCACGCGTGCGCGATCGAATCACCCACCGCTCGACGCCGACGCCGCGCGCGCGAGAGAGCGAGGGCGCGCGCGCGCGCGGGGGAGGGTGAGCTTCGATGCGGGCGCGACCGAGCGCGTCGGACGCGTCGATGTCGGACGGACAGCTGGGATGGGATTTCTCCCAGGTTTTCGGCGAGCGAGCGCCGGGAGAGGAGGTGCAGGACGCGGACGTGATTAGTGCGGTGGAGTTTAACGTGGACGGGGAGAAACTCGCGACGGGAGATCGAGGGGGGAGGGTGGTGTTGTTTGAGCGCATGCACGCGAGTAAGGGTGCGGTGGAGGAGCTCAGGGCGCGATTCGATGAGGGCGGGTTTCGAGGGGCGGAGGGCGACCCGGAGGACGACGCGCGCGGAGGAGCTGCGTTTAGTGGGAGGAAGGAACCGGTGGAGTATAGGTATCTCACCGAGTTTCAATCGCACGAGCCGGAGTTCGATTACCTCAAATCGCTTGAGATTGAGGAGAAGATTAACACGTTGAAGTGGTGTCACCAAGGGGCGAACGACGCCAATTTTCTGTTGTCGACGAACGATAAGACGATCAAGCTCTGGAAGGTGTACGAGAAGCATTTGGAGTGCGTGAGTGGGTACAATGTTAATAGGGATGGTGATAGTGTCGGGTTCAGGCGAGCAGTGGCGCCGGGAGCGTCCGCGGGAGTCTCGGATGGCACCGAGCCGGGCGCGCTGCGGATTCCATCCGTCACACGCGGCGAGAGCATTTTCACGGCGAGAAGCAGGCGTGTGTACGCAAACGCACACGCGTATCACATCAACTCGCTTAGTGTGAATAGTGACGGTGAAACATTCATCAGTGCGGATGATTTACGAATCAACTTGTGGCACTTGCAGAGCACGCAGCAGAGCTTCAACATCGTGGACATCAAGCCGGCTAACATGGAGGACTTGAGCGAGGTGATCACCGCGGCGGAGTTCCACCCGCAGCATTGCAACTATCTCGCGTACTCTTCGAGCAAGGGAACGATTCGGCTAACGGATTTGCGTCAGAATTCAGTGTGCGATTCGCACTGCAAGCTGTTCGAACTTCCCGAGCCGGCTGAGAAGAGGAGCTTCTTCTCGGAGATAATAGCCAGCGTGAGCGACATCAAGTTTAGCAGAGACGGACGATTCATATTAGCTCGTGACTATCTCACGATGAAGCTTTGGGACGTCAAGATGGAGAGAGAGCCGGTGGCGACGGTGAACGTGCACGAGAACCTGAGACCGAAGCTGTGCGACTTGTACGAAAACGATTCTATTTTCGACAAGTTCCAATGTTGCGTCAACCACGACGGGACGCAAATTGCCACTGGATCGTACGGAAATATATTCAAGAGCTTCAACACCACGGTTCACGACGATGGCGAGTCTGGCGGATCATTTGAAGTCTCCAAGGACCCTCGTCGCAGGCTCGGAGCCAGAGCGCGCGGCAACGGCTACTACGGCACAGCCGGCGGCGCGAACGATTTTTTCAACCTTCCACCCGCAGATTTCCGCGCCAGTAAGATCTTGCACATGGCTTGGCACCCGACGGAGGACATCATTGCAACCGCGGCGGCGAATTCGCTTTACTTTTTTGCCGGCGGCGCGCCTTGACGGCGCGCAGCCGATCCACACGCACAGCGCACGTAGGCTTACGATTCGATTCACATCACGTCAATTCCTCGTCTTGTGTAACTACGAATGGACGCATTAGCCAAAATGTCCTTCACCATTCGCCGCGCGCGCCCCGTCCTCATTCCGCGGAGCGCTCTCGACGCGTCGCAATGTCTGGCAACTTTGGCGCCTTCCACTCGCGCGCCGCGACCGCGAACGACGACGACGCCGGCGTTGCCTACGATCGCATCGCCGACGACGCGTCCTTAAACACCGAGAAACCCTCCTCGAGCGGGAACGTCATCGACGGTTGGCCCCCCAACACGAAACGATTCGTCTGCGGTCCCTACGGCGAGAACTGCGACGCGATCGTGGTGAACTGGCGCCCGCGGGACGCGCGGACGGCGACGGCGTGCTCGATATTCATGATATTGCTCGGCGTCACGGTCGTGCTGTGCGTCTATCGCGGCACGACCTCGGCGGCGTTGTTCGCGGGGGCGACGATGTTCGCGGCGGCGTTCGTGGACGTGATCAAGGCGATACACGCGGAGGGTGACGCGAACGCGTACACGGAGCACACACCGGAGCCGACGTACGGTGGAACATTCTTCTCGACGATTCCTCGAAAACGAACGTCGACGACGGGCGGGATCGTCGGAACCGGCGACGCGCGCGCGGACGCGCCGCCGCCGCGCGCATCCGACGCGCCGATCGATCACCCCGCGCGCGCGAGCGCCAAGGCACGGTCGTGGACGCGCGAGTCCGAGGTTTGATCGCGAGCAGAGTATTCGTTAGCCGTTTTGTAGCTCTCGCCGCGCCGTTCGAGTCGTTCGCGCGTCGCGTCGCCGCGCCGCCGGATGGCCCGCCGCTGGGACTCCTCGACCGTTCACGACTCACCGTTTTGGAAGAAGCCCCAGTTCACGGGTCCCGCACTTCGACGCGCCCGTCACGATGCTTCGCGAGATCGCCAAGACGGTCGTCCCTCGCGCGCTGTGGTCCGCGGCGTACGTGGACGCGATGCCGTCGCGAAGGCACGTCGTGGGCGCCGCGAAGTGGGGCGGTGCCGGCGTGTTCACGGTTTTTTGGCTCATCGGCGACGAATCCTTCAAGTGGCTCGCGGGCGTCGGGCAGGCGGAAGAGGCGTGAGCGCCGATCGAGGCGAGGTCGTGGAACGGCACGCGCGGGTGCGAGGGGGGGCGCACGCGCGGGCGCGACGTGGAGACGGGTGGACGTCATTGTAATGTAACGGAAGATCCTTCTGTGATATCGAAGACGCGCGATCGCGGCGCGGGAGGCGAAACGACGACAGACGCGCGAACGACGCGGGCGAGGACGGTCGAGAGGGAGCACACGATGGGTGTAGACGCGTGCGCGAGCGATGGGACGATGCGGTGGTTTGAAATTTTCGTGGCGTTACGCGCGCTCGGCGAGTCGCCGCGGCGCGGTTCAGTCGGCGGCGGTTCGTCGGCGACGAACGCCGTCAGCCGTGATGTCTGCGTACGCGCCGGCGGCTTGGTGCGCACCAGCGTGGCCAGTGACGGTTCCCGCGGTGACTGCGTCGACGGGACGCTCTCTGGATTCAGGCGCCCACGACGCGGCGCCTTCGTCGGCGAGCTTTTTCAGAATGCTCAAGCCTATTGGGATGATTTTCGTCGCCAGGATGCCGAGACCAGGAACGAGACCGAGCTGCATCGCCGATGCGACGTCCAGCTGGTTGTAAATCGCCCGAGCGTACAAGCCGACGGCGACGAGAAGGAACAGTGTCACGGGGTGCGTGAGCAGCCACTTGATTTCATTCATGCCCAGCACCATGAGCAGAACAATCATCCAGATAGGAGCGCCACCTGTGAGGGCGCGTCGGGCCGCTTCCTTCGCCGCCATCGCCTGAGAAACCGCATACAACGTATCGGATTCGAACTGAAGCCAAAGCGTGCGGCACTCGGCCGGGCTCAGGACGACGTTGGCATCGCTCTCGCCCTCCCATTCCGTTGGCAGAGACGCAGCGACGCTCTCCGTTGTGGACGGCGTCGCTTCTTCGCCCTCTTGCGCCTCCGCGAACGACGTCTCGGATGGGATTAACCCATACAACGCGGTCTCAATCGCCTTGATGGCTACGTCGTCACTCTTCTTGTCCGCGCCGTCGTCCAACCGAGTGACCGCGAGGAGCGCCAACACTCGTAGCGCCTCGCGTTGTGCCTTCTTGTTGATCCCAGCCACGTCGTCCAAGGGACGCCACACCCGCGGTAAACCCTTGCTGTCTTTCGAGAATACTCGTGCAAATGCCTGTTTCATGTGCATCGAAGCCGCGGTGGCGGCATCGCGCGCCTTCGCGTCTACGACCTCGGTGATTCGGTCACGCATGTTTTCATGAAATTTCTGCAGCTCCTGAGCAATCGGCTCGAACTCGCTCACGGCATCCGTGGTCTCCTTGTCCCATTTCTCCGTTGCGGTTGTTCGCATTTGGCGCAGCCTGTGCCACATATCGCGCGGAGCTTCTTCCAGTAACCCGATGGTTTGCCCGCCGACGCCGCGTTCCATTGCGCGCTCGCACGCGTGAATGGTCAAATTCATACGCTCCTTACGCAGCGAATCGACGACTTGATCGATCAACTTCTGGAACACTTTCGTTTCTTCGACTACGAAATCGGCCCAGGCGAGATCGTCCGTGGGTAGCGCCTCTTCGAGCTTTTCTTCCCACTGCAAATCAACCTTGGCGAACGTCGACTTGACGAATTCCGCAAATCCAACTCGACCCTCTATGCGCTTCTTCCCGAGTGCATACGCGGCCGATGCGTCTCCTAAGGTCGCATTCACCTCATTCGCTAGGGAATCGACGATTTCGTCCCGAACATGCTCGAGGTGCGCGCTGACGACTTCACCGAGCGTCTTGGCGATGCGCACCTTCAAATCGACGCGCTTCGCCTCTCGCACATCCTTGACAAAGTATCCGGCTTCTTCGTCGTACGGTTTCACAGCCGCGTCCGTCATCGCCTGGATCTTCGCCACGAGCTGAGGGATCTTGCCCTTCTTGGCCGCGGCGAGTAACGCGGACAAATCGTCCGAATCAACGATCTTTGCGAGCGCGGAGTCCGCAATCTCCTCGCAGCGCACCGTCGCCACCATGATCTTGTGCGCTGGAAGGTCCAAGTCTTTGTTCGCCTTCACCGTGGCCCAGACCTCGCGCATGGACACACCCAGCCCCGATATCGGGACCGCCGGCGCCGTCGCACGCAGGCTGTTCACGTCCGAGCTCGGAGCGTCGAAGCGGTCCCGCAGTGCCTTGGCCTCGGACACGAACAAGTCGTGCTCGTGTTCGTAATGCGGAAGTGATGTAAATTTGAGCTCGAACAGATCGTTGATCGAGCTATTGATGTATCGATCCGGCTTCGTGATGCCGCGCCAGATGGATTCCAAATCCTGCCTCAAGCCCTCCACGAGGCGCTCGAACGGCGTCTTCGAGCGGTCGCGAATCACGAACAACAGCATCGTCTTCTTCTCTGGAGAAAAAACCTTAAGATTCACCTCGAAGATGGTCCTCAGCAGCGGTTTCCCGCTCGCCTGCTCTCGACCGATGTCGTTGCACCACATGTTCACCAGCAACACGTCCGCGGTCGCCATCGCGAAGAGCGCCGTCTGCTTTTCAAACGCCGTGTCCTCCTCCCCTCGTTCGCGTCCATCCGTCCCCTCCAAATCCATCACCAGCGTCGCCGTCTCGCACGTCTCGCTCCTCGCCAACCACACCCCTTGCGTCGTCTGCGACCGTCCGAGCGCGTCGTCCATCTCTCGAAACGTCGTCCCGAACGCGTGATTCAGAAGCGTCGACTTCCCGCTGCTCTGCGGTCCCATGATGGCCACGATCTGGTACCCCGACGCGAACGTCTTCCCCGCGTTCTCCGCGCGCAAGACGTCATCCAGCGCCGCATCGTCGTACTCCCCGTCGAACGTGACGATCTGCGTCGCCGCCGTCGGCATCGCGCGCGTCGTCGAGCGCGATTCCAGCGCGATTCCAGCGCGATTCCTTCCGACCCCTCGCGCGCGCGACGTCCCGAGCGTCCCCGCGCGTGGACGTCGCGCGCGATCGATCGCGACGCGCCGGACCCGCGCTCGATCGCCGCGCGACGGGCGCGAGGGGCGCGCGTGGGCGTCAGAGACTGTCGCGCGAAACGCACGTCATGCGCGCCGTGAGCCCCGCGCGCGCGCGCGCGCGTTGGGCCCCGCGCGCGGCGGGGACGACGCGACGGTCCGTCGCGTCCGCGTCCTCGCGCGCGGTGGCGGTGCGCGCGCGGACGGCGGTGAAGACGGACGATGATGCCGATGACGTTGCCGATGATTTCGAGTGGTACAGAAAACCGTCGCGGGTGGCGATCGCCGGCGCGTGGGCGACGCTCGGCGCGGTCGCGGCCTTCGCGGCGCCCTCGGGAACGTCGGGGTTCGACGCGGAGCTGGTGAAGACGATCGTGACGTCGCCGTTCGGTGGGGTGGCGAATCCGGTGTTCGAGGCGCTGTTCAACGCGTTAGGCGTGGTCCCGGCCACGTACGCGTGTTTGTTACTCCCGGGGGCGAAAGGGCAGAAACTCCCGGCGGCGCTGTGCGTGGGGGCGTCGTTTGCGTTGGGATTCTTCGCGGTGGGGCCGTATTTGGCGACGCGCGCGCCGAGAACGACGCCGGCTCCGCGGCGGAGCGAGCTGGGATGGGTGACGCGAAACGTGTGGGAAAGCAAGCTCAACGCGGTCGCCTTGCTCGGATTCGCGTCGTTTTTGGCGTACTACGGCGTCTCGAACCTCTCTCCGGAGAATGTTTCCGGTTTCATCGCGTTGATTCGCGAGCAGAGCATGCTCGCGTGCGTCTCGACGTGCGACTTGGTGGTTTTGAGCGCGTGCATGGTGGACGCCATAGGCGAGGACATGAAGCGGCGAAACGTCGATCCTTCCGGAGCGTTAGCCTACGCCGCGGTCCCGGTCGTCGGCCCGGCGTTATGGCTCGTGTTGAGACCGTCGTTAGAGGAGTAAGAGCGCGCGATTTCAATTTAATTTATGTATTCATTCATCTTCTCCGTCGCGTCCGCAGTGCGCGATGCGTGCCGCGCTCACCAAGCTCCGCCCCAACCTCGCACGCGGTCGCTTCACGCAACGTCACGCTTCACGATCGATGTCGGGCGCCCGCGCCGCGCCCGCGTTCACCTTTAGCGACGAACAGGCGAAATTTTACGACGACGTGCTCGCTCGAGGGGTGTTTCAAGTCTGGAGTGAAAAACTTTTCGAGGTGAGTCGCCCCGCGCTCGGTGAATCCGTCCTGGACGTGGCGTGCGGCACCGGCGTGGTCGCTCGGGCGTGCGCGCGCGAGGTCGGGGTCGAGGGATCGGTGATGGCGATGGATAACTCGAGTGGGATGCTCGAGCGGGCGCGGGCGAGCGGGACGGGCGGCGCGGCGGCGCGCGTGGAGTTCGTCGAGGGCGACGCGTGCGAGCGCGATCACGGCGAGCGGACGTTCGATAGAGCGTATTGTCAACAAGGGTTGCAGTTCATGGAGAATCCCACGCGGGCGATGGAGTTGATTCGAAAAGCGTTGAAACCGGGGGGACACTTCACCGCCGCCGTGTGGACGACGGCGCGCGCGGATTCCAATCAGATGATGTATCATCTTGGTGAGGCGCTCCGAGACGTTGGAAAGGAGGAGTGGATACCGATAGCGCTCAAGCCCATGAGTTGGTGCGGGTCTGGCGCCGCCGACGGTGCTGGCTCGACGAAATTGGAAGACTGTCTCATCTCAGCCGGTTTCATCAACCCAGACGTCTCCGTGGAGGACGGCACCTTTGAGTTTCCGAGCCTCGACGTCGCCGTGGACGTCGCCAAGGTCGCCCCGTACGGTGCCGAGCTCGCCGGCGACGCTGAACTCTGGAACGCGTTCTCGAAGAGCTTCAGAAACCGTCTCGCTCCCTTTGTGAACGCCGACGGCGTCGTCTCCGTACCGGCGCGCTCGTTCATCGCGCACGGCGTCGCTCCTTGGAACGCTCCCTAATCACCGCTCGATCCACCGAACGTTATTTATCATTATTTCACTTCGTTTGCACACGCATTCGCGCCCTCATCGTCGCCTCACGCGCGCTCGCCGCCGCCCGCGTCCGCGCGCGCGTCCCTCATAAAAAAGCCGTTACTAAACGGTCCCGCGTCATTGTCCCCCCACATCGCGTCCCGAACGCCTCCGTCATGCACATCGAGGAGGTGTGCATCGACGGCTTCAAGTCCTACGCCAAGCGCACGGTCGTTCCCGACTTCGACCCGCTGTTTAACGCCATCACCGGACTGAATGGGAGCGGCAAGTCGAACATTTTGGATTCCATTTGTTTCGTCCTCGGCATCTCCAACCTCACGCACGTGCGTACGAACGATCGATCGCGAGGACGAGCGCGAGCGCGTCGCGTGTGCGCGCGTCGTCATGGCGTCGAGCGAGGGAAACGCGCGGTGAAACGGGCGGATGTGGGCGGAGATGGGGGGATGATGGATGACGCGCCGCGCGAGGGGAACGAGGCGCGAAAACGGGCGGGCGAAGCGCGCGACGACGATGACGCCGGCGATGGACGGTGATGAGGGTGGAGATGGAGGCGAGGGATGACTGACGAGACGTGCCGCGTTCGACGTCGCGTGCGCAGGTTCGCGCGTCGAGTTTGCAGGAGTTGGTGTATAAGCAAGGACAGGCGGGCGTGACCAAGGCGAGCGTGAGCGTGACGTTTAACAATGAGGACCGCTCGAGGAGTCCGGTGGGGTACGAGCACTGCGATCGAATCACGGTCACGAGACAGATCGTGATCGGTGGAAAGAATAAGTACATGATCAACGGCGCGACGGCGCAGCCGACGCGAGTGCAGAATTTGTTTCACTCGGTGCAGCTCAACGTGAACAATCCGCACTTTTTAATCATGCAGGGGCGAATCACAAAGGTGCTGAATATGAAGCCGCCCGAGATTCTGGGCATGCTCGAAGAGGCTGCGGGTACGAGGATGTATGAGAACAAAAAAGAGGGCGCGCTGAAGACGATGGTGAAGAAGCAGACCAAGGTTGATGAAATCGACAAGCTGCTCGAGGAAGAAATTTTGCCGACGATTGAAAAACTTCGCAAGGAACGCGGCGACTACATGAAGTGGGCCGCCGCAAACGACAATCTGGAACGGTTGCGTAGATTCTGCATCGCGTACGACTTCGTCAAGGCGCAAGAAGCGGTCGAACAGGCAAACGCGGAGACGGGAAATGTCGAAGAAAAGATCATTGAGTGCAGAAACGCTATCGAGGACGCCGGGCGAGAAGCGACTGAGCTCGAGCTTCACATGCAACGCTTGCAAGCCGAAAAGGAAGAACGCATGGGAGCCGAGATGAAGGATCTGATCACGCGGCACGATCAGATGGAGAAAGACATCGTCAAAGCGTCGACGGCTCTGGACAACAAGCTCAGCGAGGTGAAGAGCGAGCAGAAATCCCGGGATAAGCTTTTGAAAACAGCGGCTGACATGGAAACTGCCGAGGCGAAGCGGGCCGAGAAGGTTGCCTCACTCGAAGCTGAGGCCGCTGCAGAGGCCGTTGCGTTGGCCGAGAAAGAAGCCGCCGCGGAAATGGCCGAACGCACGTTGCAAGGCGTGCAGTCGGGCAAGGGCACAGGAGCCGACAAGTCATTGCAAACGCAGCTCGCGGACGCCGTTGCGGCCCAATCTGCGTGCGACGCCGAGGTGAAATCTGCGGCGCTGAAGATTAAGCACGTTGAAAAGGAGCTCATCGGAGCTCGAAAATCGTTGAGCGCCAAGGAGAAGGAGGGTGAAAAGCTCGCGAAAGAGCTCGGCGCTGCTGAAGCCGCGGTTGAAAAGGCGCGCGCCAAGCTGGCAAACTTTGGTGGTTGCACGACCGACAAAGCGTCCGATCTCGAAGCTACATGTGACAAGATCAACAACGAAGTGAATGAATTGCAAAACGAAGTAGACGTGTTGAACTCAAAGCTCGTGGATTGTGACTTCAAGTTTACGGACCCCGAGGCGAAGTTTGATCGCAACCGAGTCAAGGGGGTCGTCGCAAAGCTCGTGCAAGTGAAGGATCCGGCCACCGTGACCGCTCTCGAGGTCGTCGCCGGCGGTAAGCTGCACCAAGTTGTCGTGGATACAGATGTCACCGGTAAGGCGATCCTGCAGAAAGGTCAGCTCAAGAAACGCGTGACCATCATTCCGTTGAATAAAATTGACAGCCGCACGGCAACGGACAAGCAAGTCGCCGCGGCCACCAACGTGAGCAATGGCGAAGCTTCGCTTGCTTTGAGCCTCGTGACGTATGACGACGACGTGAAAAACGTCATGAAGTACGTGTTTGGTAAGGCTTTCGTTTGCAAGGATCAATCGACGGCGAAGGCTGTTGCCTATGATGAGAACGTCCTCCTGAACTGCGTCAGCGTGGACGGCACGATGTTCAATCCGGCAGGAGTCATCAGTGGTGGGTCGCGTCAGACTACGAATGCCGTGCTCCCCAAGCTTCACGCCCTGTACAAAGCCGAGGCCGCTCTCGCCGACGCCAAGTCACGCGCTAAGGCTGCGAGCGATGCGGCGAAGGAGGCGTTGAACGAATCAAAGGAGGCTCAAAAGCTGGAGGATGATTTGGATCGTCAGGAGCACGCACTCGGTCTGTTGAAGGAAAAGATCAGCAGCTCCGAGGCGCATCAGCTCGCTGAGAAGGTTCGCAAGTTCGAACAAGATCTTTTCGACGCGAAGAATGCTACAGAAGAGGCTAAGGTGAAGAAGACAGAAGCCGAGAAAACGGCCAAGATGCTCGAACAAGAGATAAAGAATTTTGAGAAGGAGCGTGACTCTCGACTGAAAGACGCCGAGAAGGCTCTGAAAGATGCGAGGAATTCGGTCACCAAGGCTCGAGCTCAAATCAAGGAGAAGGAGGAATTCGTCACGAACGCGCGTGTTGAGAAGGAGGCCGCTGCGTCTGAACGCGCGGCGCTCGATGAACAGATTGCCGCGATCGATGTCGCAATCACGGAGCTGCAAGTCGAGGCCGATTCTATGCATAAGGGCGTCTCAGAAAAGCGTGAATTGTTTGACGTCGTCACCGCCGAGCTGGAAGAGCGCCGGGCCCGCGTTGCGGCATGCGACAAAGAAATCTCAACTCTATTGAAGCGCAAGTCTAAGCTTGAGAGCGATTCAGTGGAGCAAGGCGTGGAGATGAAGAAGCTCGAACACAGGATCTCTCGCATGGAAAAGGAGGAACAGGACGCAAAGGATCATTTGGCACTCCTTCAAAAAGAACACCAATGGATCGCTGGTGAAAGCTCAATGTTCGGTCAACCGGGAAGCGATTACGATTTCAAGAAGCGTTCGCCCGCCCAAGCTCAACGGGAACTCGCGGAGTGCGAGGAGGCTCAAGCGACGCTCGGGAAGCGCGTCAACAAAAAGGTCATCGCCATGTTCGATAAGGCTGAAGCTGAATTCAAGGAGTTGCAAGAGAAGCGTCGTATCGTGTTAAGCGACAAGGAGAGGCTCGAGAAGGTCATTGGTGAACTGGATGAGAAGAAGCGAGAGGCGTTGGTTTTGACATGGGAGAAGGTGACCAAGGATTTCGGTTCCATTTTCTCCACCCTACTCCCTGGAACTCAAGCCAAGCTCGAGCCACCTGAAGGATGCGGCGTCTTAGACGGTCTCGAGGTGAAGGTGGCGTTCGGCGATGTTTGGAAGGAGTCGCTCAGCGAACTCTCGGGTGGTCAGCGCTCGCTGCTCGCGCTGTCACTCATCCTCGCCCTGTTGCTCTTCAAACCGGCGCCGATTTACATTCTCGACGAGGTCGATGCTGCGTTGGATCTTTCGCACACGCAGAACATCGGCCGAATGATCAAGCAGCACTTCCCTTTCTCTCAGTTCCTCGTTGTATCTTTGAAGGAGGGGATGTTCAACAACGCAAATGTTATTTTCCGCACCAAATTTGTTGACGGAAACAGTACCGTCACCCGTACAACGCCGGCGTTGAAGGACAAGGAAGACAATACCCGACCGGATGCACCAAATGCCCTCGCGGCGGCGGCCTCCAAGCGTCGCGCTGCCGGTTCTAAAGGCAAGGAGAACTGAGCGACGATTCCACTCATTCTCGCGTAGCTCATCTGTAACATACAAGAGAGTCCCGACCAAAAATAGAATGCCGCCCGATGAAGTCACTCTCGGCACGAGATCAAGCGAACGAATACCACGTTCATTTCGTCCATTGTTCGACACACGCGAGTTAGAGTCGATCGACGGCGTTGCCGATGCGTTCATTCGTGAAGATGGACCGGCACCGACAGCGAGAGCGAGACATGAGATGTTCGTAGCAGAGTTACAGGACGAGCTCGATTACAACTTTAAGCGCGATCGATGCTTCCCAACTTCGAGAGCTGCTCTGAAGGCGTTGAAATTCGCACTTCAACATCCACTTTGTGTGCCGCACTCCGATAAGCTCATTTCTGAACTTGGTTACCTCAAGCTCACCGTTTCAGCGGGAAACCGTCGAGTCGAGTCGAACGCGGCTGTGCCTGCGTCGAAGAGCTCTCGACGCAGCATCGTTAAACTGAGCGCCGAGGAAGAGCGTAAAGTCGCGAGGCTGGAGAAAACGTTAGCAATTCTCAAGCGTAGAGTCGCCGCGTTGGCTTCGTTCACGGATGACGCAAACGGCAAAGCTTTGAACTACAACAAATAAAGAATTGAGTTTTCACTGCGAACTTCCAGAAAGATCCTGGACGAGCTGTCCGGCGTTCACGAGCGCCTGACGCATGCTCTCTAACCCTTCCGCTCGCTTGTTCAACGCGCTCTCTTGACAGGCGCGAATGAGCACGGCGAACGTGATCTCCGTGGGCATGAGCTTGTCGATGCACTGCATATCTTCGAGCACGCCGAGCGCTCGCGTGACCTCTCCGCTTCGTACGTGTGCGCCGATTAGGGCGTTGTAAACGGCTGCATTTCTCGGGACGTCCCAATAATTGCGCATTTTATCCATCACGGCCTCGGCTTCGAGGTCGCGACCTTGACATCCTAAGCAATGGATGTACGCGCCGCACATGACGGTGTGCGGAATGATGCGATTGCGCAACATATCCATCCACACCGTGTCGGCAGCTAGGTACTCCCCGCTTCGCTCCGCGGCAGAAATGAGCTGCGTAAACGTGTATGAATCGGGCTGAATCCTCGAGCGTTTCATCTCGTCGTAGACTTCAGTGCAACCCTCCCAATCGCCGTATCTCGCGTACCCGCCGAGAAGGGCGTTGAACGTGTACGTCGTGACGATCATCGTCGAGTTTCTCATCGCTTTGAACACGTCATTCGCGTGCGCCATGTCCCCGGCGCGCCCCGCCATGGTGATTATGGCGTGCATCAAGGTCGTATCCGGTCGAACGTCGTACTTTGCGACGCGCTTCGCCAGAGCGTTTCCTTCTATCCAACGTCGCGCGTTGTCGAAAGATGTGAGCACCAAGGAGAACGCGTAGCTCGTCGCCTGCACCCCGGGCTCGCGCGCCATCTCATTCAACACAACCAGAGCCTCATCCGGTCTCGCCTCATCGCGTAGCGCCGTGAGGACCGCGGTGTAGGTGTAAATGTTTCTCGCCTTGCCTTTGTCCCCCATATCCCTGAACACTTGGTACGCCCCGGTCCAGTCGCTCACGCGATTGAGCGCCGATATGACCGCCGACGCGATCTCGTTGCACACGAGCTCGGTCTCACCGTCATCTTCGAGCGCGCGGCGCCACATCGACTGCACCGTGCGCGTATCCGAGAGCGTGTTCGCCGCGCTCGCGAGCGCTACGTACGTAAACTCATTCGGAGCGAACCGTCCTTGCTTACGATTCATCCACAGATAGAGCGCGTGCGCGCGATCGAAACTTCCTCGTTCACCCAAACCTTTAATCGCAAAGTTCAACGTGGACGTGCTGATTCGCAGCTTCTCCCCCTCGGGGTTCACCGCGCTCGCGACGGCGTCCCACTCGATGCGCTCGCCCACCGACGTCGTCGCGATAGATTCCATAGCCTTGACGATCCGCTCGCCCGGACGCAACGCCGAACCTCGATCGCGTCCACTCGTCCCCGTCCGCTCACTCCCGCTCGATTCACCCCGTCGCCCGCTCGTCACCACCCGTTCGTTCCCGCGCGGCCGCTTGCTCGCGTTCACGTGCCGCGCCGCCGCGCCGTGCGACGACTTCGTCACCCGCAGATCCATCTCCATCTCGCGAGCCCCCCCCCCCGCCCCCCGCCCGCGTCCCCGTCCACGCGCCAACGCGTACTTCTGCCGCGTCGTGCGCGGTCGCGCCGCCTTTTCATCCTTCGCCGCGCTCCGCGTCCCGGCGCCGCCGCGCATCCCCTCGTCGCGTCCACCCCGCGCCGTCCGCGGCGTTCCCGTCCCACTCGCGCGCGCGTTCGACCCCTCGTCCGCGCGCGCCGTTCGATCGCCCGTTCGCGATCGCGCCCGCGCGTCGCCGGCGTCGTCGTCGCCATCATCGCCGCCGCCGCCGGGATGATTCGTCGATGCGCGCCGTTCGATCGCCCACCCGCGCCCGCGCGCGCGCCCATTCGCGCCCGCGCGCGCGTGACCCGCGCGCGCGGACGTCGCGCCCGCGACGACGGCGCGCATGACGCGCGCGCGCGTGCGCGGGCGCGGTCGACGCGCGCGCGGGCGCGGTCGATGGGCGCGTGTCTAGGGTTAGAGACACGTCGATCGAGGGTTTATATCTGATGTGTTTATCCACACGCACACGTGTGCGAGATACCAATAGACGGTCGTGTGTACATAGATTCCACGCGCGTGGGGTCGCGTGCGCGCACGCGTGGACACCCGACGCGTAGAAACACGCGATGAAAGCCCATCGCGTGTTTCTACGGGAACGAACGCACACGACCGTTGAACATCGCGCGATGGTCATCTCTCGACGGCGGACGCGACGACCATGGGCCCGCGCTCGACCCCGCGCGCGTTCGGTGACGCCCGGACGAACGACGCCGTGCGCGCGCGCGATGGGACGCCGGTGAAGACGCCGCTCGCGATGGGACGACGGGACGATGATGTGGGCGATGAAAACGTGACGCCGACGCCGCGGGCGGGGACGCTCACGCCGCGGGCGAGCGCGCTGTTGCGGGAACAGCGGTCGTTGGCGTCGCCGTTGCGGGCGGCGATATCGCCGGAGCGACCGGCGAGCGGGGTGCGGTCGAGCGTGAAGGCTGGGGAGAGCGCGACGAAGCGGGACGTGAGGCGACTGCGCGAGCTCAACGCGATGTTGATGAAACAGTTGAGCGCGGCGCGGACGTCGTGCGCGGAGGCGGAGAGCGCGAGGGAGAACTTGGGGGAGAGTGTCGAGCGCGAGATGGCGCGATCGAAGGCTTTACAGAGGGCGGTGGAGGAGAAGGCGGAGGCGTTGCGGGCGGCGGCGAAAAAGGCGAAGACGCGCGGCGACGAGAACGCGCGCGAGGAGGTGGTTCGCCTGCGTGAGCTCAACGCCAGGCTCGTGAAGGAGGTGACGATCGCGAGAAACGTCGTCAAGGCTCGGGAGAGCGAAAAAGAGGATTTGAAGGAGGCGGCGGGGAAATCGGAGGCGCGCGCGTCGACGCTCGGCGCGGAGATTGAGCACAAACAAAAGTCGCTCGAGCGCGTGCAGGCTGCGTTGAGGAGCGCCACCGAGCGCGCCGCGGACAGCTTGCGGACGAATGCGAAGGTTGAAAAGCTCGCGGAGGCGAACGCGGTACTCATGGGCGAGCTCGCAGCATTGCGAGAATCCGCGTCGAGCGACGCGCAGGCGCTTCGCGCGCAAATCGCGATGAAATCAGACGCGCTCGCCGCGGCCGAGGCTGATCTCGCCGCGGCCGAGGAAGAGCTCAGATCTCTGGGTAACGCGAAAGCTGACGTTGACAGGCTTCGATCGCTGAACGCGACGCTCTTGCAGCAAATCAAATCTCTTCGCGTCAAGGCTGATGAGGCGCTCGACGTCTCGCTCGCCCTTGAGGGCAAGGAACGAGAACTCGCCAAGGTGCAATCCGACTTGAAGAGCGCCGAGGCCGCCAAGGTCGTCGCCGAAGACGACGTCACGAAGCTCCGCGAGCTCAACGTCGTTTTGCTGCAGCAAATCACCGAGTTGAAGGAGAATTCTGAGTCCGGGGCGGAGGAGTTGGCGGCAAAGCAATCCGAGCTCGACGCTGCGCAAATGGCGCTCGAACTCGTCGAAGAAGAGAGCGCCCGCGCGCATACCGACGCATCCAAGCTTCGTGAGCTCAACGTCATCATCATGGCGCAAATTAAGACGCTGAAAAAGTCTTCCCTGGAAGATCGCGCCGCGTTCAAGGCGGACATGGACGCGAAGTCGGCGGAGCTTTCCCGAGTGCAAGACGAATTTGAAGAGCTGCAGCGTTCCGCGAAGGCCAGTGAAAGCGAGCTTGAAAAGGCTCGTCTGAACATCGCGGCGTTGAACGGCGAAATTTCGACGCTCAAGAGCATCGCTCAGGATAACTTGGCGACGAGTGCGCATCTGAGCGGACAGATTGATGAGAAGAAATTGGAGCTGACCGACGTCAAGGAAGCTCTCGCCGCCGCCGAGGCGAAGGCCGCGAAGCTCGAATCGGTTGAATTCGACGTCATCAGTCTTCGCGAGTTGAACTCGGTGCTCATCGCTCAAGTCAAGACTCTTCGTGCCGTCGAGAAAGAGAACGAAGCGCTCGCCACGGCGTTGCGCGAGCGATCGGCTGAACTCGAAAAGACGCAGCTCGCGCTCGCCGCCGCCGAGCGCGCCAGAGCGACGGGAGAGAAAGTTTCTGAGCGAGAAATTGCCAATTTGCGCGAGCTCAACACGCGAATCATTCAGCGCATGGGCGAGGTGAAGGAGGAGCAACAAAAGAAGTTCCAGCAGCTCATCGACAGCAAGACGTTAGAACTCACGCAAGCCAAGGCAGAGCTCTCCGACGCCACCAAAAAACTCGCGGCGGGGAGAAGAGACGGCGCGGCGCTCGAAAAATCTTTCGAAAAGCTTCGCGTCATGAACTCTGAACTCCTTGGCTCGATCAAGGCGTTGGAGTCTGAAATTGAAGAAGAGAAAAAGTCCACAATCGAGATGCGAAAATCCATCTCCGCCGCGCAGGTTGAGTGCGACAAGTTAGGCGAACGACTTATCACGAAGGACGCTGAGCTTCAGTCCGCCTGGTCCGCTCTCATGGCGGCGAACGCAAACCTGAAGCACGCTCTCCACGACGCTGCGGGCATGCGAGCTCTGGCTGAGAAGCGCGGTGAGGAACTCGAAGAGGCAAACGTCAACGTTGATCGACTTCGCGAGCTCAATAAGATGATGATTGAACGATTGCACAAGGCAAAGAAGGCTTCCCTCGAGGCCGAGGCCCTGAACGCTGAGTTCGCAGCGGCGAAAACGCAAGCCGAGGTGTCCGTTCGTCAAGAACAAGCCAAGGTTGCGGCGCTCGAGCAACAGCTCAAGGAGAAGGATGAGGCGTACGCCAAGACGACTGAGGAATTGCGCATCGAAATGGAAGCGGGTAACTCCGCCGCTGCGCGACGTCTGGAGGATCTGCAGCTTCAAACGCACAACCAAATCCATTCCATCGAGAGGCAACTGGAGTACGCCAATCTGGAGCTTCAAAAGGTCCAGCAATCTGAGGCGTCCCTCATCGAGGATCAAAAGAGAAGCGCTGAAGAAGTCGAGTCTCTCGTGGGCGCCATCGCGCAAATCGAAATCCAAGCCAAGAAGGACGTCGCCGAGCTGAACAAGCAAATATTCTCACTTCAAAAAGAGATCATTTCGTCCGACTCGAACAACAAGGCTCTGACGAAGAAGCTCAAGTCGTCCAAGGCGGAAATCAAAGTGCTCGAGCAACAGCTCGAAGATGCGCAGAAAACTTCAAGCCAACGCTGGAAAGACATGGTCGCCGCGTCCAAGGAGCTGCAAGACGCTCTCTCTTCCAACAAGATCAAGGACACTATTATTGAGACCATGCGCAAGGAGCTGAAGGATCTGACGAACACGGCTGAGCATTTCACTCGACTTGCCAAGGAGAATGGCGACGAAGCCAAGGATACGTCAGTCGAGTTGACGCGCGCCAAGGGACAGCTCGTCGTCAAGGAAAAGCGCATCGAACATCTCACCGCGACATTGAAAGAAACTGAAGCCGTTCGAAACGAGCTGTTCAACAAGGTCGCGCACCTCGAGCGCAAGGGAGGCGTCGCTGAGATCACCATTCGCGCCGCGGCGGAGCATCTGCACACCGCTAATGAGCGCGTTCGATCACTCGAGCATCAGCTCAAGTGCGAGCGCGCTGAGTTCGAGCGCGTCAAGGAATCGCTCACGCAATCTCTTTCCGCCGCTGAGCGTTCGATGCAGGCCAACATGGCGCTCATCGTCGAGCTCGAGTCCAAGTATCAAAAGACGCTGCAAGCGCTTCTCATCGAGCGACATCACAACGAAGAAGAACGCGAAGAGATGCGCAAGGAGCTCTCTTTCGTGAACGAACAGCTCGAACACGTCTCCACCGATCTCGAGGCGATGATCGAGCGAAACAACCGCGGGATTTTGCTCAAGATTGCGGACAGCGACGTCGCCAGGCTCGTTTTCGGCGCCCAACCCGGCGCGCCCGTCCGAGTCAAGGCGCTCATCAGAATCGGCATCTTCGGCGGCGCCTGCGCCATGGTCTCGCACATCGTTCGTGAAATCAAGGCTAAACGCACCGCGCGGTGATCCATCGCGCGCGCAGATCGCGCCACGGCGTCTCTACGCGCCATTCGAGCGCGCGCCGATTCTTAATATCTAATTTCGATTGACGACACCACCGCACACCTCACCTCGACATGTCTCGCTCGCTCGTCGAGACGCGCCGTCCCCCCCCCCCGCGCGCGCGACCCCGCGCACGCGTTCTCTCCCGCGCATCGACCTCCTCGGTCGTCGCTCGCGTCGAACGGCTCGGGAATCCGCACGCCATCGACGACGATTCCATCGCCCATGACGTTCGCTACGAGAGCGATGTGTTTCAGTGCGACGGTCGTGCGGCGTACTCGACGTTTCGTTCGAGCACGACGACGCGGGAGCGAAGAGATTTACGAGAGTTGGAGCGCGCGGCGTCGGCACGCGCGGTCGGGCCGAGCGCGTACGTCGTGCGGTGGAGCGCCTCGTTCGTCCCGGCGAAGACGCGGGCGTTGTACGATTTGGCGTTGAACTGGCCGTTCGGGGAGTTGGAGATCGAGAAGCGGGACATCTTGGATAAAATTGGGGAGACGAGTCGATTCACGTATCGAGCGTTGTTTCGAGTGCTCGCGCGCGCGGTGAGGGAGAAGAAGATGCGGATACCGATCGCGAAGATTGAGGGCGTGAGCGAGCTCACGTTTGACGACGACGGTAAATTGACGAGACACGTGGAGCGCTTGACGCTCGTGCGAGAGATGAACGCGGGACGGGTGAGGAATAAACGAATCGCTCGAGACGTTTTGGAGTATCTCGACGCGTGGAAACCGCCCGGGATGTCGCTCGAGCGCTGGGATGAAATCGTTGAAGACAAAGTGGACGTGTACGCCGTGCCCGGAATGCGCCAACTCGACGTCGACGGCTTGGAGGAAGACTTCGCCGACGGTGGACGCGTCGAGGACGCCACCGCCCTGTTGGGGTTTTTCACCCTCATCATCCTCGCCTTTGGATTCGGTTTCGGCTCGTGGTACCTCGCGCGCGCGCACCAACAACTCGAATTAGTTCGCGCCCTCGACGCGGCGCTCGACGCGTAGATTCGGAAAAAGTCTTCATTCAAAGCATTACACCCCTGTAGCGTCCTACCGTCCCGGCGGACGCATCCCCGGCGGCGGCCCACCGCCCGGCATCATCGCCCCCAACGGCGGTCCCCCGAATCGCGTCGGCGCCGCCGCCGCCGTCGGCGCCGGCATCCCTCGTCCCGCGCCCGCCGCCCGTCCCGTCCCGCTTCGCGCCGCCGTCCGCCCCGTCCCTGCCGGCGGCGGTCCCTCCACCGTGAGCGACACCACCTCCTCCCCCCGAAGCAACACGAACCCGAGCACTCGACGGACGTGTCGATCGTCCGCGTCCATCGTTCGCGTCGCCGGAAGCTTTCGATGTTCCTCCGCATCCGCGAGCACGAGATTCACGTGTCGATCAAAAGCCATGAATCGCCCGACGATTTCCCGTCCGTCGACGATGGTGACCCGGACGCGGTAGTTCACGAAGGCGACCATCTTCGACGTCTTGGACACCGCCATGGCGTCCGCTCGCGGCGTCGCGCGGTGCGCGGTGCGGGGTCGGCCGGCGTGGGATTCCTTTCAAAACCCTGTACACAGTCGTATGGGGTTTCGTTTCGAGCCATGCGCGAGCCCCGCGCGCGCGCCCCGCGCGACGTCGCGACGCGCCGACGCCGCCGCCGACGCCGCGGACATGGATCTCGTTCTCGGCGTCGCGCTCTGGGCGTCGCCGCCGTGCGTGAAGTTCCCGGGGTTGGTCGTCGCGGCGCTCGCGCGGCGACGACTCGGCGCGGCGCGGCGTCGACGGGACGGACGCGCGGCGTCGAGCGCGGCGACGAGCGCGGACGATGGCGTCGGGGTGGATTTAACGTGGCGAGAGGTGTCGATGACGGTGCGGAACGGGCGGACGGGGATGACGCGGCGGGTGTTGGACGCGTGCTCGGGTTCGGCGCGGGCGGGACGGTTGGTGGCCGTCATGGGACCGTCGGGGGCTGGGAAATCGTCCCTGCTCAACGCGTTGGCGGGTCAGGTGCCGGAGAGCGCGCGGGTGATGCTCACGGGTGTTTTACGGGCGAACGGTGCGGACGCGGGGGATGGATCTGGGTTCAGGAAGGCGTACGTGCAGCAGGAGGACGCGTTGTATTCAATGTTGACGGTGCGCGAGACGTTGGAGACGGCGGCGAAATTAGGCGGGTCCAAGGACGTGAAACGGACCACGGAGACGCTATTGAACGATTTGGGTCTGGCCGCGTGCGCTGACACGCGCGTGGGCGACGCGAAGACGCGCGGGGTGAGCGGCGGGGAGAAGAAGCGACTCGCGCTCGGCGTGCAGCTCGTCGGCGCCCCGAGCGTGATCTTCGCCGACGAACCGACGAGCGGTTTGGATTCGTTTCAGGCGGAGAAGGTGATGAAGACGTTGTCCAAGCTGGCGAAGGAGCACGGCAAGACTGTGGTGTGCTCGATCCATCAACCTCGATCGTCCATCGTCGACCTCTTCGACGACTTGTACTTGCTCGCCGACGGACGATGCGCGTACTTCGGACCGATGTCCTCCGCGCGCGATTGGTTCGAGAAGTCGGCGGATGTGACGATCCCGAACGATGTTAACGTCGCCGAGTACCTCATCGATATCGTCTCCATCGACGCGACATCGGCGGAGACGACTGCGGAGACGTCTAAGCGTATTGACCGTATCGTCAAGGCGATGGCGTCCAATCCGCCCGCTCTCGCGGAGGACGACGTCTCCAAGGGATTATCGACCGCCAGTGATGCACTCGCGCTCACTGGCAAGCGTGTCGGATTCTGGGGACAATTTCCGCTTCTGTTGAAGCGATCGTGGCGTCAAGTGACGCGCGATAAGGCGACGAACAAGGTACGACTACTGACGTCACTCAATAGCGCCATGGTGTTTGGAAGTATCTTTTGGAAGATGAAGCTCACGCAGACGGCGATCCAAGACCGCATGGGTCTCTTGCAAGTCTCCGCAATCAACGCCGCGATGAGTGCGCTCATGAAGACTTTGACTTCGTTCACGAAGGAAAAGGTCATCGTCAATCGCGAGCGAGCGTCCAAGGCGTACGGCGTCTTGCCCTACTTCACGTCCAAGCTCGTCGCAGAGCTCCCCGTGGGAGCTTTCTTCCCTCTCGCGTTCGGCGCGTGCGTGTATCCGATGGCTGGTTTACATCCCACGCTTGGACACTTCGCGCGTTTCTGCACAATACTAACCGTCGAATCCTTCTCATCTTCGGCGCTGGGTCTGGCAATCTCTTCAATTGCTCCGAGCACGGAAGCCGCGGTCGCGATGGGCCCCGCGGTCATGGTGCTCTTCATTGTTTTCGGCGGGTATTACGTCAACCAAGATAACGTCCCGATTTACTTTAAATGGCTCAACAAGTGTTCGCTCATCAAGTGGGCATTCCAAGGCTTGTGCGTGAACGAATTCCAAGGTCTCAAATTCGAGACAAAGCGTCCGTTCGACCAAAAGACGGGCGAGGACGTCCTCGAGCGCCTCTCCTTCCAGGACGCCACCCCGCTCTCTAGCCTTCGTCAGCAAGGGAACATCTTGAGCTTCCTTTATTTGCTCACTTTGTACTTGCTCGACACCAATGCGCCCAAGTTTGCCGTCATGCAGCCGCCGTCGGTCTAAGCAAGTTTTGTAAGGATGAGGCGTTTTTACGTAACGCCTTTTATCGTTCACCGCACTTCACCGCTCCGCGCGCGATGTCGGTCTCGATCGACGCGTCGTCGTCGACCTACCACAGAGAACGAGGGAACGCTTCGTTTCGACGCGGCGCCTACGACGAGGCGCGTGACGGACGACGACGACGGACGCCCCGAAGACGCATTTAAAAAACGATGAAGTCACGAGAGCGTTCGGACTGACGAGGTGTTTATTCGTTCGTCGACGCGACAGGCGGTGGAGGCGTACGCGCGAGCGATCGAATCGCGCGCAGACGATTGCGCATCGCTGACGAACGCGAGCGCGGCGTATATGGAGCTCGGGAGGTACGATCTCGCGGAGGCGGCGGCGCGACGCGCGCTGGAGGCAAACGCGGCGTGGAGGAAAGGGTACGCGCGACTCGCGCGAGCTCTCGAACGACAAGGACGCGCGAGAGACGCGTGCGATGTGTATAGACGAGGAATCGAGGTATGCGGGGAGAGTGCGCAGATGCAGGAGCGGCTAGACGCGCTCGAGGAGAGCGCCGCGATGGAAGACGCGTCGCCAGAGGCGCTGAAGGAACGCGGGAACGCATTCTTGAGAGACGGTGATCTCTCCGCGGCTGAGGAGGCGTACACGTTGGCGATTGATAAAAGTACGGCGAGCGGGGCGACACTCGTGGCGTTGTACAACAATCGCGCAGAAACGAGACGACGCGCGCGAGAGCACGAAGCCGCCGTCGAAGACTGCACCAAGGCGCTCGAGCTAGATCCGATCAACCTCAAGGCCATCTTGCGTCGAGGCGGGACGTACGAAGTGCTGGAGAAATACAAGCGCGCGTGCGACGATTACGAGCGCGCGCTCGCGATCGATCCGAGAGATCCGTTTCGCGTCCGCGAGCGACTCAGGCGCTGTCAGGCGTTGGCTCGAGAGCAATTCTAATACACGTTACATTCATTCATTTTTCCTCGCGATACAGCGTGATCTCCTGTTGTTTGAAGTACCTCCTATCCCACTCGTCCACGAGCACGAGATTGAGAAAGTACTTGACGCTAAACTTGTTGTTCACCTTGTTGTACGTCGGCGTCAAATCGTATGGAGACAAAAACAATCTCACCGGGATCGATTCCCCGCGCACGGGCGCTCCGTCCATGACCTCATACTTTGCGATCGTCTCACTCTCGCTGTGTGAGGTCGACCCGCTCTCCGTGCTCTCCCTGCGACGAATCTCCAGCTCCATGTGTTTAATCTTTATCCGCACCAACAGAAAGTAAATCTTCCCAACCACCACGTCCCGCAACGAGTACTTCGCCTTGGCGTACTCGAACTCGATGTGCAAGCAGTCCTCTATTCCAACCTCCATCCTGATCGAGTTATTCATCTCCGGCGTCGCCTTCACGGGATTTCGAACCCACAACTTGAACTCTCGCGTCACGCCGCTCGCGTACGACCGACTCACCTTCGCTCGTAAAAAATACCGCACCCGCACGTTTATCCCGTGATAACTCTCGTGTAACATCTCCACGTGATTAAACTCGAACGGGAAGCTCTTCGGCGTCGCTAACTCTCCCGCGGGCTCTAAATCTCGGGTGAGCGTTAAGAAATCCGTCGTCGATCTGTCGCCGTACTGCTCGATCTGTCCCACGAGTTCGATCCGCACGCCCTTGTGCTCGAACTTCTTGCCCGGAACCGGGGCGATGTGAACGACGCCTTTGATGGTGTCGCCGGTGCGGAAGAGCGGGAGACGCTCGTGCGCGGTGGCTTGTTCATTCTTGACGGATGCCATGGGCTGGGCGTCGCCGGCGTCGAACGCGATGTCCAGCGCGCACACGCGCCCGAAGCCCAAGAAGGACATCGGACGTGATCAGTGTGAGTGTTTGCGTGCGGGTACACGCGCGAGTTCGGTCTCGAGCGGGCTCGATCGCGGCGTGGTGTGGCGCGTCGCGTCGGAACGGCGGTCGGGACGCGCGGGACGACGGGACGGGACGTTCAAAGAATAATGCTACACAACGCTTTTAATGACTCATCGCTTGCGGTTGTTGGCTTTTTCTTTCTTTTTCGCATCCTTCTCCATCTGCCGCCGCTGCGCTCGCGGGAGCTTGGCGTACTCTGCCGCGGCTGCTTTTTGCTTGTTGTGCTCCTCGAGCTCCTCGGGCGTCGGCACCGGCGGGGTGCTGGACGCGATCCAGAGCTGGCTCACCCACTTCTCGTGCCCATCCTCTGCGGACGTCGCTGTGTGTAACGTACGAGCGTCGTTCATGCACGCCGCGGAGGATGGGAAGAAGACGAGCGCCTTCCCTCTCTTTGGTTGCACTTCGACGTCGAGGTGCTCGAAACGCGTCGCGCCCCCCTTCTCAACGTCGTTCAGGTACACCAAGATAGTCGCTCGGCGTTGGTATCCCTTCTCGGCGGCAATGTTGATGGGGAAACTGTCCTCGTGCGCCTTGAAGTACTCCCCGCCGGAGTAATGCGCCACCTGCGGGAGCTCAAACGACCACTTGGATTCACCCGCCTGCGGCGCCCGAAACGCGTCCTCTGTCTTGCTCAACCCCTCTACCTGCGGCAACAAGTACTCAGCGCGACTTAAAATAGCCTTCTTACTTGGATGGTTCTCCAACCCGTGCGAGTTCAGAGCGACCGTCCGAGACGTTCGAATGTTTTCGTTCTCCGCCCCGCCAATGGCGCTCACCGCCAGCCCTCCGCTCGCCTCCGCGCTCGCCACCAGCGCATCGCACTCATCCTTGCTCAGGAAATCGTCCACGGTGAAAATCGGTGGGTCGATGTTCAGCACGCGCAAACCGGGGAAATTTTGCGTGCGCACCGACATGAATTCGAACCCTAGGAACCCCGTGAATGAGTTCGCCCACTCAGCCGGAGCGTCCGCGAGCGACACCCCTCCTTCCAGGAGCTGTTCCGGCAAGATCTTCGACAGCGTCTTGCGTTCGTGGGCGGGCACAAATCGCGCCTTTTCGTCCTCGGGCGTCGGGACGTCGTTGCCGGCGAACACGATCGTCGAGCGACGCGTCGCGGCTCCGGCGCAGAGCTGCCCTAACCCTGTAGAGCTCTTGACGTTGATGATTCGTCCGACGTTGGCGACGACACGCGTTTCGGACGCGCGCGACGCGCGCGCGCGACGCGTCGATGATCGAACATCGACCACTCGCGCGCTGGCGAGGGATGGGGCGAGCATGGCGCGTTGTGCGGTGCGTCCTGGCGATTCTTTGGCTGCCGCGCCGCGCGAGCGGGACGTCGTCGTCGTCGGTACGGAGGGTACGAGTGAGCGAGTGCGTTTACATTTTGATCAGCACGGCTCTGCCGAAGGCTATGGCGATGAAAGTGGCGATGGTGTAACCCAAAACACCGACGAGCATGGCGGGGACGATGAGGGAGCGCCAGTTCTTGGCGGAGGCCATGGCGGCGGCGGTGGTGGGACCGCCGACGCAGGCGTTGGAGGCCAGGAGCGCGCGCGCTCGGTCGAACCCGAACGTTCTGGCGCAAGCTAGGAGAAAGCCGACATGAATGGCGACTTGGAGGCAGGAGAAGAAGAAGAGCGAAGGCGCGGTGCCGATCATGTGTGCGATGGATCCGGAGGCGCCGACGGCGACGAAGAAGGCTTGCATGACGAGCGTCGCCAGCGCCTCACCAGATCCCGCCAAGCGACCGAGACGCTTGGGTAGCGCCGTCGCCAGAATGACAGTAATCAGAGTGATGATCGGTATGTCCATCCCGCGCACGTTCAGCGCGGCACATATGAGCTTTGTGACGTATCCAACGCTCGCGGCGACAGCGAGAGCGTACGAGGCGTTGAGCACGCTAAATGGCTCACCAGCGCCCTCGCCCTCGACCGGCGTTGCGTCGACCTCTTCACTCACACTCGTGCTTTTTCTTCTATTGTCTTCCTCGCGCGGCATCACCCCTCGAGCCAGGGCGAACAAACCGGCAAAGTACAGCGCGTTCATCAAATTATCCGCAGCCAACCCCGCCGCGACGACGTTCGGCGCCATATCCAGCGCGTTCGCCACCGCGACAAAGTTCACCGCTCCACCTATGTGTCGCGCCATGAGCGCGCTCGCCATCTTCCACCCCTCATCCCCGAGCGCGCTCATCGGCACCGCGGCGAACGCTATCGCCGTCCCGAGCGTCGTGCCAACCGTCCCTAAAGCGAACGACGGCAACAGACTCGCCGACCCTCTGAGCACTCTTCTGACGTCCGCCGTGAGCAACAACATCGGCACCGCTAACGGTAACAAGAATCCGTTCACCACATCGTACGTCGGCGACGCCGTCGGCATCACGCCGACGTTCGCCGCGACGAGCGCGCACAGCGTCGAAACCAGAGGCGCCCCCCCCAACGCCGCGCCCCACGGCTTCTTCTCCGCCCACAACCCGATCGCCGAGCACGCCAAGACCCCTGTCCACGTTCCCAGCGCGTCCGCGGGCGCGATGAGCGCCCGCGCGACCGTCGCGGGCGCTCGAACTTTCGCACCACGCCTTCCCAGCGCGCGCGTCGAAGACGCTCGCGACGCGCGCGCGTCGCCGACGCGCCCGCGATTCGCCGCGCGCGCGCGCGCGCGCATGCCGCGTCCGAGCGCGCTCTCAACGCGGCGCGTCGACGCGGACGCGGCGCGCACTGACGAAGAACGATGCCAGGCGTCACTCCTCGACGCCGAAATGTCGAGCGTGCAACCCGCGGCGTCGCAAGCGCGCGTCTTCGTCGGCGTCGCCGTCGGGCTCGCGATCGCGGCGATCCCGTTCGCGTTTAAGGAGGTGCGGGGGCGGGAGCGAGCGGTGGCGGATGCGCGGGACCGGGCGTACGAAGGACGGGACGACGCGAGAAACGCGCGGTTATCGGCGAAGAAGCGGTAGCGCGATGGATAAAGGAATCGCACGCTAGACGCCGACGAAGAGGACGCGGTGAAAGACGTGGTGGAAGTCTTCGCGACCGGATTCGAGGATTTGTTCGACGGCGAGACGGAGCTCTGTCTCGCCGCCGTCGCGGTCGGCTAGTTGGTTGTAAAGCTGTTGAACGTAGCGCATGACGCCGAGATATTTGCCGTCTGGTATAGTTTCCTTGTGCTCGTCGAACAAGTCGGAGATGGCGCGCAGGTGCGTCCTGTCTTCTCTGTTGGAGTCGTCTGGAAGGCCGCAGAGGAAATCGACAAAGTCGTCGATTGTGTCCAAATCGTCGTCGTTGAGGAGTCCGTACCGCACCTCATCCGCGTGGCCGAGAGTTTCGATGAACACCTGTTTAAGCTTCATCGTCGTAAAATTGCACTGGGGCGTCGCGATCGCGAACGTCGCGACAAGCTCGAACCAGTCTACGTTGAGCCCTCGTACGCTTTCCACGAGGTGATCTTCGACTGCGTCGATGACTAACGGCAGCCCGACCTTGTCGCGCAAAAACGCGACCCCGGTCACGTCTTTATTTCGTACCGCGATCTGCATATGGGCGTCTGTAAATGTCGCGCATTTCCGTTTCCAGAGGTACTCCAGAGCGCTCGCGCGTCCGTAAATACGATGATTCAAGTAGTCTTCTGAATACGTCTGGTAAACGTCTGAGTAATCGTACATATCCCGAGACTCATCACGGACGTGCGCGGACGTAAACAGGCATTCAACCAAGAGTTTATCGCCGTGTACCAGCAAAGAGCGAATGAAATCGAAAAATGGCTCCCAATTAATCGGCAAGGACCCGGCGCACACGGCGTTAAAAGCGGCTCGAGGATAAAAGACGTTATCGGCGTCCGTCGTGCGCTTGGTCCACGCATCGTAGCAAAACTTGAAACCGTCCAGCAACCCCGCTTCAACCATCGATTCCATCGCTTTCTTCGGGTCGAAACGTACGCCAATCGTTCGTAGCCACTTGAGACTGGAGATGAGATCCTCTTCGCCCAGTCGGGTCTCGCGTTCCAACGCGCGCGTCGCTTTGGCGATAATCCCATTCACCCCACCCTTTTCCCTCGCGCACCGCGTCGTGAAGCACTCCTCGCACTGCGTCCAAAACGCTCGCGTCCTGTTCGAGCACCGCGTTTGTTTCCCGCACTGTCGCGTCGTCGTCGACGAACTCGTGTGTGATTTTGATTTTCTCTGCGCTGGTAATGTCTTCACCTTTTTGACGACGCGCTTCGTCTCGCCCGGGACGTCCCTCGCGGCGCGCGTCATCGACGACGCGACGCCGCCGTGCGTGTCGTCCGTCGGCGAGCGCGACGCGGGCGGGACGAACGGCGTCGCGTCGGGGTTCATGGGCGCGTGGAGGTGTGGGAACATTTTCCGAGGGTGCGCAGGCGTTATAAAACGCTCGTTCTTCGCGACGAGACTGCGACGAGACTGCGACGAGACTGGAGGCGGGCGGCGACCCGACTGGATGCCGTACGCTGCCTGCTATGACACAAAAATAATCTACTGCTGGTGCGCCCGAGCCCGGATATCTCACTCGGTGCACAGGGCGGGAAGGATGCGTTGGACGTGCTTGAGACCGTCGACGAGCGGCTGAGGGAAGGTGGCGTTATCGGCGTCGAGAGAGTGGACGGTTTGCTCGCCCAATCGAGGGTCGTTGCGCACGACCAATCGATAGGTGGTCGAGATTAACATCTCGGTCCCGTCTTCGAAGTTTGTCTGAATTGTCTTGTTGGACAAGCGCCAGGAGATGCCCTTGGACGATTGGGTCCAGTGCTTGACGTACGGCGGCATGGCGTGCGGAGATCTGAGTCTGGCGTCGTCGACCGATCGAAGTCCGCCGCAGGATCTCACGACGGCGTTCATGGTGTCCTCGATCTTTCCGAGAAAATATGCTCGAAAATGCATCGCGAGGAGTACCTTCTTCGCCACCGCACGACCGTACATCGATCGCGCGTCGTCGGGATTGATGATGGTTCTTCCAATGATTCTCACATTGGCGCGCTTGGTCTCGCCCGAGTTGTCGCCGTCACCGTCCCGGCGCGTCGACGACTCGCGCTCGTTCGCCGGAGGCGTGTACACGACCGGAGAATCATCGGCATCCGTCATGAAAACCATGCTCGAGTCGTCGTTGAAATACACGCCCACGGTGCCGTCGCTGAGCTGGTAAGGCATGCCGTAGTCTCGCGTGTACTCCCACTTGATCCATGAATCGACCCATAGCTTTGGAAAGTATCCTAGCATCTCGTGCGCTTCCGACGAGGGCGCATCTAAGCTCATCACTTGAAGTTTTGTCGATAATAACGCACGATCGGCGTCGCGATTGTGGGCGTCTTCCGGTGAGAATCGTTCACGCTTCGCCTCAGCGCGCGGACTCGGTGCGTGATGTTTTGGCGCGTTCTGGTCGATAGTCTGCAGTGGTGAGCGCAATGGAGCGTCATTAGTGTTACTGACGACGTTGTCACGCTCTTGCAGCTTGCGTGACTTGACATTAATCGACGGTTTGTCCATTATCAATGCCGGCTCTGGCGCGGCAACCAATTCGTTTTCCAGCGACCAATCTCTCGCACCGAGCCGCATGAACGGATGCGCAGCGAACTGCGCCAGTGACGGACGCTTCGACGGCTCGGGATGAAGCGCGGCGCGAATCAACGCCTTCGTTGAGTCCGAAACCAGAGGTTCTTCCGGGAATTCGTAATCGTTCTCTCGAATGCGCTTGTATGTCAACTTGACATCCTTAGACTGGAACGGCGGAGTTCCGTAGAGCAACGTGTATAAAATCACCCCGAGAGACCACGTATCGACCTCGTACGAGTGTCCGACGCCATCTTTCCCCCTGAGCACTTCCGGGGCGATGTAGTTTGGCGTCCCGCAGATGGTCTTGCGCCTATCTCCCCTGTGCTCCAAGACGCACGCCAAACCGAAATCACCAATCTTCAAACGTCCAGGACCGCCGCGCTTACCCAGCGCGTCGTTCCATCCAGGCCCAGCGGCATCGATCTCCTCCAATCCCTCCTGTGTTAAGAACAAATTCCCCAACTTTAAATCTCTGTGCACGATACGAATCGAATGCAAGTGCGCCGTCGCCGTCAACGCCTCTCGCACGTAACACGCCGCGTGCGTCTCTCCCATCCCCCCTCTCGCCTTCACAATGTCCCACAGCGTCTTGCTCGAGCACATCTCCATCAAGATGTACACGTGTCGCTCGTCCTCGAAGCACCTCTCGAACCGCACCACGCGCTCGCTCCGCGCCCTGGCGTGAATTTCAATTTCTGTCTTCATCTTCTTCCACTGCCTCGGCTTCGTCAGCGTCGATTTCGCGATCACCTTACACGCGAGCTCTCTCCCCGTGGACATCTCCCGCACCGCGAACACCGCCGCGAACCCACCGCGTCCGAGCAGGCGCTCGCGCACGTATCGTCGATACCTCGGCGCGCCATCCGGACCGCGCCGCGTCTCCGTGATCACGCGCGGGCATCGCACCTCGCGCGCGCGGTCAACCCTACGCGTGGCGCACACGTCAGCGTCTTCGTCAGCGCCCCGCGTGACCTCGACGCGCGCGCGCGACGAGCGAGCGCGTCGAACGTTTCGAACGCGATGTCCGCTCGCGCACGCGTCGTCAGCTCGTACCTCGGCCGACGCGCCGCCGACGCGTCCTCGGCCCTCGCGCTCGGTTCACCCCGGTCGCGCGCGCGATCGACGCGATCGCTGACCGGCGCGCGCGCGGCGGACATGGCGCCGCGCGCGTCTCTGCGGCTCGAGCGTTTGAAATCATGAAATCGGTCGATGGGCTGGATGCGTTCGTGAGTCATCACTCCAGACGGAGTCCCTAGTATAATATCTCGTGTAGGACCGTGTGTACACGGCATGGTGGCACGACCGTCGTGATACGAAACGTCACACGACGCGTGCGCGCGTTCGTCGCGGGCGACCACGGCGCGGGACGATGACGGAACCGCACGCGCGCGTGACGTTTCGACGGAACCAGGAGGCGGGCGTGCGGATCGAGCGCGTTCGGGCGAGTTGGAAAGACGTGGAGAAAGTTTGGAAGCCGTGGAGGCGCGCGAGGCGACTCTGGCGGCGAGGGAGGAACTTCGCGTGGTCGATATGGTCGAGCGACGACGCGTCGCTGCGGATGCGGGAACGACCGCGCGTGCTCGTTCGCGTTCGAGCGGCCGGGGTGAATCCGGTTGACACCAAGTGGTTGTACGGTGACAAGGTGTGCGCGTGGATGACGGGTCTCGTGCGAAGCGCGGTGGAAGGCGCTGGCGTTGGATTCGATTTCTCTGGCGTCGTCGAGCGCGCGGACGAGGGAAGTGGGTTCGAGATCGGTGATGAAGTCTTCGGACTCGCCCCGCCGATGGTGGGATCAATCGGTGAAATTTGTCAAGGTTCCCTCGGACATGATCGCGCTGAAGTCGAACAAGATGACGTTCCGCCAAGCCGCGTCCATCGGCCTTTGCGGTGTCTCCGTCACTCAGGCGCTCGACCAATTCAAAAGTAAATTCGCGCCATCACCTGCGCTTGTCATCGGCGCTTCGGGTGGTTTGGGTCACATGGCATGTCAGATTTGTGCGGCCGAGGGTGCTCGTGTCGTTGGCGTGTGCTCTCGCGCGAACCTCGAGTACGTGCGATCTCTCGGCGTCGAAGCCGCTTTTCCGTACGACGACGACGCAGAAACCCTGGAACAACATCTTGAACGTGCCGGTTACGCCGGCACGTTCAGGATCATCATCGATACCGTCACGTCGAACGCCAAAGAGGACGCGCGATTCGATTACGAATCGCGATTACGGCCTTTCGCAACCAAAGACGCCAGTTACGTCAAATTCGGTGGCACTCCGGGGCGTTGGGCTATGGCGCACATAATCCGACTCGGTGTACCACTGCGCGGCGTTGGCGCTCCGTTTTGGATCTACTTTTACCAGTGCGATCGCCAACTGCGATATCTCGCAGACGCGTTTGATCGCGGCGATTTCGTTCCGACGGTTGCCGATTCGTTTCCATTCACCGACGCTGGCGTTCGAGATGCCTTCGCTCTCGTCCGCTCTCGACACGCCGTCGGTAAGGTTGTCATCGACGTCGATGTCGATCATACCGACACACGAACCGCCGCTTCAGAGATCGCGCCGCCGAACGGCGTCGCGCGCCGCGCGTGACCGATTCGCGCGATTTCAAGGTACGCGGCGGTGCCAATCTGACGATGTACATCGCACGCGTCCCGTCTCACGACGCGCGGTGGACGTCACGGATGGACCGCGGAATCTCACGCAGTGTTACGCTTTCGATTGTCGATGATTGTCGGCGAACGCGTTCGCGTCCTCGGCGCGCGCGTAATTTCAAAAACGCGCTTTACAGCTGTCGCTCAATACAACCCTCGCCGCACTCGCGCGCGCGCGCGTCGCGCTTGAACGCGTCGCGAGCGACGACGACGACGACGACGACGACGACGGGAACGTGCTCGATCCCTGACGTCACCGCGAGCGTCTCGACGCGAACGCACGGACGACGTGAAGAGCGCGATGAACGAAGATGCGGTCGAGCGCGCGTCGAGCGATGACGATTTCGATCGCATCACGCCGTCGTCGCGATCGGACGGCGGACCGGAGGCGACGACGGTGACGCCGGAAGGCGGCGGACGGGAGAGCGCGGATGCGAGGGGGCGTTCGAAGAAGTTTTTACCGGAGATGTCGATGAAGACGTACATGCGCGAGGCGGAGACGATTGAAATCGAAGACGAAGGATCAGACGAGGATAAAGGGACGAAGCGGCGACACGCACCGGTGGTGATGGCGTTTGAAAAGGACACGCGGAAGTTTACGACGAGGATGATCGGTGGGTGTCAGGTGAAATTTCCGGAGGGTTTGGATCCGCACCCAGCGCAGATGATGACGATGTCGACCATCATTCGGACGTTGACGCGGAAGGAGCACGCGATGATCGAGTCGCCGACGGGGACCGGGAAGACGCTGGCGCTGCTGTGTGGAGCGTTAGCGTGGCAAGAAAAAAACAAGGTGGAGATGATGGCGTCTGGGATGACAACAGCGGTGGAACGAGCCAAGTATGAAAAGGCTCGCGTTGAGTACCTGATGCAAAAGTGCGACCCAACGCGGAAGAAACCTCCCGTCTGCGCTCAAGGTCCCGGTTGGTCGGCGGACGACGAGTATTTCAAACCCGGTTCCGGAAGTTCAATGAACCCAAAGATTTTCATCTGCTCGAGAACGCACTCGCAGCTCGGTCAGATTTTAGGTGAGCTCAAGCGGACGGGGTACTCGCCCAGGTACAGCGTCTTGTCCTCGCGTCAGCGCATGTGCCAAATGCAGAAGAACGATGCTGAGTGCAAGCAACTGATCGGCAGCGACGAGGGCAAGAAGAAAACCGGTACCACGGGTTGTCCGTATTACAACAAACACACGCACGTCGTGCGAGCGATGGAACGGTACCCCTTGAACGGAAGTCAAGGTATGTACCCGCAAGCGTGGGACATGGAAGATTTCGAGCGCGTCGTTGATGAAGTCGATGGCTGTTCGTTCTTCGCACTGAGAAAGATGTACGAATCGGCCGACGTAGTATTTTGCCCGTACAACTATCTTTTCGACATCAACATCCGTCGGAAAATGTCCATCGAAACCGAGGGCGCATGCGTTATCATCGATGAAGGGCACAATATAGAGGACGTGTGTCGCGAGGGCGCGTCGGCAGAATTTTCTCTTCAAGCGGTCGGGGAAGCCATGGATGCGCTGAGCAAAAACCTGGGACACGTTAACGTGGAGACGAACATGCTCGCAGATTTCTTCCGTTCGATATCCGCTTTCTTGGAGGACATGTTCCGAACGAACCGCGCGGAGAGCACCATCATCCAGTCAAATCAAGTGCCATCGTTTCTGCAAGAAATGTTGAGTAGATTCGACGCGGCGCACGACATGGCGACGCTCAGTGAGACCGTCAACGATCTGATGACGACAAAAGCGAAGCATCTCACTCCGATCGTCGCACCGCACATTTCTCTTGCGGGGGATTTGGCTTCCATCGTCACCATGGCATCAACTCAACCAGAAGCCTACAACGTAATTTTTGGAATGAAGGTTGACATTAACAGCGATAGCTGTCCTGGAGTAATCATTCAGTGCATGAAACCGTCAGTGGCGTTTAACTCAGTCGCAAAAAAGGCGCGCTCGGTTATTTTAACGTCTGGCACGCTTTCGCCGATGACGACGTTTGAGGCTGAGCTTGGTGTTCGTTTTGGAGCGAAAATTGAGGCGCCGCACGTGGTTCCAAATGAAAACGTATACGTCGAGGTTACGGGCGCTTTGGGTGAAATCACGTACAAGGCAACGGAAAGCGAAAACGCTGGCAGGCGGTTCGCTCAAAATCTGGGGAATTATCTATTACGCTACGCCAAAATAATCCCTGGAGGTATGCTCGTGTTCTTCCCAAAGTATTCGCTCATCGAGCGCGTGGTGCGCGAGTGGCACATGAGTGGCTTATTCGGACAGCTGAATGATCATAAGTTCTTGTGCTGCGAAACGCGCGGGGCGAAGGGGTTCCAGGAGACACTCAATCAATTCGATCGAGGCAACACGAGGAGTGGTTCGCTCATGCTCGCCGTCTATCGTGGCAAAGTATCGGAGGGCATCGATTTCAAGGACGATAAAGCGAGAGCTGTGTTTTGCGTCGGTATTCCGTTTCCGAGCGTGTTCGACCCGAGGGTGAAGGCGAAGAAGGAGTTTAACGATTCGCCTACATCGAAGCAACAGGGCATGTTGGCTGGAGGCGAGTGGTACAGGGCGCAAGCATATCGCGCGTATAATCAAGCGCTCGGTCGTTGCATTCGTCACCCGAAGGATTACGCCGCGCTCTTCCTCGTCGACGCTCGATTTCGAGAGGGCGGCGCGTGGATGTTGAACAACATATCGAAGTGGATCCGAAACAATACCCGAGCGAGCGATGATGTCAACGTAAGCGTCAGGCAGGTGAGCGCGTTCTTCAAACGTCTTCGTTCCATGGACAGCGCACCGAACGCGTTACCAGGTGAACCCGTTTCATCGCAATCGAACACGCCGCTCGTGCCCGTGAATCAAAATCAAAACGGACCACCGTCGCCAACACTAAATGAGAAGCAAGGAGACTTTCTTCTGTCCAAGCTGGGTTGCGAGGCAAACCGCGAACTGGTCGACGCTCTGGATTCAATGCACCGCGCGAGCGTGAGCGCGCGAGAAGAGCCGATGAAAGTGAACGCCTACGCGAAGGCGTTGACGTCCATTCGTGAACTCAAGTACGAGGTCACAGATGGGAAGAAGATGTCGACCAAGGGACCTGAAAAGGTTCAGCACATCGGTGCGTCGATGGGAGCGCAGATTGATCACTGGCTAAAGCACCGCGTCTTCGAGCGCATGGCGTATTACGAGAAAGGCCAACTGCCGCCGGCCAAGTAAAACTGTACAAAAGTGGAATGTTGATCGCACGCTTTTATTGATACACACACTACCTATTTTCTACGACGCCCGCGCGCACGCGTCGTTCGTAATATCGAGACAAGGCGATTACGCCCGCGTGCGTCACCGAAAGCGACTCCACGAGCCGACCCATCGGTATTGTGCACACCGCATCGCACGCGGCGATCTCCTCTTTCGTCAACCCATCGGCCTCATTCCCGAAAACCAACGCTAATTTCCCACCCTCGACGTCGCCTCCCGGAAACGCGTCCGCGAGCGCCTCCAAATCGTCAAACGTAACGGCGCCATCGACGTCGCCGCTCGGCCACGGGTGAAACGCCACCGCGCTCGAGCACCCCACCAACGCCTCCACCAACGTATCAAACGTGCCACTCGATGAAGCGACTCGAACCAACCCTTGCGCTCCCTTCGCCGCGCTCAGCGCCGCGCGCGACCCGGCGTCGCACGCCGGCGTCACCAACCTCAAGTCCACGCACTCGAACGCGGCGCAGCTCCTGGCGAACGCGCCGACGTTGGACGCGATCTTCGGCGAGCAAAACACAACGGCGACGTCTCCGAGCGCGGGATTCACCAGCGCGCGCGCGGGGTCGCTCCGTCGCGACGTGTCGAGCACCTTTTTGACTGCGTCAGCCCACGCATCCCTCTTCACGTTCTCCCCGCGACGAGCGCCGCGCGTCGACCGCGGTTCGCCACCGGACGCGCGCGCGCACAACACGCGCGCGGTCATTCGCGCGCGTCGATGCGCCCGCGACGTCGCGCGTCGCGCGTCGCGGAGTGAACAATATGAAAGTGGACATTTTATTTTAGCGGCGGCGATTCGTCTCCGCACACGTCGGCGCGCCCGTCGCGCGCGCGCGTCATGCTCGACGACGACCCCGCGATTGTCGCGCGTCGACGCGCCGAGCGCGATCGCGTCGAGTGCGAGATCGCGCTCGGCGCGAGCGTTTCGAACGATTCGCAGAGGATTGAAGACCTTCGCGCGCGAATCAACGCTTTCGTCGACGCGTCGACGTCGGGGCACGTCTGGGGCGTCGACGCGTTGCGGTTTAACGTCCACGATCGACCGAGCGGAGTGAATCGACGGGCGACGCTCAGGGGGTCGATTCGCGTGGGCGACGGCGCGGCGGAGGACGGCTGGCTCATCGCGCGAATAGCGCGCGACGTCACGACGACGTTCGATGAGAACGACGTGACGTGCGCCAGGGTGTGGGACGAGGACGGTGAGTTTGTTTTAGTGGAGTGCGCGGAGACTTTGGAGGCGTGGGTGACGCCAGAGCGGGCGGAGGGGACGACGTTTTTTGTCCGCGGCGAGTTGCGGACGGTTGACGGAGACGCGTTGGGTGGCGAGCCGGGAGGCGAGCGCACGAGGCGCGCGATGGAGATTGTTGAAAAGACGAAGGGGTTGGGGATCGTGACGCAGGAAATGGTGCGGGCGAGGTTGGACGCGGTGGAGACGAGGATCGTGGAGCATCGACACGCGGCGTTCGCAATTATGCCGCGGTTGTGCGCGAGGATTTTAGCAAAGGAGCCGCAGCTCGTCGCGCTCGCGATGGACAGTCTACGCGCGCGAGATCCCGTGGGACTGCGTGCTGCGGCAAAGATGGAGGTCTTCGAGCCGAAAGATTTCCATCCGACGCTCGTGCAGATGTCGCGCGCGCTCTTCGTGCAAATCACGAGCGAACACTTCGACGCGCCTCCAACGTACTCGACGTCGTGCGATGATCCGGCGGAGCGTCGCGCGCGTGAAATCGGGATGAAAATAGCGTGTGGCTTAGAGATGTTTATCGCGGAGTGGACGCCGCGCAAAAGCAGTGATGGTGAGTCCACGAGCGACGGCGAACCCGAGGACGACCCGGCGTGGGAGCGCTTCAAATCGAGTCTTACGACGAACGGGTACTTTCGAGAGGAAATAATGGGAAGCAAGCTCTACAAAGACCTATTGACCACCGCCGTGCGTGAGTATCGTCGCTCCGGTCTTGCCACCAAGGTTCGGCGGGTGCAGAACGAGTATGTTCAACGCGTGTCAGAAATTTTAGACGAGAAGTACGATGCCGACGACGTGCCGCACGCGAACCCGTCCGACGCGAGTGACGAGGATTGGCTCGTCAACGCCGAGCAAGAGCTTATGGAGGAATTGGCTAGATTAGAGAAAGAACGTGAGAAATCGCTCGTGGAGGCGACAAAGAAGGCTAAATCATTTGTCAGCCGTGAATCCGGCTTTGAGGGCGTCGATCACAACGCCACCCCGGGATCGTGCCCTGGTGATTTGAATATTCCCAACGGCGACGGCGTTTTCAATTTGGACGCGCAAACGTTCCTAAAAGAGCTCGGCAAGGCGCTTCGCATGGGGGATGACGAAAAGTTCCGAGCGTACATGGGACCATACGGCGTCGACTCGGACGATGACCAGTCTTCCGACTCCGACGACGCCGACTTTGACTTTCCACAAAGCGATAACGAGAGCGTCAGCTCACGGGGATTACCTGAGGACGATTACTTCGACGCGCCGCCCGCGTCTATATCACGAGCGAATTTCATCCACGTGGACGACGACGCGCCGGACAGCGACGACGACGATCGAGCGTTCGCCACCGAATACGACGCCGTCCTCCGCGCGCAGCTTGCGGATACCAAAATCGACGTCACAGATTCCAACGCCACCGATGCCGACGTTTCTGCCGCGTTAGCGAGTGGTTTGCTCGCGAGCGCATCCGCCGCAGCTGGCGCGCCCAGCGCGGCAGCTTCGCTCCTCGCCGCGAGCGGCGCCGACACCGACGCCATCAACGCCCTCATCCGCGCCGTCGATCGAAAATAGCGCGTTGTCATTCGAACCCGCGGTCGTACCCACGTAATTGACCAAGAAACGTCCCTTCTTCAACTCGACGCCGCTCCGCGCGCAGTTTTTCCTCCAATTAAACCTCAATTCGACCCAAACCCAAACCCCGTCATCGCCCCTATCACTCCCCACTTCGCGACTTTCGCGGACGATGCGCTCGACGCATCGTCCCGGACATACCCCGATGCGCGCGCCCGTCGGCCCATCGCACGCGCAAACGACCGCGGACGACGACGCGGACGACCGATGGAACGCCCATTACCAAGCGTTGCTCTCCTACTGCATCGAACACGACCACTGTAACGTCCCCGCGGGGACGATCCGAGACGGCTTGCGTCTTGGGCAGTGGCTCAACGGGCAGCGAAGTCGCATGCGGGCGTCGATCGGGCGTCCGATCGGGATGAACGCGACTAAGGAGGAGAAATTAAGAGAATTGGTGAATGCGGGAAAACTGTGGATCGACTCGCCGGGACGGAGAGACTGGGACGAAGCCATGGACGCGCTCGAGCGTTGGGCGATGGCGACGAACGGAGGTGTCGATTTTAATTGCCCGCACGATTTGAAGTACGATGATATCAGGTTAGGGGCGTGGTTGACGACGCAGCGGATGCGGCACCGGGCGGGCGAGCAGGCGAGGACGCCGTTAAAGCCGGAACAGCGGGCGAGGATGGACGCGCTTGTTGCTGCGGGGAAGCTGTGGCTCGATAAGGCGGACACGTGGGAGTCAAAGTTTGAGGCGATGTTGAGGTGGAGCGAGCGAGTGACCGGCGGTGCGCACTGTAACGTGCCGTACGACTGTCAATTCGACGGCTACCGGTTGGGTATTTGGCTCAACACACAGCGACAGCGCTTTCGAGGGAACACGACGAAGAACTTCAAGCTCTCCGACGCTCAACGAACGAAGATGCAAGATTTGGTCGATCGGAAAAAGCTCTGGATCACCGTACCGACGGACACGTGGGAGCGTAAGTTTGATCTCTTGCTTGCCTGGGGAAACGAAAAGCATGCGGGAGAGCACTACAACGTCGCCCAACAGGAAGAGTATCACGGCGTCAAGCTCGGCGCTTGGCTCGGAACGCAGCGTCAGCGCATGATAGGTAAGGCTGGCAAAAGTAAACCGCTCACGAACGAGCAAAGACAGGCTCTGCAGGGTCTCATCGACGCAGGGAAGCTCAAGCCGACCGTGCGTCGCGCGCCTAAGTCGCCAAAGCGGCGCGCACCGAAATCGTCACCCACGAACAACCCCATGGAGCCATCGACTAAGCGAGCGAAACGATAAACACGAAACGATATACACGCCCTCGGATCCAAAATGACAATTTTTGACAACTTCACTGTAATACGACACCTGGCACAACACAACCGAGCTCTTCTCTGCACTCGTCCACGCGCGTCTTCAGCGATGAACCTCGCCGGTGCACACCGCGAGTACGTCTCGCGTATGCTCGAGAGCGCTTCAGGGATGAAAGTCTTAGTGTGCGACGCTGTGACGGTGTGTAAACGACGAGAAGTTTGATGAATTTTCAACGAATCCGTGTCCTTTCGCATTTCGTTCGTTTTCGCTCGACTGACGTTGTTTTAACGCTCGATAGGTGAACATCGTGAGCGCGGTGATGTCCCAAAGCGATGTTCTGCGCCGTGAGGTGTTTCTGATCGAGCGCTTGCACGAGCGACCGCACGAAGACATGCCGCATCTCAAAGCTGTGGTCTTCGTGCGACCGACGAGAGAAAACGTGAAGGCGTTGGCAAAGCAGGTTCGGAGGAGGACGTATGGGGAGTATCGGGTGTTCTTTTCGAACATATGCCCGGACGGGCTGTTACAAGAGCTCGCGGGAGAGGACATTGGGTCGGTGGTGGCGCAGGTGGAGGAGTATTACGCCGACGCCACGGCGGTGGATCGAAACGTCTTCTCACTTGAGCTGGGAGAGTCGAACAGTTCGCTGATGAATCCGGCGCAGTGGTCAAGGAGCGTGGGCATGGCGGTCGATAGGTGCGTGGAGGGGATCGCGAGCGTTTTGCTGTCACTGAAGCGGCGACCGTTCATCAGGCATCAGCGGTCGAGTGAGGCCGCGCGACGGTTGGCAGCGGATGTTGGGCGGTTGGTGTATGAACAAGAGGCCGGGCTGTTTGATTTCCCGCGAACTGAGGGCGCCGCGCATTTGTTAGTTCTCGATCGCTTCGACGACGCGGTGACGCCGCTGTTGTCGCAGTGGACGTATCAGGCGATGGTGCACGAGATTTTCGGAATCACGAGCACGAATAGAGTGGATTTGCGACACATCAAGACACTGAGGAAGGATTTGCGTGAGGTCGTGCTTAGCGCGCACGAAGACTCGTTCTTCGCGAATAATATGTACGCAAATTACGGTGATTTAGGGGCGAGCGTAAAGGCTCTGGTTGATGAGTTCCAGCAGCACACGAACATGAGCAAGAAGATTGAATCCATAGACGATATGGCGAGGTTCGTCGAGTCGTATCCCGAATTCCGCGTCAAGAGTGGTAACGTGTCCAAGCACGTTGCGCTCATGTCCGAGCTCAGCGCAGTGATATCTCAGCGACAGCTCATGGCGGCGTCGCAGGTGGAGCAGGAGGTCGTATGCGGGACCGATCGTGCGGGGGCTTTTGCACAAGTCGTGGATGCGCTTCGCAACCCAGCGCTGTTGGAGGAGGAGCGCCTAAAATTAGTCTTACTGTTTGCGCTTCGCTACGAGAAGGAACAGAACCAGATCGCCGATTTGACTGGAATACTGATGCAACACGGCATCAGTAGAGCCCGCATCGGGCTTGTGAGGACCATATTAAAGCACGGTGGCGAGGCCGCGCGCACGGGCGATTTGTTTGGCAATCGCTCCTTCCTCGGCAGGGCGAGCAAAGTCGTTGGCAGTCTCAAGGGCGTCGAGAACGTGTACACGCAGCACAGCCCGTTGATCAGTTCAACAATCCAAGCCGCGGCGAAAGGCGCGCTGAAGCAAGAGGATTACCCTTTCGTCGGCCCGTCCCCCAACGGCGCCGCTGCTGGCAAACCCACTGAATTAGTCATCTTCATCGTCGGCGGCGTCTGCTATGAGGAGACCAAGGTCTGCGCCCAGTTCAATGCCCTCAACACCGGTTGCCACGTCGTCGTCGGTGGATCCACCGTCTTAAACGCCCGATCCTTCGTCGACGACCTCCTTGAACTACAGAACGCCGACCGATAGCCAACTCTCTTGTAACATCGCAGACTCGTGTCGGACCTCTTCGCCCGCCCGCGCCGCTGACCGCACATCACGGCGGTGGCTCGACCGCCGATGTCCACCGAGACCGACCCACCGGACGAGAAGGATGTCGAGTATCGACATCAACCGACGCACGCGCGCAATCGCTCGTTGTCGGCACCATTAAGGATCGATTTGACCGACGCCATGATTGAACCTACCAATAGACCCTCGTCCTCTCGAGCGACTTCTCGAGCGCTGAGCGGCGCACCGAAGCCCGAGGCGCCGGCGATCACACTACCGCGACAGCGCGAAGCGGTGCGGCACTTCGCGATGGATCTCGGTGGGTCACTGGTGAAGCTTGTCTACTTTAGCGCTGGCGCGAGCGACGCGAGCGGGACGCAGGGCGGGACGCAAGGCGGACGACTGCACTTTAGAAAGTTTCCGAGCAAGCGATTGGACGAGTGCATGGATTTCATAGAGTTTAAGAAGCTGCACGTGGGTGGGGACGGTGGAGAGGGTGGAGACGGGGTGAGCGTGAAGGCGACGGGGGGCGGGGCGTACAAATACGGGACGACGTTTCAGGAGCGGTTGGGAATCACGCTGCAAAAGGAGGATGAGATGGCGTGCGCGGTGGCGGGAGCGAACTTTTTGCTGGAGACGATTAGAGATGAGGCGTTCACGTACAGGAACGACGAGAAGGTTTTCATATCGAAGGATGATTTGACGCGCGAGTCCCTGTTTCCGTACTTGCTCGTAAACATCGGGAGCGGGGTGAGCATTATAAAGGTTGATAAGGACGGACACGAGCGGGTTAGCGGGAGTAACATCGGAGGGGGCACGTTTTGGGGTTTGTGCCGACTCCTCACCGGGTTGAAGGATTACGACGAGATGCTCAAATTAAGCGCCGAGGCAGATAACGCGAAGGTGGACATGCTCGTTGGGGATATCTACGGCCGCGGGCGCGGGTACCCAAACATTGGTTTATCGAGCGAAACGATTGCGTCGTCCTTCGGTCGGGTCGTCATGGACGAAGGGAGTCTCGATGATTACTCGAAGGCCGACATCACGCTCTCGCTACTGCGGATGATTTCGTATAATATTGCGCACATCGCCACAATGAATGCAGCGAAGTACGACCTTAAGCGCATCTTCTTTGGCGGATACTTTATTCGTAATCACTCCTACACGATGAACACGATCTCTTTTGCGGTTGATTTCTGGTCCAAAGGTGAGATGAAGGCAATGTTCTTGCGTCACGAGGGTTTCTTAGGCGCGCTTGGAGCTTTCTTGCAAGACGTCGAGGCGCAGAAGAATTTAAGCAATGCAGCGCAAGGATCTTGGATTGAGAAATTCATCAAATGCTCGGTGCCTCCGAAAGGGATGGGTAAGAAAAAGTTGTCCTCAACGATGCCATCGCCGGCGAGGCCGCGCTCATCTCAGAAGTCCAGGAGAGCGAGTGAGAATGACAGCAGCGACGCATTTAGACGGATGAGCTTGGGCGAAGGATCCGGCGTGGATGTCGACGGACAGCCGAGAGTTTCGACTGGTGGTAACAGCTTGGATTACATCACGCCGACTGAATCGTATTCTGAAGAAGAGGACCTGTCCTCGGGTGAAGAAACGCCCACGCTGAGCAGACTGGACGATCCTACGCAGCTGCTCAATTCGGCGGGCCTACAAGTCGGCGTTTTACACCTTGAACCAACACTTGCAAAGTTTCCGCTTCTTCGCGAAGAGAGCGAGTACGATCCGAACATTTTCGACATGCTCACCGATACCACCGAACGGGAGTATTGGCTCGACATCCTCGAGCGTTTGCAACCCGGCCTGGTGGAGCGCGCGTTGGTGAGTGACCCAACGAGCGCCGATGTGAAGGAGCGAGCGGAATCGTTCGACACGGTTTTTAAATCCCACCTCTCCAGGCTTCGCGAGGAGCCCGCGGCGTACGGAAGAATCGGACTCGGCGATTTGTTTGAAATGCGCGAGGAGTGCTTGCGATTTTTCCGTTTCACCGACGTGTACGAGGACGTGAAGAAGCAGGAGAACGAGTCGGCGCTCTTGGTGCTTCCGGATCTCCTCGCCGAGATCGACAGCCTGAACGACGATGAACGCCTGTTGGCCATCATAGAGGGTGTCTTGGCCGGGAACATATTCGATTGGGGATCCCAAGGCACGCTCGATCTCTATCGCAACGGCACGATTCTGGAGATTTACCGAAAGGCGAGGAGCACGGTGAACCGACCGTGGGCCATTGACGATTACGACGCCCTGCGTGAACGCATGAACGGTCCCAAGGCGAGAAACTATCGCAAGGCGCTGCTTTTCTGCGATAACTCGGGTGCGGACGTCATCCTCGGCATGATTCCATTCGCCCGCGAGCTCCTGAAGCGAGGTGCGGACGTGGTTCTCATCGCAAATGGGTTACCGGCCATCAACGACATCACCGCCAACGAGCTCGAGGTCGTTCTTCGCTCCGCCGCTTCCCTCGACTTATGTCTCAGCGATGCCATCACCTCCGGTGCGCTCTCCGTCGTAAGCTCCGGCTCGGGATCGCCGTGTTTGGACTTCCGTCGTCTCTCCAACGACGCGTGCGTCGCCGCCCGCGACGCCGACCTCATCATCCTCGAGGGCATGGGAAGAGCCATTCACACGAATTACCGCGCTAAATTCGCGTGCGACACGCTGAAACTCGCGATGATCAAGAATCAACGTTTGGCCGAGCAGCTCATTGGCCCGAAAGGCGCGATGTGGGACTGCGTCGCTCGATTCGAGCCCGGAAGTCTGTCCAATCCATAGACCACTGCCTGGACGCGCTGTGTTTTGATGTCCTTCCGCTACCGTAAATCATACTGTTTGTCCATAGAAAATCGAGGCTCCCAACACCATCGTCCGCGACGTCGACGCTCGCACACGCGAGCGCGCCCGCGACTGGCGACTGGCGATGCGCGCAGCCGCCAGCGAACACACGGCGCTGTTGCCCGTGCGATCGGACGATGAAGCGCGTGCTGGGGACGACGCGAATGAAAGATCGCACGGTGCAACACCAAACCGATGGCGCGCAGTCGGCGTCGTCGTCTTGACGCTCGGCGCACTCACGGCGGGTGCGGTGGCGATGGGAGGTGGTGTGAAGACGTCATCGACGGCGAGCGCGCTCGGAAGCGGGTGGTTATCGCTCTTGGACCGCGCGGGGAGCGGGCGAGAGGGGGCGACGCCGAGGCGGGCGTTCGAGGACGCGGCGGTTGGCGCGACAGCAAGGACTCATAGGAATTCCGGGACAAAGTTGAGCGCGAGAACGAAGGGTAAGGACGAGGACGAGGCAGATTTGGGACACGCGTACATCAACGTGTTTCCGAAGGCCGGCGCGAGGGGTCCAGTAGTGACGGGCGGTGCGCAGCGTCCGGCGCAACAGAACGGGGTGCCGCAGTACTTGCCCGTGATCGTGAACGTATACGAAGACGGCAACGGCAACGACGTGTACGCCAACGGTGGTGGTGGTGTGGTGAATATAAACGGTTCGCCGATACACGCGCCTCGACCGCACGTTGCTCCAACACGCACGCCGGTCCCAGGGCCCACGACAGCGCCAACGACAGCGCCAACGACAGCGCCAACGACACAACCGGTT